GCATTTTTGCAGGTTGAGTAATTGTTGATAAAACCGATTCACCTCGACACCGGCCTAACTGACAAGGAAATAATTGTGATTATCCAGATATCATCTCTGACGACTTAAAAGTGAGTTTATGATTTAATTATGTTCAATCCTGACATTTTAGTAAAGTTAGAAATAAAAAAAAGGGGCAACGCCCATTTGTTATTGTTTAAAAGAAAAAAAAATGTTTTCATCGTAATAATAATTTCCTCCCCTACATACACGAAAGTCAAATTTTCACAAGAATTTAGAAACTGTAAATATGTTCTCAATAAAGTAATTTTGGCTGCAGCGACATGTTTTTGTTCAGACAGAATTTTGCGACCATTTACTTCCCTGGGTTTATAACCCATTGACTTAAGAATTTTGTATAATGTGGTTCGCTCCCCTTTAAATTCCAACTGTTCCCTGGAATATGCCAAAAGAATATCTACAGTGAAATATTCGTGTTTTTCATTAAGTTGCCAAATTTGTCGTTGCAGGTCTTTCCGAAACATATAATTTGTAAATCAATCCGTTGCTTTTCGCTTGCCAGATAGTAATGTTTTTAAATTTTGATCCCCTGTTGATAAAATTTTCACCACAGTTGATGTTCCCACCTATGAGAAAAAAAATTAAAAAATATTTTGCAGCGTATTTTTACATAACAGAAAATATGTTCGAGACCCTCTTAGTTACTTCTTCGAAAGAAAGATCGGGCCTGTTTTTTCGAAACTGCAAAAAACATCTTTTTATTGCAATTTTTTTGTTGCAGTGAAACTATTTTAGGCATTTTCTTTTTAAATAATTTCGCAATGATCTGTGAATCTGTCACAATGACAAATTATCTATGCTGACAAAATTAAAACATTTGTTTGTAAAATTCGGTTGTTAATTGTTCTAGTTTTCCACATTCAATTGGGTTTGGAAAAGTGAATTTTTTCCTAACTAGAGCGGAAAAACAAAACAAAACAATATCAAACACCAGTTCTCAAACTCCTTGTACGCCTTTTTAAAATTTTTCTTTGATTTCTCGGACAAGAGTCAATTGCGTGCCAGTGTGGCTGACTCTTCAACATCAAAAGATACTGATGCAACATCATCTTCCAACATTTTTACCTCAAGAAACACCCAAAACACTTCAAACGTTGAAAAATTGCAAAATGTTGCGTTATTTGTTTGTATTTTCCATGACAACAAATTTATTGCATTAAAAGGGACTTGATACTTTATTATTCAATTAAATTTATAATGAAGAGTTTTTTTACTTAATTTTAGAAAATCTTGTGTGCAATTTGATAGGAAAAGTGTCTTTCCACATTCACGACATGTTTTTGATCTCGACTTCGTCTCGATCAAAAATCTCATGTCTAGAATGTGGAAAAATGTCACTTTTCCTATCTTATTGCACAAATAGTTATTGCTTTTTTAAAAAATTGCGTCTAATAATTCTGATCTAATAAATAAAGTAGAAAAGTGGCAATCTAGCTCAAAGCATGGCCAACTCTATTAACGATAATTTTGTTTCTGAATAATATTTACTTATTCTGGGCTTAAAACATTGAATTGGAGCACATTTCTTATCATTCATTCGTAGTTTTAAACTATTTTAATGAGGAAGTTATCTCCAATCATTTTCTGAAAATTGAAAAAATTGTCTAGCCCTTATACAAAACTCGTTTGTTTAAGAGAATTCAAAGTTAATACGCTAACATATCCGGCAGAACTTGTGTATGTCTATGGGTCTTTAAGTATGTATGCATTTCTTCTAGTATGTAGTATGACTCATCGGCCGGGCGACGTAGAGCTCACTAAAGGAAGCGGAAGTCGCGATGGATTCGAGGAAGGCCTCGATTGCGAAACATCGACAAAGGAATATGGGTTTAAATGGGGCCACATTCGGGAGCGAGATTATTCAGTGAACAAGTAGAGTCCAGCGAGTGTCGAGAAAATCCAGACACTTGTCTGGAATTACTTTCGTACATAATCGTTGTGTAATTAGCCGTATGAATTTAAGTTACTAAGAAATAAATTGTTGAGTTTAACCCACGCCGATTTTAAACAACCGTTCAACGTAATAATATCTTAAAAAGGAGCAACGCAAAATAAAAACGAAAATTTTCGAAGACGGGGTGCATCTAGAGAAAGAATTTTTATTTGTTTGTAATTTCGTAATACCATTGAAAATACTCCTAAAGTACGAGAAAAGTGGTCTCCTATTTTCATCTGTCTGTCGGCTGTCTGTCAGTTGTGTCTCCAAAACTACTAGACCGATTGCTTTCTTCTCTTTTTACTCTTTCATCGTATGTTCTATTGTTTCTCGGTCTTTTTGACACATTCTCCATTTCCTCTCTTCCTCACACATGATGACCCTCTCTCCTTTTTGTTTTAGTTTGTTAAGTAATGTGGCTCTTCTTCCTCTAATATCATTCTCTATCTCTATCTTTCTACCTAGAATTTCTCATCTCTGCTACAGAACTCCTGGCACATCTATTTTCTTTGACTTCTCACTCTTTTTACTTCATGCTTCACAGTAGCCTAGTCCTCCTTTTTCAACATTCGTCAGTCCCACCACTTCTATCTACACTAATTTCTACCTTCATTTCTGCATCTTTTATAAATTGTTCCAATTCATCAAATTTTGCTGACATATTTTCCTGCTTTTTCCTTCTGGGTTTTCTGTCATACTCTCTTATTTCAACCTCCAGCAGTGATGGGCACGTAGATTCCGTCAGTGTAAACAATCGAATAGTTTACGTGTAGACTATGTAAAGTAAACTTTAAGTGAGTTCATGTAAACTATGTTAGTATGTAGACAATGTAAATAATAAGGGTTAAATAAAGGTCAATAAAATTTTAATGTATTTTTATAAACTGACAAATACAAAATTTATATTTGTAAAAAAATATACAAAAAAATGAAAATTTAATACACAAAAACTTGATAAAAATCAAAAGTTAAAGAGTTTAAAGAACGAATGGTAGTAATCAATAATAATAACTGTACTCGATTATTCATCTTCCAATAATAACTCGTTAAATTCGCTGTCATCTGCTTGTTTCTTCTCTTGTATTTTTAATGCATAATAAACGTGCATGAGTTTTTTTGATCTCTCAAATGTTAGCCTATTTCTAATTGGTGTATGAATTAATCCCCATGTTGAAAAAACTCGCTTTATTTGAGCGGATGAAGCAGGTATCATTAGAAGTTTGAGTGCCAAATTTGAAATCTCTGGGAATTCAGACGAAGCTAATTTCCAAAACGTAAATGGGCTTTTAAGTTCCTTTTCAAATAAAATTTTCAAAATTTCTCGTTTTTCAATAAAAGCGTCTAATTCTTCTAATCCACTACCGCTCAGATTTTGAATTAGAAACTTGTTAATAACAGATGTATGAGTTTTTTGAAGTTTCTAGTTATTTAGAAAGGGATGTAAATAATAAGCCACTAATGCATATGTATTTAGCGCCATTGATTTTCTTCGAGCAAGTTCTTTTTCAAATTTGTCAGGAAGCTGCAAATCTAACTAAAGATTCGCTGCATCAGCAATCGAAAATACAGACTCTTGGCAACTATTAATCAGGTGGCAAACTGGATCAAATATCTTGATGTTTTCCTTGACAATTTCGATGAAGTCATCGTCAATTTAGTGTAAAATTTAAATCAATATATTATGACTAATAACTGATTTATACTTATGTGATTTTAACCTCTCCGCGGCTGTATTTTCCAATGATTTTTCACAAATGAGACATTTGGCGGTGTACTTCCCTTTCACTTTGATTAACTCGAAACCTAAGTTATTAAACATCGGATTTCTTTTTCTTCCTGCCATTTCTGACGGCGTTAAACTGTTTATTTTTTGTGAGTTTCTGACTCTAAAAACGTAACCTTACGTTTGTTGTTGGTATTGTTTACGGAAAGTTTACATTGTTTACATTCTTTACGTTGTTTACCTATTCTCTACGACGTAACGTAGACAATTAAAGTCGACGCGTAAAGTCCCATCACTGACCTCCAGTGCCAGATATTCGGGGTCTATCCTTTCTCCTACTTTCAACTGCGAGATTCCTTCCCATGTTTTTTCGTTATTAAATAATCTATTACCGATTGTTTTCTGAGTCCTACATAGTATATCTTGGCAAGTAGCTACTAACTCAGCCCACCCCCCTTCTATTTTTTTAGAAAGTATCTCATTTGCCACAATCAGACTTATCTTAGCAAGTGCTCAAAGCAAATGTCAATCAGACTACTGACAAACAAAAAACTAAATCATCAAATCAGTTTATCCAACTTAAAGAAAAAATATCAAAGCCTACTTTACTGTATAAAGATCGTGAATGGATAATAAACGTCAGTCTCACGTAGTGACAGAAAAACTTTTGTGAATAATACAATTTATCCAACGCGAAGAAAAAAATCATAAATATATAGTGGTCCAAGAGCTATAAGGTTATATGGCCATCATGAAATCATCCCATTGTGTCGAAGTTAAGTTGTTTACAATAGAAAAGGTTTTAGGGTCGTAAATAACGTGTCCACTGCAGCTCGATCGGCTGTTGTGGTTTCGTTCAGGGGCGGCTTTCACTAAATATGAAAATCCACCACTCCACTATTTCTTTACTACCTGCAGCCGCTGAGGGTTCCGAAATAACCACTCGCTTTGAAAGCCGGCCCTGTTGAATGTGAGCAAGAAATGTTTAGAAGACGATTTATTGCCAACCGGTAAGCTTAGTGCGAACCACACAAAGGGGGTATTTATTTGCGGTCAACTACTTTTATGATGGTCATATAACCTTATACCTTTTGGACAAGTATACTTATACATATATACTTTTCAAGGTGCATATATTCAGTATTAACTAAAAGGACATGACAAAAATTACAACAGTAACTTTTGTATCCTTAGTGTGGGACTAACGGCACATACAAGAGAAAACATAGTGAGCCACCATGACAACACAAAACACTTAATGTCACCAAAGCTGCCAAATTATAGGCACGAAAATAAACGACAACGAAATCTGTCCCTTGTTTACTGACCCCCCTCTACCCAATTCTCTCCGTACATTTTACGTGTGAAACGATTTAGCGTAGTTGACTCAGCGCCAATTGTTATTAATTTATAGAATTTAACAGTTAGTGAAGTGAGTTACGCAACGAAATAAACATAAGAAGAAGCTCTGTCTCAGTCAGTGTCAAGTTCGTAAACTGCAATATCCTATCGTAGTGCAAACAACAGATAACCCAACTGTGTACAAACAAACAGTTCGGCAAGACAGCAGCAAAATTATCAAGACGTTTTATTTCCCGTGCATAATGGTACTCTCAATGGTTCGATGGGTCGGTAAAGTGGCCATTGTAACCGGTGCTAGTTCTGGAATAGGAGCAGCAATTGTGGATGCTCTTGTCGAAAACGGTTTAATTGTAAGTAAACTATCACCTTCCCAAAACAACTACTTTTTGCGCTTTTTTAGGTGGTTGGTATAGCTCGCCGAACTGAGCTCATCGAAAAACGCGCTAAGGAATTATCAGACAAAATAGGAAAACTTTATGCTTTCAAAGTTGACCTTACTCGCGAAGACGAAATTTTGTCTGCTTTCAAATGGGTTGAAGATAATTTAGGGCATGTGCATGTTCTTATCAACAACGCCGGATTTCTGTCAGAAGAATTATTGTCTGAAGGGAATACTGACACTTGGAAACGAGGTTTCAATATAAATGTAATAGCGCCATGTATTGCTACAAGAGAAGCGGTTAAAATAATGAGAAAACATGATATAAAGGGGCACATAATTCATATTAACAGTATTGCAGGACATAAAGTTTCGCCTCTGCCTAAAACCAATGTGTATCCGGCAACCAAACATGCAATCACTGCTCTGACTGAAACCTTAAGACAGGAATTAAATACTCTGGGTAGCAAAATTAAAGTTACTGTAAGTAGGTCTTCCGTAGTTTGTTTAGTTTTCATGAGGACATTGTTTCTAGAGTGTTAGTCCCGGTCTTGTAGTGAGCGAAATGACGGTTCTACGTAAAGATATAAGTGAAGAACGAAAGAAGATATTCGAAGCTCGTCCAATTTTGAAAAGTGAAGATATAGCAGATGGGGTTGTTTATGTTTTGTCCACCCCAGAACATGTTCAGGTACATGAACTGACCATCAAGCCAGTGGGGGAACCTTACTAATTGTATGTTACAAATAAATATAAATGAAACCTATACCTACTGTTAATTAGGAGTATAATAATAAAAGATTTATGTAATTTAAAAATGTAATTGAGTTTTGAAATTAAAATACGATGCTACTTTAAGGATTTCTTGCGCGAAAAGAAACCACCGCTAAACAAACAAAAACAAACGGTGTTTAGACTTTTTTCTCGTCTGAAAACATTATTAATTTAACTGTTTTATGTGTGATGAACTGATGACAGTCGAAATATAAATGACCGGCATTTAACAACCAAAGATAACTGTTTGCAAAACAAACGATAGATAACACAAACATTTTAGCTATAAATAAACAATGAGATAGTGCCAAAGTACATAACGTAAATATTGACTGAAAATGGTAAATCACAACCAAACAAGCGATCTATCACTTAGTTTTTACACTTTTGCTTGAGATGTATTTTAACTTGGCTCCATATTGGTGTTTCATAAGTAGTTATAAAGCCAATTATGAAAAGTTGCTTGTTGCTTCTAGGAAATATGTACACATTTTTCAGACTATCGAAAATTTTATGTCTCCTGATGATATAAGGTTCAAATGAACTTCTTCGCTTTTCGAGGGTGATATCTGCTTCGTTATTCGGTCGGTCAAAGCGGCGTTCGCTAAAGAAAGGCCTGGAAGCGGAAATCGCGGTGGATTCGAGAAAGACCTCGATTGCGAAACATCGAGAAGGGAACGAGATTATTCAGTCGAACCACGAGTCCAGCGAATGTTAAGAAGAGCCAGCCAATTTGCGCCGGAATTAGTTTGTACATACTCGCTGTAATAGTTAGTCGTGTAATTCGAGTTATTAAGAAATAAATTGCTGAGTTTTACCCACGCCGATTTAATTTACCGATCAACGTAAACAATGCATCAATATGTATGCATTAGTAGATAGTTTTTTCATAGAAGTAATCTAAAATTTTTAAAGCTTCATAAGAAAGCAGATTTGATAAACCTGTCTATTTTGTATTGATCCGATAAATTTATGGAGTTGGAATCTGTAACTGGAAAATAAGTAAAGATAGTAAAAAAAAGATTTATTTTCATAAATCATGAAGTAACAGAAAATAAGCAATACGACTTTTTAATATTAAATAAACAATGATAGCTTTCAATACTGCGTAGTCTCACCAAAAATCTGGACGTTTCGGGTAAAAACTCAACACGGAATCATAAACTACATGTGTAGGACTAGGTTATTTTATACAATTTGAAAACCATTCACTATGTACAATTTTGAGATTACGTCATCAGACTCTTGGTGGGGACGATTAGAAAAAGTTTGGTTAATGTTTTACCATTTACATGATATTCGTAGGTACTGCACATATACAATTTGACAAAAATCGATCTGGTAAATTTGGAGATGATCAGCCTAACAAAAATCGGCGCAGACCGACAAACAGGCAGACAGACAGATATAAACGGGATACCTACTTTTTCGTACTCTAAGGATCATAACCGGAGAGCAGACTTCTCTCGGGCTACATCACGATTATAGGTTGGGACGCGTGGATCGCCGGGAATCAGTAGCGGGTGATAATCAGTGACTTTAATTGTCACTTATACCATAAATAAAATCATGGGGTTTGATCTTCCCCGACCCAACGGATATCCGCGGCCTGGTTATGACCCATCGAGAAAATATGAAAGCAGCTAGTCGGCCAATGGGGTCGATTATAATAAAAAACAAAAACAAACATGTTTTCAATACACAAATAAATATCAAATTCAGTTGGAGCCTAAAATATGAAATTTATTCATGAAAATAGTCTTGGAAACGACTATGTCAAAAAAGTTGACGAAATTTATGCATGAAAATAAACGAGCAATACACCTCTACGTTATTAACTGTTCCCACTCTGTTCAATTCCCTGTGCGCATTTCGTGTATGGGACCATTTTAGAACTTAGTTATTTAAAGAATGTAATCGTTAGTGAAGTGTTACGCAACGAAGCAAACGTGGTATTTTTTTTTTGTTAGTATGCAGTAATTTGTTAAATATAAAACTCAATTATAGATAACAACAAAAAGATAATCCAAAACTGCACAAACACGTCAGTAATACTATTAAAACGTTTTATCTCGCGTGCACAATGGTACTCTCAATGGATCGATGGGTGGGTAAAGTGGCCGTTGTAACCGGTGCTAGCGCTGGAATTGGGGCAGCGATTGCAGATGCTCTTGTCGAAAACGGTTTAATTGTAAGTAATAAGAAGTTATCGCCGTATTAAACAACTATTTCTCCTTCGTTGTTTTAGGTGGTTGGTATAGCTCGTAGAGCTGACCTCATCGAAAAACGCGCTAAGGAGTTATCAAACAAAAAAGGAAAACTTTACGCTTTCAAAGCTGACCTTACTCGCGAAGACGAAATTCTGTCAGCTTTTAAATGGACTGAAGATAATTTAGGGCATGTGCATGTTCTTGTCAACAATGCCGCGTTTATATCTGAAGAATTATTAGTCGAAGGGAATACAGAAACCTGGAAGAGAAGTTTCGATGTAAATGTATTAGCCCTATGCATTGCGACAAGGGAGGCGGTTAAAATAATGAGGGAAAATGATATAAAGGGGCACATCGTCCACATTAATAGTATTTCAGGACATAACGTTGTGTATGTGCCTAAAAACAATGTTTATACAGCAACAAAATTTGCAGTTACTGCCCTGACTGAAACCTTAAGACAGGAGTTAAATGTTCTGGGTAGCAAAATTAAAGTCAGCGTAAGTAGGTCTTTTTAAATTTTTTAAGTTTTCATGTGGATATTATTTCTAGAGTGTTAGTCCCGGTCTTGTAGTGAGCGAAATGACGCTTCAGGGTACAGGCGTAAGTGATGAAAGAAGGAAGATATTCGAAGTTCTACCAATTCTGCAAGCTGAAGATATAGCAGATGGGGTTGTTTATGTTTTGTCTACACCAGAGCATGTTCAAGCAAGTTGGTCTGGTTGAAATATTTTATTTATTTTAACTTTTCTTTTTAGGTACATGAACTCACAATCAAGCCAGTAGGAGAAACTTACTAACTGTATATTATGAATAAATGCAAATCATATCTATGCTGTCCCTATATAAAATCTGTATATAACATGAAATACTTATATGGAATAAAATAATAAATAAAAGATGTTGTGAAATTTGCGAATTAAGTTTTTGTTGTTAGTAAAGAGCCGATTCTAGGTTCTAGGACAAATGCTTTTTCATTTTCGTTCATGAGCAGTCAACTTTAAGAAAGAATTTGTTATTCCAAGTTTACGATGGCGTAAGTATTGCGTGATTGCATAGAAACTTAAGATTGGGAACATCCTAATTTTTGCTATTTTATTTATTTGGTTATTTTACATTGCATTTTTGTAGGTGATTAGTATAGTTAGAACAGCTGGGATATCCTATTAACTGGCATCGAAAATATTGGGAATAAACCAATTATGTAACAGTGTAACGTTTTATCAATAAGTCGTTAGGTAATTCTATTAATTATAAATAATATTGAAAGGTAAAAACTACAATCATAATAAAAAGAAAATGATTAAAAATATGTCAAGAAAACGACAAAATAAAACATAAAGCTAAACATACATAACTACGTAAAACATGCATATTGTAATAGAAACACTACGGAATTGTGTTCCATTACCAAAAATCTTAAAATCTATGAAAAAAAAAAAGAGTGCGTCGACCCAGGGACGCACGGATGGAGTCTTAACTCCGCGTTGTCAATTTATATAAATTAAACATGTATACGTAGTGAACCCATTAATTTTCTCTTAAAAAATAATAGAAACCAAAAATGTGTTGCATTTGTATTTTTTGACAAAATGATGATTAATGATGATGACTGGGTTAATGAAAGTAAATATCCATGTATTGTCAATTGTTGTTTATTATAAAATATACTTTTTTTAAGACCCATAATTAATTATTTTCTGTAATAATATTGTATAAACAAATAAAGTACAATGTGTAATTTACCAACTAAAGTAACAAGTAAATATTTACAAATTCTAGAGCAGTATTTATAACTTATTCGATTTAAAGTACAAATTACTCATATCATAGCGTTATCACCTTCGGATCTTTATCCCTATCATTTAATATAGTTATTAGTGGCCGAAGTAATTGAAGAAACCTTCCCCTGCGAATTAAAAAATCGCATTAAATCTACGCTAATCATGAAAATAAAACATTCAGAAAAGAAAGATAAGTAATTATTACTTTAAATAATTCGCTAAATACGTCGAACCCCGACACTTGTTTACAATGAAAGCAGCGGTTACGGGTCAAAAATTGATAGTCACAGTGTTTCACCGAGGCTCTGTAACCTAGTAGTCAAGGCACCTGCCCGGTAAAATGGAATATGCGCGGTTCGATTCCGCACCAGAGCAGCAAACATTTTTTCTTCGCTTAGCTACGAGGGCGTTTTTTTTAATTTTCTACCTAACTATGAAGGAAAGCGTACAAAGCTTCAAAAAAAATTATTTCTCTACGTAACAACCGTCTATGCCAATACATTAGGCCAGCGTTTCTCCAGCTGTTTCATTTCATCAAAAAAAAAAAAAAAATGTTTGCCCTTCAAAAAACGACGTTACTGTGCTTTTCAGATCATCGTCTGAGGCAAATTTGCGGCCCCTGAGGTATTTTTTTAAATGTTTGTAGTTCCGCCGTGCTGCTGTTTTAGTTTTGGTTACGAATTCTAATAAAAGTAATTGCGATTGGAGATTTTTTATGGGTGTACAGTTCTGCGCATGTTGTTCGCAATGTCGACAAGCGCAATGATATTATTTGATATTTGCGAATATGCGAATTTTGTTCTTATGTTTGGGGATTGGTAGTCGATTCTGATTGTCTGTTTGAATGGTACTATAGGCAGATTTGGACATGTGCTGTGAAATACCTATATGTTAAATACAAATCTTAATTATGGAATGTTATGTATCAAAAACGAATCACCACACTATATGATACGATTTGATACTATTATGTAAACAGCTTGGAACGAGATAAATAAGTGTTACGTAACACTAATCGAGTGATAAGCGAAATTTTCCAGATCAGTCAATGAAATGTACATACTACACACGAGAGATAAGATACAAATACCAGCCATAAATAAACAATGACAAAGCATATAATATAGAAACTAATTGGAAGAACAAATTAAAATGAGATTAACAAAAACAGTCTTCAAACTGACACTCTATGTTCGATTGTCTTGAGTACCTACTAACTGGACCAAGATGTACACAAAAGTTACACTTAATCTGAAATTTGTGTCCGAGGCTGAACTAATGTGTAGTCTTGTTAAAATATTTCTAGCAGGATCATTTGTATTTCTAAAATAAGATTTATTTTTTTGTGAAAAATGTTAAAATTTTTGGAACTATCAGGGTGAACACTTAAAATTACTATATTCGAAAGGCCCATGTTCTATAGTCGTGTAAGAATGATTTAATTTAATTAAAATTATTCAGTTCAATTGATGTATTTTGAATTCATCAATTTTTCATTAAACGACGTTCATAAGAAAAAAAAAAGAAGATTTTTTTACTTCCCGAGCATAAGCCAAACAAGTATAGTAGTCGAGTCAATCGGGTGACTTGCCAGTTTAATGTTTTTTCGACGTTTCATGACCCTTAGAATACAAAAAAAATAGTTTTCCGTTTCCATCTGTCCGTATCTATCTGTCCGTCTGTTCGTCTGTCTGTCTGTCTGTCTGTTTGTGTGTGTCGATTTTTACTAGACGGGTAATCTCGACGGATAATCTCCGAAACTAGACGACCGATTGTTGTCAAATTTTGTACATACATATATTAGAACCATCATGAAGATGGTAAAGCGCTGACAAAAATTTTGACTAGTCATCCTCACCATCAATGGGTTGCCGTCCTCTTCAAAATTTAAAATAGTAAATTTGTTGTTAGTTCCTCCTGCACTTGTGTTGTATGATTCCCTGTTAAGTTTTCACCGTAAACAAACAGATTTTTGAAAAAAAATCAAAACTGTGTAACATTTTGCAATTTCATTTGAAACTTTGAAACTCTGAAATCTTGCAAACGTTTTAAGCTTAACGTAATCATGGTAAATTGTTAATCAAAATTTATTCGTTTATCTCTTGATTGAAAATTGATGACATCAGCCAAAAATTTTGCCGAATAAATCCTCTCTAAAATATGCAAAGTATTAGGACTGTGCTTGTGGTTTATTATTTGTCATAAACTTTCTCACTACGATGTTCTAGAAAACTTCGTCCTACATCTCTACATACCTCTACATACTCTTTCTCTACCAACCTTAAGAAAGAACTAAAACTGCTAAAACTAACAAAAGGTGAAGTCCTTGACACTAGGCACTTATAGATTTTAGAATTACTTATATAGACTCACTCAAAAAAATTAATGAATGAGGCAATTTATTGTATCGATTAAATCAAGAATGATTCATTCCATTTTCCCGAAAATTTGGGAATACAATACTGTTATTATGGGTATTGTACTGAATCTATCGAAATGATATAAGTATCACTGAAAAAATGTTGATGACGTATTCTTTATTCTACTTTAACATTACATACATAACTTTGTTTTAACTTTTAAAGGTTGTTATAAGAAAATAAAATCCGCAAAATGAAATCTTATAACTTTTCGAAAATTGTGGATTTATTGTTGTATTGTTCAGGCGTAAGGAAACTTGTGTCGGAATAACCTTCGACCATTTTTTTTTTCTTGCGCTGCTACTAATATTATTTATGTTTATGTCGTCATCACAAATGTTTTATTGATGAAATTAAAAACAAGTCACCCCATGTGCATATATTTTTGTTAATAATGATAAAAGAAGAATTATACTTAATAATTGTATTCAGAACATTTTGTTCGATTATGGCTTAATTCATAATTTTAGTCCTTTGTTTTGAGGAGACAAACTCATTCAAATTAAACATATTTCTACTTGACATTTTTTCACATATAAACATAAACACTTGAAGTTAAGCATGCTATTATTGCTGAGAGGCCATTTTTTTGTTGGTTAAATGCTTTAAATAAATTTTACGGCGCAGGAGCTGTGGGGGTATTATTTATGTCGATCTGTTGTACTTGTACTTCACGCGCAAGGGAAGTTCTGTCGAAATTATTTTTGCCCAATTTTGCTAGACTTGCTTATACAAAGGGATTCAACAAATTAATGAATGACTCAATTAACTTTACTGATTGAATAACGAACGACCCATTGGATTTTCCAGAAAATTTTGGGGATACAATACTGCCGTGTTAAACAAAAACAACGTAACTGCAATTTTGGGTGATTTTGAGTTTGTGGTATTTTTAAATTAAACAAGTTTCAAGGATTGTCCAGGTATATAATTATTAAATTCTAAGCAAATTTTTTATTTAATAATTGCATAATTAGTAATTCAACGTATCTGATCATAGCGTTTTTCTATCACTGTATTGTTAGTCAAATTTAACGTATTTTCGGTACAATAGATACATTTAACGTATCTACGTATCTACGTTTTAAAATACATATTTCATTTACATAGCAAATATAACGTATGTGAAAGATGCGTTAATTTTGCTATGTAAATGGGCCGACAAAGCTACAATTCCTGAATGCCGCATCCTTTTGAGTTATAATACGTCTTTTTGTTAAATATTATTTTTAAATGAAGAATGAGCACAATTTGATCTTCCAATTTAAAGTTACGTTAAAATTTCTATGTATAAAGCTCTTTTTGTACTGATCGGATTACCGTATCAGCCTTTGGATGCAGACACGTTATTTTTGTCATGGAACTGTCAACATTTTTAAATGGAAAAAAAGACGTAACTGCTGAAAAATATACAATAAACTACACTTAGCGCAAAATAAAGTTAACTATTGATTTCGGGGCGAACTTATCTACTAAAAACATCATTTCCCATTGTGTTAACTCAAAGTTAGCGAAAAACGCAAGTTATTTTAACCGGTTCGAGGTAACCCAATTTTCAAACGCCATTATCTCGAAAACGGCGCGAATGCAGATACCTTGTTTTGGTTTAGCACGGCAGAATATGGGTATAACTAGTAAGTATTACACTGCACGTGTCCAAATTGATATACGTGTCCTTGCAAAAATGTTGACGTCATCAAAACATCGTGTAAAAGGAAAATTGATTTGAAATAATCGCATAGCTTGTTTTTTAGGTGTAGTTTAACCTTACATACACATCTTCATATTCAGTTACAGGGGTTCGAAAAAGCTGGACATGTTTTATTGTAATGTAACGGCTGTTCAACCGAAAAATCACACATAGTAGGCGTTGGAATTTCATTCGACACAAACTTGTTTACTATTATTTGTGCATCCTCGTTCGATAAGCTGAATTTCAAGATTTTATTGCTGAGATACCACCATACTGACCTTATTTTGATTTCTCCTACTTTTGATATTTGTTTGTTGGTTTATTTGATATGTGCTTTGTTAATGTGTTGCGGGAATTTTTGAGCCCATTCACAATGATGGATTTTATTCTACTTTGATCCATATTTTGAATTTTTAAAGTATAATTTAACCTCATGTAAATTCTTTGTTGTTTCAACTTTTTGACAGAGTGTGGCACAATTAAATGTCGGTTGCTTCTAGTGCTCATCCAGTTATTGTTAATATTTCGAGAAATATAGCATTTGAAGTTAGTAAAATAAAAGCACAAGGTCATGTGGCGGAAGCTATTTTGGGTACATCGGGTAGAGAGTATAATATGCGGCAAGTTTTTTAGGCTAAGAAATGTGATGTCAATACCATAAAAACTTGTGTATTACCATCCAGTTACTTTATGTAACTTTTTTTTGGTTTGTGTGATATTTGCATTATTCGTAACAAATACCACCATACATAACTATGATGCTATAAATAACATGATAGAAGTGATAAACACTTAATACTAAGTTACGTAACAATATACGAGTGATAACGGTAATAATACAAACATAGTTATCATATACATTATTACAGATAAGACAACAATGCTAGCTATAAATAGACAATATCAAAACATATAGTGCAAAAATGAAGTGGACGCCGAATCAATTTGTAACTGACGAAAATATTCAAGATGGTACTCTATGATTGACTTGTCTTGGGCAGAGTACTACTTGAATTAAAAGAAGTTACTGAAGTGACTGAAATGTGTGAACTTAAATTCATAGAAACAAAATTCAAACAAACACAGACAAAAAATCAAACAACCCTCAAACACTGATATAATTAAGCGATGTAACGTGTAGTAATTATCTCGTTTAGTCCGATTATTTTATCTACACAGAGTGATTAACGTTAAATACACGTACCTCATTAAATCGGATCAGTATCAACTCAAAGAAAAATGAAAATGGTACTATCAATGGAAAAGTGGATGGGCAAAGTTGCCATTGTCACAGGCGCTACCTCTGGAATAGGTGCTGCCGTTGCTGACGCTCTAGTAGAAAATGGGCTTATCGTAAATATGTACCCAACTTAATTTTAAACTTGATTTTTAGTTATTTTATTATAGGTAGCAAGTCTAGATCGCTCAGAAAGTCGAGTCGCGACAATTAACCAACGCTCGATGCAACTTGTGGGCAAAAAAGGGAAACTATATGGTGTCAAAGCTGATCTTACTAAACAACAAGACATATTAGCTGCATTTAAATGGGTGCAAGATAATTTAGGTTTAGTGCATGTTGTAGTCAACTGTGCTGGCTTTTTCAAAGAGGCTGCGTTATGTGAAAGTAACACTGAAGACTGGAGAAGAACGATCGACACGAATGTCATAGCTTTGTGTATTATGTCAAGAGAAGCTGTTAAGAAAATGATGCTTAATAACATTAACGGACACATTGTCTACATTAATAGTATTCTAGGGCACTTTTGCCCCATTGAGTTTCGAATGAACATTTACTCGGCAACTAAATGTGCGGTTACTGCCCTTACGGAAACTATGCGGCAAGAGCTGATTTCTTCAGAGAGTAAAATTAAAGTAACTGTAAGTACATATGTGTCAAAAGAGTAAGTGAAGTTTGAAGGAAGGGATTTTAGAGCGTTAGTCCTGGCCTCACCGTTAGTGAAATGACTACCTTTAGTAAAGATTTAACTGAAGAAACGAGAAGATTTGTGAAAGATCGTCCAATTCTTAAAGCAGAAGATGTAGCAGATGCTGTGGTTTATGCCTTGTCTACTCCAGAACATGTTAAGGTTTGGTGACTGTGTTCTGCGTTGTGTTATTCAGAGTTTGATTTTTAGGTCCACGAACTAACAATAAAACCAGTTGGAGAGCCGCACTAAAAAGGTTAATCAACATTACATTTAGTACTACCTCAATGTTGTATCAGGCATATATTGTGAAATTTGGTTATATTGAGTTCGATATAGTTTGAAGTCCGCAATTGTAATTTTCTGTATATTTTCAAATATATAATAAAGTTATTTACTAACAACTTCCTTTAGATGTACAATGTTAATGTTAATTCTAGTGTCAATATAGATAAAAAATGACAAGAAATGTGGCGGAAAAATAATAAGGCATCGATAAGCTACATTTAAGATTAAGTAAAATGATTTTTCGATAAGATCGCTAACTTACGAAACAATAAATTACGTAAGCGTTTATCATCTTCAAGATAACCTTCAAATAAAGAAATAGAAATGGTAAACATATATTTATTAAATACACATATTAATAATTAAATTCACGATAATTAAGATAACAATACTCTAATATTTTTCACCAAGAGGTCTGATGGTTAGTTCATGAACCTGCAACAGCCAAAATTAATAAAAATAAATAATAATCTGAAGTAACTTACTTGGACATGCTCTGGTGTAGACAACGCATAAATTATTCCATCCGCAATATCCTCAGCTTTCAAAAACGGCATACTTTTCAAAAACTCCACCCTCTCTGGAGTATTATTTTTATTATAAAGTGTCATTTCAGTAGCAACAAAACCCGGACTAACACTCTACAATAAACTCATGAACAACAATAGTTAAATCCAAAGTCTAATACTTACAGTAATTTTGATTTTGATACCAAGATGATTAAATTCTTGTCGTAACGTTTCCGTAAGAGCCGTTATGGCATGTTTAGATGCAGCATAAACATTCAAACCTGGAATATTTACAACCTGATGACCCGCTAGACTGTTCATGTTAACAATATGACCATTAATTTTATTCTCTTTCATGATTTTCACTGCTTCGTTAATAGCAATGCACACACCCATCACGTTCACGTCAAAAAGTGCTCTCCATTCTTCCGGTTTTCCGCTAGTGAAGGGTTTTCCAGCTGACCCAATCCCCGCACAGTTGACCAGAATGTGAACGGGTCCTAAATTCTTGGTGGTCCACTTGAAGAGTGATAGAATGTCTTCTTCTTTGCGGAGATCGGCTTTGAAAGCATGGAGTTTCCCTTTTTTGTTGGAGAGGATTTTGGCGTGCTCTTCTACAAGTTCTGGGCGGCAGTCTACACCTACTACCTAAAAGGATAATTGTTAAGGTTAACATATGTGGAATAAAATATAGAGTGGGTTACAATTAGGGCGTTTTCCACTAGGGCGTCAGCAACTGCAGCACCGATTCCAGAAGCAGCGCCAGTTACTATGGCGACTTTGCCAGACCATTTGTCCATTGACACAACCATTATGAACAGAAGCTTGCAGAACACTACTTGAGACAGAATGTATTCTAGTAATTTATAGGTAAAGTCGGTTCCAAATACAACTGATATCATCTATATGTTTAAGATAACGGTAAGTACTTGTTAATTTAGATGTTCTTAAAACATTTGCACTAAAGTATTATAATTTGTTTGAAATAAGATGAAATGTTGTGCGATATTGTGTTAATTAAAAGTATATACTATTAACAAATTTTAAACACAATTTGCCACCATAGATATATAGTTAATAGTATTTGGTCCCATTGTGAATACAGATATTTTTCTTTTTTTTTAACAACTATTGCTCTACTCTATTTCTATTAAAGTAAGTTGTACAAGATTAGAGTGACATTATACTGATTGTGACAGAAAACGAAAAAACTGACCTACACATTTTTGTTGTTATGAAACTAATTAACAAATGTCAATACTTAAAATCCTTCAACCCAAAAACCATAAATCCTTAACGTGTCTAAAATTGGTTAAGATTCGCTGTGACGGTCGACGCGCTATTCCCAGAGATTACCTTCCAATACTTAGTTAACTCAACTGTCTCATTGGTGGAGACTGTTTTCATAAACGGGACTCTGAGTTGACCAGAGCTTTCAATTTTCAAACAAATGTTTCAAAATCTGGGAGCAGTAAAAATTTTCGAAGAACCGAATCAGGTGTGCAGTAAGCACGAACTGTGGGAGTGCTATTGTAATAGTGGGAACTGGTTTTGGAGCAACGGAAGAACAAGATCCATCCTCATCTCATACTGGATCGAACTAGAGAGTATGATGATTAAGACCTCATTTTGAAAAATTTTCTCATCTCTGGCCAAGGAAGCTTGCTCTTTTTCCTTTCGTCATTTCGGACATAGGTCACCTTAAAGCTGTCTCCAGAGCAGCTGTTTTGATTTTAGTCTGGCAGGGCCGCTCATGGAGTGTGTGGTCTGCCTGGTCTCCTGTTTTCTACATCTTAGAAATGTATGGTTTACTAAGTGTGTGTCGAGTCCATTTCCGATGTTGTCTGTTTGTCGGAAACATGGTTGTCTGAAGATATTTTGAATACTGGGCTGTTTTCTTCAGAATACATAGTATTTCGTTGTGACATGGTTGGTTGTAAGATTAATTTCTTGGCTTATTCTTTATACATCTTTATACGTTATTTACCTCCCCAATTAGCAGTGAATGAATTTGAATTATTGGAAACTTTCTTTTGACACAAGCTTTGGGTAAGGTAGTAGTCCTAGGAAATTTTAGTGTTCCAGGATTTTATTCTAAGTTGCGTACAGACTCAAAGGTATTATTGCTTTATCACTTTTACAGACTTATCACAAGTTAGTAATATACATAGGTAATGACAGCAGTAACCTTCTAGATCTTGTACTATCCAATCTGACAGTTGTAAATATCATGAAACTTGAATACTCCTTTGTACGAGCGACAGAAGATTGTGGATTTTAACGCTTATCTGGAAAACATCGAAACCTCTATAGTGACTAATCCAAAAGAGAATTTTGCAAGCGCAACACCCATCAATTTGGTACACCACGATTATAAAACCAATTGTCAGAGAGAACTTTTATGAATATCGGAAGACGAGAGCTGCTATAAGGAGATGGCGCTGTAATTGCTACCTGATCCCGCTCAAGTTCCTGCATTTTTACTTAAGGATTGTACTGGTATATTTGTTGAGCCGTTATGTTACCTGTTCAATTTGTCATTGAAATATTCAATGTCCAGATGTACGGAAGGTTTCAAGAATTGGAATTGGAATTAAACAAGGTGACTCAACACACATTCCTAACTATCGATGGATAGCAATTACCTGTAAAGTTTTTGAAGTAGTTATATACAATTGTATCTCTCCCATGATCATGTATTCTGTGTCTCAATTTATATCATAGATCTGCTGCATCTAATTTAGTTCAGTTAACCAGTTTGTTGCGGAGATAATAGATAAAGGTGGACGAGTGGACATGATGTATGCGGATCTCACTAAAGCGTTTGATCGGATATGTCACGAGATTTTGATCGATAAATTGTATAAGTGGGGGCTTTCAGACACCTTGTTGGATTTTTTAGTTCTTATTTTCACGAATGATGGTTGAGGGTTGAATACAATGGTTTCTTCTGGGATTTTTTTTGCCATTTCTGGTGTCCCTCAGGGGTCTGTCCTGAGCCCGTTGCTATTTCTAATCTACATCAATGATGTTGTTGAGGTCATAAAGCATTTCCAGGTTTTGTTGTATGCTGATGTAAATATAAATATATTTCGTACTATCACATCATAGAATGATTGTTTAAAACTACAAATAGATATACTCAACCTGCTTCTATGATCTGACCAAAATAAGTTTGAATATAATAAAGAGAAATGTAAGGTGATTAGTTTTACAAAAAGTAAGAAAAACATCTATTGTAGGTATAAAAGCCATAATCATTCACTTTCTAGAGTCTCGAGTGTTAGGGATATGGAAATGACTTTTGACACTAGTTTTAGTTTCGCTAATATATATCCCTGATGGTAGAGAAGTCACAAAAGGTATTGGGGTTCATTGTAAGGCACTGCTCCGGATTTAAGAATTTGACTGCTTTAAGAATTTTTTTCACTAGCAGCCTGGACGCATGCAAATGTCGACTCATTTAGAGGGAGCAAATTCAACTTTTGCTACCACGGGTTCAAAAAGAAAAATTGAGGTTATGTACGCAATGTTTGATGTGATTATTTCTTAAAAAATGAAGAAATGTGTGCTACAAACATTACTTGAGTATACGCATGGTAGTTGGTAGACGGTAGAAAATAAAATGATTAACTCAGCGACAAGTATAAACGGTTTTCTTTGTGTTGAAGATTTAGATTAAGTTTGATTAGAAATCAAAACAAAATCATGTTGCGTCAAAAAATTGAACGTTTATTTTTTCAGTTTATTGTCTTATGGTTTCTGCTAGTGAAAAAAATAGTATATTAACCACGGTTGCAAAGCCACTTCTAGACCTCGCGCTTCAGAGCCCTCGACGCTGCGCGTCTCGGGTTCTAATTTGCGCTCGGTCGAGAATGCTGGGCTCTGCAACCTTGGCTAATAATATACTATTATTCATCGCTCTTGTTTGCTCCACTCTGGAGTATGACTCGGTGGTTTGGGCGCCATTATATGCTAATCATAAGAACAGTATAGAAAAGGTCCAAAGAAGATTTTTAAAATATCTTTTTTATAGCTTGGTCTAGAATGATTGTCTTCACAACCTTGGTTAATAATATACTAATTTCTACAAAAAATAACAAAGCTGTAAAATATGACAACTTTTAATATATCAGTAAGGATACGCAAAATGTGTCATTCAAGCTCTAGTTAAAAAATAATTTATTTGTTCACTGTTACGTTACGTTGTTCTTTTCACTGTTATGTTACGCATTTTTTTTACTGTTACGCTACGGTTTAAATAACACATTTTGCAAATCACAATATGTAATTTTCTTCAAAAATAACAATTATTACAAAATAATTTTTATTACTCTCACGGCTGTGGCACTCCATTTATTGCGGAAACTTATTGCCGTGACACTTTATATTGTTACGATAATCCGTAATTTGAAAATTGGCGTGGGTAAAACTCAACAATTTATTTCTCAGTTATACCAATTAAACTATACAGCGATTATGTACAGAATAATTCCGACTCTACTAGAATGGATTTGACTAGCCTCTACTTCTCCCGTTGTCTGGACTAGTCTGACCGCTCCCGACGGTGATTCCCATTTAAACAGCCACGCGGTCCTTCTCGAAAGGCCTCTGTCACCTCTTCTAGACTTGAGTGGAGCACCCATTGCGACTTCCGCTTCCAGGCTCTTCTTTAGCAAACGCCGTCCAGCCGCCGTCACCGACGATGAATCATCCATCATCGCCGCACATACTAGAAAACTCATAGGCGTCGTACCGAGGCAGCGTATGGGTTTATTTCGTAACAATATTTTTCACAATTTTGCACTAAAACAAATGCAGGACCATTCCTTCGTTACGCGTACGCATCAGTCAGCTATATATTTTGAGTAACGAAATTATTTTTAAATCAAATTTTATTTTTGTTTTCAAACAAACAGTTGTACAAAAAACGTTGTTTGTATTTCATGCACGAGTTGTGGTTTCTTTTAATTGCATTCGACCTTCGGTCTTGACCCGAAAATTCACATTCTCATGCCATTAAAAAAAAACACGATTTCGCGCACTTGATACAAAAATAAATACTTTCCATTTGAACTAGGTATCTTTAGTTTTGTTTCTAATTAGATATTTTTCTTACTATTCCTATTCTTCTTTTCATATCTCTCTTTTTCTTATTATTCGCCGTTCTTGTTATCGTTGAATTTCACACAATAAAAAATTGTACTGGTGTCATTACATATATATTTTTGTTTGACGACTGCCTATATTTTGACGGGTTCTGAAAATTTACCGTTATATACTATAATATATTTTCTTCCTTTTCTGTAATTTATTCCAATATTGCTTTTAGAGTGCAGATATGATCTATGAATAACTTTCTAACTCTAAATCGAGCTTGTTTTCCTCTTAGTTTCCTATCTAAAACTGTTTTTTTCTGTGATTCACCATTATTCTAGTCACCATTTTACTGGATATCAAGGTGATAAGTCTCCAGTTCTCAGTTTTAGTTAAATTTTATTTTTTTGGTAGTTTTTTCTTTACAATCAATAGTATGGTATTTCTAGTTGTTCATACCTTTTTTAAAAGTATGTGCATCACTTCAACACATTTACATATCTATGTTTATTTTCATGAATTCTGCTCTTATCTGCTGTATTCCTGCAGATCTTCCATTTTTCAGTGTTTCGATTGTTTTTCTTATTTCTCTTTTACTAAATGCCCTTACATAGATTCCGGTGGCTTTAACAATCCTCCTCTGTTCATCAGTCCTTCCTTCTTCTTTTTGTTCTATTCCACCCATCTATTTTGTATTTCTTCTTACATTTATAAGTCTCCTTTTTTCCTGTCAGTCTTGTTTGTACGTTTTTCTTTTCGTAACTTTCTTTATTATTTTATCTAATTTTTTTCTCTTACACCTATTGTTATTTCTTTATCTTTTTCTTTTTCTTTGTTCTTACGTAATATTTGTCGTTTTATTTAATTTTTTCTACAATTTTAGTTTATGTTGACTACGAAATCCATTCTTTGTATTCTTTATTTCTATATATGTTCTATTCCTGATTTAGCTGTCGCTGCCGCTGACGGTTCCTATGCCATGGTTGTCCATAATTTGTTTATTCTTTGTATTGTCTTTTTCAACCTTCGTATTCCAATTCCCATTATTATTTTTTGCGGACAACACCTTTCTCGATCAAATCAACTCCACCTTGTTCTTTCTGCAGGCTTCGTTCAGTTGCCAAACCTCCAAACCTGGGACCCTACTATAGGTGTAGGGCCGGTAATATTTTTAACAACCACGAGATCCGGTGTGCAATTCGACCCTCCGACCTCCGTGAGTACCTTTTTGGGTCATCTGCCCGTTTGCGTAACGGTTTTTGGAATCGGCGCCCCCGAGCGAAAAATCGTACCACCGTCACCGTTTTTTTTTTTCTCTCGTCACCGTCACAAGTCGAAACCGTCATCCACGCGTCATGTACGCCACCGCGCTCCCTTCCCGGGTCGCCGTACCGTCTTCGCGCGATTTCCAGGTCAAGGTCGCCGCCCCCAGGTCCAGAAGAAGTCCGTCCTGAAGGAAGTCACCGACCAGGAGCAACGACCGTGCGGAACATTTAACTTTTTTTGTGTAAAATCGTTTTGTATTTATTAAGTTAAGTTTAGCCGTAAGATTATTATTTTAGCAGTGTAGCTGGTGGCAGGGAATAAACCCTATTTATTGTGTAAAATATTCCTTGCCGTTTTATTTTATTCTCGTGTTTTCGCGGGCGGTCACCACTTGAGATCCGTGTCTCCGGCTTGAGAGCAACGCCGGCGCTCCCTCCCCCGGATAAGCTTAGGTCGGTCAGATGTGTTTTTTAAATCAGCGACACTAGTCGGTTACTTTCACTCCTCGGGGTTGATGCCACTTCTTTCACTCCGGGGGCGGTTGCTCGGGCGCCAGTTTCCTCTCCTGACAGAGACAGCACTTAGGTTACTCTAGACAGAGAAACGAATCTCTGGCGGGGGCGTCTATTATTTCTCTCTGTGTGTGTCTATCTGTCTGTTTGTCTGTCTATGAATAACCTAACCATCGGATTAGAACCGAATTTTGGGCAAACAAAAAGTCAATGTTCAAGGTTATCTTGCGAAGGATGAATACGAGTGTGAATCGTCCATTTCTATTGACATTGCGTGTGGGAACATTAGTACCAATTTTCAAGTGAAAGGTGTACTTGGAGTTGTCGTGCGACGAAGAAAAAAAATTGTGTTCACGTATTACACTTTTTTTAAGTCACTTCTAGAGAGGTATATTTTTTGTTAGGTAGCATTTTACGGTTTACAATCTAGGGGGAATTAGGAACGAAAGTTATAGAGTACTTTTTAAAAGAATCAATAAAGAAGGTACAATTAGATTAAAATAAACACAGCATAGAAATGCAAACCACTTCAATAAAAATGTTTCATAATACCTATTGAATTGTGAACAGTAGAATAAAAATTCAATTAAATTACTTTAGTTGAACCTATTATGTGATAATTAGGAACATGTTATATAGAAACAAACTCGAATAACATCATATGATTCTGAAGGAGACAACCATATACCCCACTTTCCCAGTTCTTGCCAAAGACCAAAATGGTACTTTCGATGGAGAGATGGAAAGATAAAATTGCTGTTGTGACTGGTGCTAGTTCTGGAATCGGTGCTTCTGTTGCGGATGCCCTTGTGGAACAAGGTCTCACGGTAAATAAAGTTTCCATTATTTCTAAATTTATACATACTTCTATGCTATTTTGCTATTTTGAAGGTGGTGGGTTTGGCTCGTCGTGTTGACCGCATCAAAGAACGGTCCACACACCTCTCGAACAAAAAAGGTAAACTTCATGGTGTCAAAGTTGACATAAGGAAAGAAAACGAAATTGTGGACGCCTTCAAATGGATTATGGAGAATTTAGGATCGGTACATATTTTAGTCAATTGTGCTGGTTGTTCAACAGAAGCTTTACTAACTGAAGGAAACACAGAAGATTGGAAAAGAATCTTTGACGTCAACGTCCTCGGATTGTGTGTTGCCACAAGACAAGCTGTCAACATCATGAAATCAAACTATATTAACGGGCACATCATACACATTAATAGTATTTTGGGGCACTCCATTCAAAATGTGTCCAAGGTTAATGTTTATCCAGCGTCGAAATTTGCAGTTACTGCTCTCACCGAAACTCTAAGACAGGAGTTGAATACCCTTGGCAGCAAAATTAAGATAACTGTAATTTTCCGTTTAATTTAGACTTGTTTAAAACATGATTGTGTTATAGAGCATCAGTCCGGGTTTAGTAGTTACTGAGATGACTCTACTGAATAAAAATTTTACGGAAGAGCGAAGAAAAGCATTTGAAAGTCGACCAACTTTAAATGTTGAAGATGTTGCAGATGGAGTTGTGTATGTGTTGTCTACTCCAGAGCATGTTCAGGTATTTTTATTTGAGAAATGTTTTTGTTATTTCATTTTATTTTTGCAGGTGCATGAATTAACAATTAAGCCAATTGGCGAACCTTGTTAAAATTATTATTATTATTAAAGTTACTAACAGACGAAAGATTTAAGATTTAGCTATGAACAGTCACTAAAGTGGAGGCCTACGTTGTGTTTTTAGGAAGAAATTAGAAAGGACGAAAGTAAAAAAAGTGTTTTATTTTTATTTGAAAGAAAAATATTTATAACCAAACTTCTTCAAAATGTTTCACCAACGGGTTTAATAGTGAGTTCGTGAACCTGAAAGTAACCAATATTTAAATACGTATATATTTTACACTCACCTGTACACTTACCTGTACATGTTCTGGAGTCGACAATGCATAGACAACTCCATCGGCAATATCTTGAGGTTTTAATGCCTGAGTCTTCTTTAAAGCAGCTTTTCTGTCTTCAGGAAGATCTTTATTGCCCGTCGTCATTTCACTTTCTACTAAACCAGGACTGACACTCTACAAGGGTTTAATAAAATCAAGAAAACCATTAATCAACTAAAAAAAACTTACCGTAACTTTGATTTTAAGACCCAAATGGTTGAATTCTTGCCTCAGCGTCTCCGTCAATGCCGTAACAGCATATTTGGACGCCGGGTAAACGTTCAAAGTTGACAAATGTATAACTTTATGACCTAAGACACTATTAATGTGCACAATATGTCCATTTATTTTATTTTCTTTCATAATTTTCACAGCTTCTCGAGTGGCAATGCATAATCCCATTACATTCAGATCCCAAATTTTTCTCCATTCTTCAGTTGGGCCTTCTGTCAAGTTTGTAAATGATGCTTTCCCAGCGTTATTAATAAGAATGTGGACGGGTCCTAGATTTTTTGTAGTCCATTCAAAAATTCCTAAAATTTCGTCTTCTTTTGTAAAGTCTGCTTTGACTGCGTGGAGTTTTCCTTTCTTGCTTGTTAACTTTTTTGCTCTTTCTTCAACTATTTCAGAACGACGTGCTACGCCTACTACCTGTAATATTCCAGTTAGTGTTTTTTTAATTTATTTGATGAAGATTTTTACAATTAGACCATGTTCGACCAGGGTGTCGGCAATAGAGGCACCAATTCCGGAACTAGCACCCGTTACTATGGCAACTTTACCCACCCATCTCTCCATTGATAGAACCATTTTGAGCACGTGTTCGCGGCTGTGAGATTTCGTAGACACTGGATGCCGATAAGTCTGTAATTTATTGGAATGTGGTTGTTGCCAAGGTTACAGATAAAAATTGTAGCAATGATTTTGCAGTTTCTTTTTAACTTGTTTATTGTTATCAGTGCTGTTGCACTGTGTTATAGATAGTTGCACAACATAACGTAAATTCTGCTTGGGAACGAAGAATTCAAGTTCATTGTAATTAATAATTATGTAAGGTCATGTGTGGTTACCTACTTGAATTTACACTCGGTGACTTATAATAATTTTATCGAGTAAGATAACCACTTTACTGTTACGTTGGGATTATTTTGTAATGGTCAAATTGAGAGGCAACACGTTGTTCGTGATGTACTTCGACCATATAATCATTTATAGAAACCCCGTATATAAATTTTCTCTATAACGTTCACACCAGTCATGACAAAGGATTGGATGACTCTGTTAGCAACAGCAATGCAAAAAGAGAAAAAACCCAGAAGATGAAAATAACAAACTCAAGCAGAGCGAGAGCGATTGACCAAAAAGGGCGATAGCGATAGGTCGCCAGCAGTCCCGGCATGGTGGATAATTTAATTATGAATTTTGTTGTCAACAGTTTACACCCTTTTTTTCTTTTAATAATAATTTATTTAAAGCAAGTAAATATAACAGTGAAGTTTCACTTCAAAAACACTAAAATTTCATTTGCAGTCAAATCTTGAAATTACCAAAGAAAATATAATCCACGAAATGCCAAAGATACCATTTGTAAGTGTTAATGCTGATTGTTGGTGGGCTACCTTACCTACTTATCACAAACATTTGTAAAAGTTTTTGTTTTTAACTTGTAATTTACTAATTTTAGGATTTACTTAGGCATCATGCAACTTTGGCATGTCAGAGAGTGAGAAGATTTAAAAAATTATTGTTTAAATTTAGGATTTAAACATCTTGGGTCTCTCGAAGTGGACAGGAGTGACGGGCTTTGTAAAAGGGTTACACTGGGAACGCAACGGGATGTATTTGTAGTTACTTAGGGTAAATGGGCATCATTTCGACACCCTCTTCTTTAGGTCGTGGTTATGTTCATTGCTTTCTTCGATAACGAAGACCAGAGTTATCTTTCTCAATGTTGTTTCTTGAAATTCGGACTATACTTCTTCTTCTTTCTTTTCTGATTCTTTTTGTGTGCTGAACCTGGACCATGGCTTCTTTTATTCATGTTAACTGTTGGTGGATTTATGATGGAGCCAAATTTACCACCACCGGCCGAGATTATTTGGGTGTGACTGATACCGATGCCGTTTTTTGGAGTGCCAGTGGATTTTGTTTTGGTCTTGAATTGGTGACTGGTAGGACAGTTTTCTCAATTTATGCAACTTATGAATGTCTATCTGTCTGGCGATTCGGCTTGGAAGTCAGGACATTCGTAAATTGAATGAGAATCTGCAATATTTGCATAATTTTGTGTTTGAAATTGTTTCCATCTTGTTAAACTGGGCATTTACTTTCTTGTTCACCGTATTTATGCGAGAGATAGAAATCTTGTCTGTAGAAAATCCATCACTTTCTCGAATTTTTGCATATCGTGCGGGTTGTTTAACGACTGCTCTTTCTGTGCCCCATTTTTGAGAGATTATTCTGATGAGTATTGGTCCCCATGTTTCGGTCTGCATGTCTAAATTGTTTCATCCTTCTAGACATTCTTTTATTCTTGTGTCATGTAATTTCTTCAGCTTCTCTGCTGATTCTTCTTGTATTCTTGGCTTATCCAAAATTCTGTCTAATAACTTACTTACGGTAAGCCTTGTGTTGCTAAATCTTTTAACCAACAGCTCCCATGCTGTTTCGTAATTTTTTCAGTTATCTGGAGATGCTGGATGATTCTGCTGGGCTCAGCTGTGATGTACATCTTCAGATACTGCATTTTTTCAATCTTGGAGAGCGATTTGTTGTTGTGGATGACTTTCTTTAATAAATCGTGGAAAGTGGGCCGATCTTCCTATTTTCTCTTTAGCTTTCTCGTACATCTCGTCGGCAAAATATTTTTCTTCGAAATCAGTTGGATGGATATAGATTTCTTCATGCAGTTCCACGATGCTTCCCACTGACCTTGGATTTTTCGGACAGAAATTCATACTTGGCTCTGATGTAATCCTGACCTAAGTCGCTGTTTATTTTGGTCAGTTCGGTCGACATTTTTTGCATTCTCAACAATTGACGTCGGATGCATCTTCGTGCAACGCTTCCAATTGATGGAAATATTTCAATTCGAAATACTTGTGGGTTGTTCTGAGGGTAGGCCAAAGTATCTTCAGTTATTCGTGATTTCGTTGAACTTCATTTCAATATTCTTGGAGTTGTTCTGCCCTTTTGGATCGCCAGTTTTGGGTTTTTCTTTGTGCGGGATCTTGTCTCGTGTTGGTTAAGAGACTTCAAATTTTCTTCCCCGAATCTTCTTGCTCTTTGGCTTTCTTGTTGAATTCTTCCATGACGGATTTAGTTGGTATCTTGCACCCTTAATTATGTGCTGAGTATAAAGGGCACCACCGACCGAAAATAGTCTCGGAAGTGGTGCTTGTGTAAGGATGGTACCATCGGACTGCAGTTTCGCAATCTGAAATTATAGACTGACGGCCCGAAAATTGTAGACTTGGAATGTGGCACCTGGTGCAGTAATGGCTCGAAAGACCACACACAATTCTGGGGTAGAACTGTGGGGAGTGAGTAAAAAGGCAATAATACTTAATACTAATTTATTCAGGATAATCTAACTTATTTATACAAAACTACATATTTACAATATATCAGTGCTTCTAAACTAATGGTAATAATAGATCTGAAATTATATTGCGTCTCAGTCTCTTGTATATTCTTTTTTAATAATAATAATAATAATATGTTCTTTATTGTCCAACAGATTTACCACTTATAGGACAATATTAATAACAATGTGTGTTTAACAAAATAAAGTTAAATAAAGAAAATTAACAATAAAAAAAGAAAAAAATATAACAAATTTCTGGGTGTCCCTAACAAAATACATCATTATATACATTATCTACAGCTTTACACATGACATGAATCGGTGAACGTTGTAAAACATTTGTTCTCGCCGTTGGCACTTGAAAACTTGCTTGATATCGTGATGCTAAACGTGGCACATAAAATGGTAATTTGGAAAGTAAAAATGCACAGTCAATCTTATTGTGTATTAACTTATAAGCAAATTTTGCACAGCACATTTCTCTCCTTTGTAATAATGACTTCATATTATGTCGATTTTGCAAATTTTGCTGATCAGTACCAATCTGTGGATAAACTCCATTAATTTTAAATGATAAATATTTTAAAAACCTTCTGTGAATTTTCTCTAAGGCCATAATATGAGATACATAAATAGGGTTCCATACAAGACTTGCATACTCAATTTTACTTAACACATATGCAAAATAAAGTTGTTTAATTAAAGTTAAGTCAGAAAAATGCCTACATGTTCTCATAACAAAACCTAATGATTTATACGCCGATGTGCAAACAACCTCTAGATGTGGAAGAAATGATAATTCGGAATCAAAAGTTACTCCTAGATCCTTCATGCAATTCTTTTGCTTAATAATATGATTTCCCAACACATAGGACGATTGAGTTGAAGTTTTTTTACGGCTGTATTTGACAAGAAAACATTTTTCCTTGTTCAATGGCAACTTAAACATGTCACACCAACTAATCATCAGATTGATATTATTCTGCAAGATATCTACATCAACTGCACTGCCAATGGAGTGATATAGTTTAATATCATCAGCGTATGCAAGGACTGGGTAACTAAATTGTTCGAGTAGATCATTAATAAATAGAATGAATAAAAGAGGACCAAGATTAGAGCCCTGCGGAACTCCAGAATTAACTGAGAATTTATAAGACACATAACCACTATAAGCAACGTAAGATGTTCTGTCTTTTAAATAAGAACGCATTAACAGCAATGAATCCTCCGACAATCCATACAAATCAAGCTTTTGCAGAAGAATACTATGTTGAATTGAATCAAAAGCTCGAGTGAAATCAGTGTAGACTACATCAGCTTGACCTCGAATATCAATTATTTCACTTAAATATTGCGTGATAGTGGCTAAATTACTAACTGTAGACCGACCACTAACGAAGCCATGCTGGTAGGGAGAGATATATTTTTTCACATTACTGTAGATTGTTAAATATAGTGATTGTTCAAAAACTTTCGAAAAATTTGGCAATATAGAAATCTGTCTGTAATTTAACACATCTGAACTATCACCTTTCTTCAAAATTGGGGAGATCCTGGCGCATTTCCACTTTGATGGAAAGGTTGAAGTTTTAATGGCAAGGTTGAAAATAAGTGATAATGGTTCCGCAAATGCATATCTACAATCCCGAACAATGAAACTCGGGATTAGATCGTCTCCCGCTGTGAATTTATCATGAAACTTGGACATTATATTAATAAGTTCAACTGGGCTGACGTAAGGAAATTGAAATGGTAAAGCGTTACTGGAAGATTGAGATGGAATGTGTGGAGAATCACTTGAATATGATTTCGAAAAATTTTCTGCAAAAGCATTAACTATACTTTGTGGATCAGTGTATTCGGATAAACCATTGTGAACTCGACCAGGAATTCTTGTAGAACTACGTCGTTGGTTTAAATAGTTCCATAAATTAGAAGGATTCGACTTAAGATTTCTTTGAACTAAATCGAGGTAAGAATTATGAGCTTCAGAAATCTGCATTTTCACTAGACTGCGGAAGTGCGGAGACGTTTAAATTCAAGTTGATATGTTTCATTGTGAGTTGTTATCCATTTACGTCTATAATTTTCTTTGTTTCTTAAATTAGCTATAATTTGAGATGTGAACCATACGGGATACCTTGTTTTACGGGGACACTTTTTTGGAACATGCGCATCAAATATATTATATAATACAGAATAAAAATGATCTACAGCGTGATTAACATTATCTAAATGTTTAAGATAAGACCAGTCAATATTAAGTAATGCATCATATAACAATGGAAAATTCGCTTTACGAAAATTGTACACCCGTTTATTATTTGGAGGAAATTTAAGAGGTTTCGAAGTTTCTAAACCATCAAGTGTTATTAACAACGCAGGATGAAGTACATCTTCTCTAACTAATGGATGATTGCATTGAGTAACTGACATTTGCCATTGCTTATTTGCAAATACTAAATCTAATAATTTATTATCAGAATTCCTAATATCATTATACTGAGTCCAAGATATCAATAAAATGCTGCAAAGAAATTGACTTACTCGATAAAGGTTTATTTGAAGTACCATAATCTGGAACATTAAAGTCACCAATCAATATAAATTTCTCATTAAATAAGAATTGTTCAAGTACTGAAGTAAACGTATCAAGATCATTAGCTGAAACATCAGGGGGTATATAGACAACGCCTAAAACAATATGAAAAGTATGAATTACACATTTGCATAAAACTATATCAATTAAAGGAACTATAGCGGAAAAATGTGTTGTATCAATTACTGTACAGGTATATTTATTTGATAACGCAAGAAGAACACCACCACCTTTTGAACGATTTACACTAGCAAATTTGCGATCACACCGAACAATATGATAAGAATCACCTGGTAATAATTCATTTTTTTGTTCCATTACTGTTCTCTTCTTAACGCTGACGACGGTGATCTTGTCGTGGTCAGTGTTTCGTACTTATGGTGCTTGGAACACCGATGTTTTAGCGTTCTACAATTCACGTCGTTTGATCTTGACCTCATTATTGGTTGCATAAATAAGAAATTAAAATTTAAAAAACTATTGTTTAAATTTAGGATTTAAACAGATGTATGTATTTGTAGCACGTTTGGAGAAGATTCTACGCCCAATTCGTCCGAAGATTCAAATAATTTACAAGTGCTGTATTTGAAAAAGATGTGTAGACAAACTTTGGCTGAATGTCGCAGGCTATGGAATAAGCAAAACAGTTCTACTGTTGCAGGTGACTTAATAAAAGAATCCTTAGAAGCATATCTGAAAGTACCAAATGTCACAAGATGGAATTGACTGTTTGATGCATGCCATCAATACAAAATTTTGATGTCCAGTAACTTCAGTAGCAGTGATAGTGACAAAACGATAACGGGCTAGGCAAAACGAACTCTGTTATTCGCTGGGTCTCCCACGATTTCAGAAGAACGAAGTAATTTTCTTACCAGAATATGTTGAAGGAAATCGTAGTATATTTATATTATATTCGGTAATATTATATGTATTACCAAACCACTATTGTACCAAACAGTTACTACTATAACATTGTGATAACCCAAACTTCCCTCCTTTAAATTGACCTTGAAAAAGTTTGAAAGGCCCGCGAAAAATTAAAAAATTCAAAATTTGTCCTTGGCAGTGATCGTCTAATAAAATGGGAACCTACGTTGTGTTTTTTTTTTTTTTTGAAAGGTGGCGGGAAAACGTTCTTTCATACAAGTGAGCATACACTGCGTGCGAGTAGAGAGCGCAAGAAATAATAGACAACATTTTTAGGAGGGGGCAAAAAAAGTGCGCTCTCTCTCTAGGAGGAAAGAAGCTGCGACCGAAGGCGACACGGACTTGCCATCTCACATTCACTCCTCAGCCCCAAAACCCCCTATTGTATATTCACGGACATATTACATTTCAAATGCAACACCTTAAAAATATGAAAGAAAAGATACTCGCGAATTGACAGACATACACATATGAAAAACGAACAAACCCAAAATCCTATACATCTGTTTGGATTCAATGCAAATATTTCAATATCACAAATTTCATAAAATCAAAGCAAAATCTGAATTAAAGTAACTGGATGCAAATACATAAGTTATTACGGACGTGTGGCGTCAAATTTTAAGGTTACGGCAGTTAACAGGAGCATAACAAAAATACCCATGCGGCGTTCTAGTATAAGTGGAGTTTGGGGCTACCGGTTCGGGCTGCTCTCCCCCGCGACGGTAATTCTATTTATCGGCAAGCCTACCGCCCAGCAGCCCTCTCTAACCTAGATAGAGACCTACCGCGCTATCCAGGGCGTTTCGGTCGAAAACTGTGGGTTGGAATGTCAGGGCTATAAATAAGCTGACAGCTCCACGTCGTCCAGACCGTTCCCACTGACTCTATGCAAAACCTGCACCCCTTGTGCGAGATTAATATTTGGCACACTTTATCATCGATTCAAACAAAGAGTTTACATTATGTCAAATTATATCATGATTTAAGTGTTTGGTTACTTAAAAAAATGCAATTTACTTTGAGAGTTTAGAATACCGCGAAGTGGTTACCCCAACAAAACACATAATAAACAGAAACAAAAATGTCCAATCATCGTTGCGAGGAGAAAGCGTCTCGTTGATGTAATTTTATTGTTGTGAGGGAATACCTCGATGATGTATATTTTAGCTGCCAGGAATAAGCCTCGTTAATGTTATCAATCTCTAGCGTTGCGAGGACCTGCTTCTATGAAGTAATCAATCTGTAGCGTTGTGAGGGCATACCCCGGTGATGGAGTCAATCTATATCGTTGGAAGGACATGCCTCGATGAAGTAATCAATCTTTAGAGTTGTGAGGGCATAAGCATAATAACGATGATAACCTCCTAAGGGATTAAATTATTTTAACCCCCCGCCCATTCGCAGTATGAATTTTGTTCATTTAACTGCCATAAATGAACTATTAGCAATCTTGTGTGAAGAATTATGAAGTATTATAATATAACACTTACGTATATGCATCCAGAAACCTATTCGTAGTTTATTAAACAAAGAATTATTATCCTGACTAAATGCATTCCATGAAATTTCCTAGTAAATGGTTCATTTAAATAATCCTGATTATTAAATTGTGTTAACACTACCTGACGATTAAGAAAAACTAACTTGATTGGTGAATTTACAAACAACAAAACAAATTTACAGCACGTGTTCCGCGTTGAACGAAAGTCCGCACTTTTTTCCGATTAAAAGGCCGCAAGATTAGCTACACGTGTTGGGGGAGAAGTGTGTCGTCATCGTTACGATTAATTTTCGTTAAACAAAGGCTTCCTCCTTTTTTATCAACTACCAAACCAACTAATTTAAACTAGCTCTTACCACGTGATTACATTTACAAAAACACTTCGCCATGCCGCCCTCTGTCTAACAACCAACCCTCTAACTAAAATCCCCTAGAGCTACTAATTGTCCAACTATCCAGCAAGCGTTACCGTGCACCTGGTTGCCTATGTTTAACGATTTATGATTTGAATTCTTTTTGTCTTTCTCAAATTCAAATTATTCAAATGTGATTTCGCGCCGCTGTTAATTAATTTCAGCTCAAAAATTTTGATTTAAATTCGGTCGCCACAACATACATGAAGAATTTACAATTTCTATACTGTACATGTTTAATATGCTCGTTAATTGACGGCATTTTAATAAGGTAACTGAAAAGTAAGTTAATCAAATTTTAAATTTCAACGTTGTTGGTGGAAACGATCTGTAATAATTTCAAGTTGCATCCACCCAAAATTCGAATTGGATTCGATTCCTCTTGAAAAAAAAAGAGGCTTACAAGTGGATAGTGGATGAGATAAAGACTCATCATAGAAATGCAGTTGAGTTGGAAAATGTTAGCTCCCCAACTTTTGTTGTGGATAATAATGTTGGAGAGGATTTTTTCAAATTTCTTCTAGATAATCACGCTCCGTCAGATGAAAATTTGATAAAAACGCTTTTTGATAATTTTTTAAAGAATAAAAGTAGACAATTAGATCCATTGATTCAAAGTGCTCTAACTGAAGTGAAGCTGACCAACATTTTGAGTATCAATTACTGTTGAATTTAAATTATGAATATAGTCCTCTTGTGTGAAATATTTATTTGTTGTATTTTATCCTATTGTTGTGAATATGTAACAAATGCGTTAATCAATTAAATCAATCACTGCTTTCTCATACTAACACGTTTTTTCTTGATCCTGTGGATGTTAGAAAAAATAATGTACATATACAACAAATATCTAAAATTATCTCTTCATCAAATTTTTCAAAGTGCAAAAAGTAATTGTTCAAGTAATAAAATACTTTTTAAAAGCAATGAGTAATTGAAATGAATTACTTAAAGAAAAAGTAATTTGTAATATTTGTAATGCATTATTTTTTAAAAGTAATTGTTCCAGTCACTGCCCTGTAGCCAAAGAGTAATGAATGAGTGAATTTATTTTATTGATTAAATCAAGAACTGCAAAACCAAATGCATGGAATCTTGAAGACGTTTTAAAGTTATCGTAAGCATGGTAAATTTTTAATCAAAATATATCTGTTTATCCCCCTCCCCTCCTAAAACTGAAAATTTTGCTGAATAAATTCTGTCTTAAGTATACAAAATCATATTTTGTACACTTTTTGGAGCGAGGGAAGCTCTGTCTACGACAATCATTTGACGCTATTTACTTGACATAGCAATCTTAATTATTTCGAAATATTTAATGTTGGACATTTTAATAAAACAAAATTCCTATAATTTTCAACTATGATTAAAGTTAATGAGTAATATCACGTACATTACACGGGACGAACAATCAAAACACCGTCAAGCATAATTAATTAGCTCTCTCCTGCGTCGGGTGCCAAACTAACCTTCCGGATGTTATAATATTGTTTCGTTCCTTTTAATGTAATGTACTATTATTGTCACCGTTGTTATGACCATAGTGGGGATTACGATAAATAAAGAGACAATGTTTTTATTAAACAATTTAGTTCTCATGTATGTAACCACTTCAACTGTAGACAATGAGTTACGCAATATCAGTCTACATTAGCCACCAGTGCAGAAGTACTACTGCACTACGTCCGGCTATATAATTTTTAAGAAATAAATTATATTAAATTGCTCTCTTTTATAATAATGGAAACAAAAACTGTCTGTGAAAGTGATGTTCAAAAGTGGTTAAAAGTTGCTCTCGCAGAAGAAAATCTTGCAACTTTTATAGTAAATATAACTGGAAGCTCTGAAAAAGGTGATGGATATGTGGGAGACGTAATTTTCGTTGTTGTAGTAGGAACTGACAAACAAGGCACAAACAAAGAATACCATCTTGTTTTAAAATGCAGCAAACCTAGTGCTGCTTTAATGAAAAATGCACCTGCTTTTAGAAAAGCATTTGCGAGAGAAGCTTACTTGTATCAACATGTTTTTCCACTTTTCGAACAATTTCAAATTAGCAAAGGCATCGAAAAGCCCTTTGATAGCGTGCCGAAATGTTATGGTGTTTATAGCGATGAATTCAGATATGTTATAGTGTTGGAAAATTTGAAGAAATTAGGGTATGACTTGTGGCCGAAAGCAAAACCACTAACAAGGGAAGTTATAGATATTGTAATAAAAGATTATGCAAAATTCCATGCGACGTCAGTGGCTTTGGAAGAGCAGCAGCCTGAAATATTTCAAAAATTGCTCAACGGCTCTGCTGAAGATTTACTAAAAGGAGTTATTGAAACAGCTAGCTTTGTAAATATGTTCCAAAGTGCTGTGGACGAGGTATATGAGCTGCTAACTGATGATGTTGAGAAGGAAATTTTAGAGCAATGGTTAAAGCTTAAAGACAAAATTTGTTTCATATTCGGTGAAATGACATCAGCTGCCGGTGACTTAAAAGTGATAAATCATGGAGACTCTTGGGTGAACAATTTTTTGTACAAATTTGAAGTAACAGACATTAACAACTAACAAATTTATATTTTAAGTTTAATTTAATTTATTTTATAGAATGAAGAGAAAACATCCGTTTCTAGAGTGGCTATACTCGACTGGCAAATTTCCAAATTCACTTCACCTGTGACCGACCTGTCTTATTTTCTGTTCGCTGGCATATCGGAGGAAAATATTGCTGACATTGACACTATTTTGAAAGATTATTACAGATACTTTTGCGAGTATTTAAAAAGACTAGATAGCAAGTTCGCAGATATGTATACCGTAGAGAATTTTTTTGACTGGTGGAAAAAGTATAGTAAATATGGTTTGGTAATGTGCATTTTGCCGATCAAGTCGTTATATTCGGAGAAGAAAGATCTTCCTGATATGGCTGAAGTTGCCGACCGAGGAATAGATGTTGGGGAATCATTTAAATTTGAAACCAGTGATAAAAATGGCTTCAAAAATAGGTTGAGACCAATTGTTGAATATGCTGTTCAAAATAGTCTAATTTAGTGAAGGTACACTTAAATGGTATTATTATTTGGATATATTAGTTGTTGATAGTTATTGACGTCTTACTTCGCATTCAGAGTAACACGAATATTAATTTATTATTATTATTCAATTTTATCAATAAAAAAGTTAAGAATTTTCCGCTTTCAAAAAATACAGTTTTTTGGCGACAGAAGTTGAGTATCCCCATTTTCCATCAATCTTTTAGCTAAACCGAGAATAGGCTTCGATAATAAATTTATTTTCCTCTAGAGGGCAAATTTTTCTGCATCATTTGTAATTGGAAGAAATAAACATTAAAATTTGATTCAAAGTTTAACAACTAATCGACAGATTAATTAATTTAGCAAAAAATGAAATGCCGCTAGATTGTTACATATCTACACCCATGATACTGAACATTTTTTGTCGTTATCATTGTTAATATAACGATTATGAGTGTTTAAACGCTATCAATACTAAATATTTATTTTAGATTGATTTGACTACAATGAATTAATGAAAATACATATTAATTCACTCAATTTGTTCTGAAATAATGTCCATTTTTATGGTCCAAATGGTCTTATCATTAATTCATGAACCTACAAAATTTAACTTAAAATAGCAAACACAGATTCATAATGAACTACTTGCTTGGACATGTTCCGGTGTAGATAAAGCATAAATCACACCATCGGCAATATCTTCACTGTTTACGGCAGGTTTGTTCTCGTAAAAAGCTTTCCTTTCAGGAGTCAAATCCTTGGCAAAAGTTGTTCTTCTAGTAGCAACGAAACCTGGACTAACATCCTACACAAATCAAACAAATAAAGCACAGTCTACAAAACCCCTTACCGAAATTTTAATTTTAAGCCCCAGATGGTTCAATTCCTGTCTCAACGTCTCCGTCAATGCAGTTACTGCAAATTTAGACGCCGGATAAACGTTAATTCTCGGCACATTTACGACTTGGTGTCCCAAAACGCTGTTAATGTGAATAATGTGTCCATTTATCTTATTTTCTTTCATGATCTTCACGGCTTCTCTTGTAGCGATGCACAGACCGATAACGTTTAAGTCAAAAACTGATTTCCAGTCTTCGGTTTTGCCGTCCATTAAAGTTGTTTGGTTGGATGCTGCAGCGTTGTTGATTAGAATGTGGACGGGTCCTAGATTTTTGCTCGTCCATTCGAAGACCTTTAAAATGTCTCCTTCGCGAGAAAAGTCGCCTTTGATTGGGTGAAGTTTTCCTTTTTTTCCTGTTAGTGTTTTGGATTTTGCTTCGAGGGTTTCGATGTTGCGTGCCACTCCTACTACCTGAAATAGTGTGTGAGGTTAAAAGTTAATAAGGGTGGACAAAATTTACGATGACGCCTTCTTCAACCAGGGCGTCTGTAATGGCTTCACCGATGCCCGCACTAGCACCAGTTACTATGGCTACTTTGCCCTTCCATCTGTCCATAGAAAGAACCATCGTGAATCAATGTGCACTTTAAGAAAGTCTAGTAAAAACTGAACCTACTCGTTGTTGATAAACAAATAAAAAAAGGTATTCTATGATTAAAGAGTACCTAGGCGTTGACTACAGTATCAAGGTTACCACTTTATGACAAGCAACATTTTGCCACTTTTAAGTATTGCACAATTTATAGAAATATACTAATCTAAAAACATTGTTACTACGCAATATATATCTTAAGCAATTTGCACTATCATTTCGAAGAATTGTCATGTTAGTAAATTCTCCACTCCATCATTTTAAGAGATCGAAGTTTATAATCTTGCTTAAAATATTTTGTCCTGATTTCAAAAATCTATATCTATGATGTTGTTAAGTTGCTGAATGGTTTTCAATCGATTTTCATTTTTGTCTCGTTATCGTTTGTTATACACATTTAGGTATCTCTGTTTGTTTTCATGAGATCTATTATTGTCTGATCTACTCCTACAGCCGTTTCAGTATTCCGTGTTTCGATTGCTCTTCTTATTTTTATTATTTTTTTTTGCTAAATGCTCCTACATCGTTTCCGGTTGCTTTAGTAATCCTCTTCTTCTCGCTAGTCATTTCTTGCATTGTTTTTTTCTGTAGCCATCGTCTTCTCTTTTGAAAAGTATCTCACCCACCTCTTTTGTTTTCGCAACTTGCCGAAGCTCATATACTTCAAATTAGCTGTCAAACTATTCGACGACGGCTTAGAGCAACTAATTTGCTAAACCGTATAGGCACCTGCCAGAGGTGCAGCCTTACCGGCAAATCACCTCAGAGCGTGTTTAGAATTTGCATGAAACCACGTTAATTGGATGGAGGCCGACTGGAGAAGAGTATTCTTTACCAATGAGAGTAGATTTTGTCTACACAATTGCGGCAGATGCGCAATTCAACATACGTGAAACGTCGTTATTTGGTGGTGGATCAATTATGATTTGGGGGGGCATTTCACCAACGGCACGTACAGACTTGGTATTACTAAATAACGGTACTATAAATGCTGAAAGATACATCCTGGACGTGCTACAAGATCATGTTGTCCCTTTTGCCCCCTATGTTGGTCCAAATTTTTTACTTATGCAAGATAATGCACGGCCACACACAGCTCGTATAGTGCAAAATTACCTGCAGGAAGTTGGAATCAATACTATGGATTGGCCAGCGCGAAGCCGAGACTTTAACCCTACCGAGCATCTGTGGGACACCATTGGCAGACGTTTAAGAGCAGCCCAATCAACCCAACACTCTGGAGGCACTGGGGTAACGAGTTGTTGAAATATGGGATGGCTTCGACAATGATGTTTTTAGACCGCTGATGCTAAGTATGCGTCGAAGGTGTGAAGCTGTCTTACGCAGTACAGGTGGAAATACCAAATATTAATTGTTAATTATACTAAAACTTAATTTTTTTAACATTTTCGATTTATTTATTTTAAATTTGTTGTACGTACTTGAAGGTTTTCGCTATCATTTATAGATAATTTTACAATCTATATAAGCACAAAATAAAACTCAGTTGATTCCAAAACCTACTTTGTTATTTTGTGGAAAATAAAAAAATATGTTAAGAATTAGCAGACAAAAAGAAAAAACTTACAAAATAAGAGAAATGGAAAAACTTGAACAGATACAGGGTTTTTATCTAATTATTGTGGGGTCGAAGTAGATCATGAAAGCGTACGCCTATCACTTTATGTGGATTTTAGTGAATGTTCAAGGACTCACGACAAGTACCACACGCATCTGTATAACTGGTTGCCTAAATGCTTCATATCTTATTAAAAAATAAAACTAATTCATTACAATAAAAAGAAACATATTTATTGTAGTTAAAGTAAATGTTGAAAATGTCCACCATTTTGTTCAATTTCATGTTGCAACAGGAACTCCTGATTGCTGAGACAATCTTGTCAAAGAAGTTTGAGGATTCTGCTCGAGTCGTCTCAAATCATCAATAACGTCTTCAGATCCTGAAGGTCTTCCAGGAGATTTCTCTTAGTTGACACTGGCAGTTCGAACAAATATGTTCATTCTCCAATGTGAGCCTCTAACGATGTTTCTTGAATTTACAAATCAATGTATTTGGTTAGATATTTTTGCTTACAAGCGGTTACAGAATACACACACTCTCCGTTTACGAATGTCAGATTGCGATAATAAGACGTAACAATAAGGGAGTCTTGTTCAACAGAACTAAACATTTACACTGTATTTTACAGGGAAGCAGGACATACACAAGACAACCAACCCGTCCGGGTCCTCGTATTCGCTTCCTAGTACAAAAACGAAATTTTCGCACGGAAGCACCAAGAGTTTTGAAAACGACTGTTTTTTTGTTTTGAACTTGGATCAACTAGAATGACTATAATTCACTCTTGACAAACGTTGGAGCAATAAAAACAATAACTCTAAATGACAGGTTAATGACGCGTAATTTCAACGAGGCGGGATTTTTGACATCCATGACTAACTACCCCCTTAGAATCATTTATAAAAACCCTGTAGAAGCGTGCGTGCTGTGAGAAAAAGAGACGGGCAAAGGAAGGCAGAAGAAAAGGAAAAAAAACTTCCTGAGGAAGGTTGTGAGATTATTCTTCTAGGGAGTAAAGCCTGTTGAAGAAGGGTATTAAGCTAGTAATAGCTTTATTAAAACCGAAACTGACGAAATAATGAGCGAGCTAAAAAGAGTTATGCAGAATTGGAAAAAATATTTTAGAAAACTCTTAAACGGAGATGACAGTATAATATATATAGAGCCACCTAAAGAATCGAGGATGATAATATAGGTATAGAAGACCCAATGGAGGAAGACATCCAAACCTAAATACAAGGCTGAAGAACAACAGGAATCCGGAAGAAAGTCCAATACGAGCGTAAATGCTAAAAGAAGGTGGGAAAGGAAATCTTAAGTGAATCCGGGTCTGAGAAGAAGAGAAAATGCTATAAGACTGGTCCAAAGTCCAATCCAATAAAAAGGGGACAAATAGAAAAGTGAGAATTGCAGTGTCCGCAAGACTCGACAAAATATTCGCCAAATCGTTAGGGCTGAACGAATATAGGGAGGACATACTAGGAAAGAATACTAAGCCGGATTTCTGAACGGTAGACCAACACTAGACCAAATTTTCGCAATAAAAGGAATATAAATCACTTGTCATTTATACAATATGAAGATATACACCTTGCTTATTGGCTTGAAGCAAGGCTATGACATAATACTTACACAGGGAAAAGATGTTACATGCAATATAAATCAGAATACCAAAAAGCTACTGAGAGTAATAAAGATAACGTTGGAGGTGCTTTGGAAAGATTTCAAATTTGGGAATTTTGCATTAAGAAGAGGTCTTAGACACGGGAACTTTTTCTCTTCCGTCCTTTTTAACCTAATCCTCGAAATAATAGTACGAAGAAGCGGACTAAAGGCCAAAGAAACTATATCTTTGTAATGACCAACAAGTAATAGCATTTGCTGATGACTTCACGTTGCTAGCCAGTGAAGGAGCGACAGAAAATTAGGATAGTCATTGAGGCACATAAGTTTGGACTGGTTATTAACCAACAAAAACCAAGTACATGGGGACGGGAGTGGAGGATATGTCAACTGGAATGCTGAAAGTCAAAGTATTAACGTCACAGAGTGTGCATTTGAAATTGTGAGCTGTTCTGTCTATTTAGGGATGGAAATACACGATAAAGGAGATGAGGAACAGAAAATCAAGGTTAGAGTAGCAAGAGGTAATAAAAATTTGGTGGACTGAAAGCACTCATGTGCTCAAAATATGTGTCTAGGAATTGAGGTGAGATTATATAAAACAGTGATAAGGCCTACTGTAACATATGCGGTAGCAACACGAATTGGAAATGAAGATGATAAGAATCATCATTGGAGGTAAAAAAACGGAGAAAGGTTGGCAAAGAAGAAAAACACACGGAGTTGAAAGAACTGCTCGAGGATACTTGCGTAACGACGTAAGTTAAGACACAAAGGCTTAGGTGGTTTGGGCATGTGTAATGAATGAACACAGAGAGGTTGCCAAAATTAGTCCTGAACAAAAGGCAGATCGCAAGGAAGAGAAAGGGAAGGCCGAGGAAACGATGGATGGAATCAGTACCAGAAGATATGAGAGCAGCAGAAATAAGTGGCAGGAGAAAAGACGAGACAGAAGCATATTCAACAACATATTAAACTAATTGTAAACAAATTTAATTGCAATATTTTTTGGCCTAGGCCCACGTGGTCTGTAGAGTACTTAAATAAATAACTTTCTTTAATATTTTGCATAATTTTTGTGTTTCTTGTCTTTATCTTGAGCCTATTTTTATTTCTTTGTTTTTCCTATGTTTCTACTTAATATTTGTTGTTTTATTTCTTTTTGTCTTCAATTTTCGTTTTGGTTGACTGCGAAGCCCATTCTTTGCATTCTTTATTTCTATATCATTGTAAGTATATCATATTAATTTAGATGTTGTTTTAATGGCTCTCTTAACATTGTTCTACATTTGTTTTGTTTCATTCTCTCGTAGTGTTTCCATATCTCTTATTTCCTCGTATAGATTTGCTTGGTATCTTGGTGTCTATCAATTTGACCATGTCAAATTTTTGTAGATTTTTCTTGTTTTGTGAGCTGTTTGTTTTTAAACTTATCTTTAGTTTGGCTTTGGCAAGTTCCTGGACAGAAGATATGTATGTACCTCTCATTGCTCTGAGTCCTTCAACGAAGTTTCCCATTTTCAGTACATGATCATAGTCTGTCTTCGTTATCATTGACAGTTTCTATGCCATGGACGGCCATAGCTTGTTCATTTCCTGTATTGTCTTTTCCCTTTTTCGCATCCCAGTCTTCCGTTATTATTTCTTGTGGACACAATCTTTCTCGATCAAGTCAATCCAACTCTTCTGTTGGCTCAAACTGCCCAGATCCTTCAATTCCCAAACCTGCAAAACCTGGAACCCTGTTTCCCGCAATCGACATTCACGGAACTGGTGACAGGTCCGCGAACATTAGCTTACGCTTGGGAAGTAAAAAAATCGTAGAAGGTTATTTTGACAGAACTTCCTTTGCCCTTGAAGTAGAGTAGGTAAAACGTATCTAGCTTTTTCGAAAAATTATACACTTTGATTTTGCTAATTTTATTATTTTAATGGGAACTCCTATAAGTTAAAATGAAGATATGCATATAATGTTAAATTAAATGTAAATCAGCGTGCTATACGTATGGTTCGAATAAGTTTTTCCTTTACAAAATTTTGTGATGACGTCATCAACATTTTTTGCAGAGATATGTATATCAATTTGGATAGACGCAATGTAATAGTAATGATAACAGTATTGTATTCCCAAATTTTCAGGGAAAATGGAGTGAGCCGTTCCAGACTTAATCAAATGAACTGGCACATTCACATTCAAACTGGATATCATTTTATCATCAACACGATACTCCTAATATACAGATAAAATTTGACAACAATCGGTCCGGTAGTTTAGAAGATTATGTGTCTAATAAAAAATAGACCCATCCCCGAGGCAAATTCCACGGTAGCGCGGTCCACACATGTGCAGAAACTACGAAATAAATTAAAAATCTATTGTCAGTCTATGCTTAAGTTCTGGGTGCTTGAAGTAAAAAATCAAGGCGCATTTATGAACCAATTCTGTAAATTTCGACAAAACGGATTTGAAACAATATTTTCACTGACAACCATTTTTGCTGAAAAGTGCCATTAGGTACTATCCCAACAAGATTATTGAAACAACACCTAAAGCTCTGACAATTCTTGATCGGTTTTTACTTCTTCTTTCGCTTTGACTCTTTTTAAGAACTCAAGAATAAAGGAATATACTGGCATCCCTTGACTGAATAATATATTATTTATGAATAAATTAGGTAATGCAATCTGAGTTATAAGTAGCTCACTAATTTCCTGAAGAATCTTTATTTTCTTTTATACACATTAACGATTTACTAGCTAAATTAAGCTGAAGAATCATTTTGTATGCAGACGACACAACTATTGTGGTAAAAATAATTATGTATTCACACAGGTTCTGAAATAGTTACATGTAGCGATGCCCCATGTCCCTGAATACAAAAAGGGCTCTTATTAATGAAGGAACCGAAAACAACCAGAAGACTGGAAGACTGCTACGGTAATTACAAAAAGAGGGATATGTTAGAGAACGATTTATGGAACAAGAAATTTAGTAAAATTCGAAAAGTAATAAATTATTATTAATCACATCAGAACTATTCATGAGACAAAATTTTGTACAATTGTACAGTAAAAACTGCTAGAATATTATATATCCACACCCAGGACATTTAAATTCTTTAAACATTTTTATCGTCATCATCATAATCAACGTTATCATTATTTATGTTATGATACTAAGTATTTAAAGCTAATACTAAATATTTATTCTAGGATGACTGCAGTGACTTAATTAATGATAATATATACAAATTCACTCAGGTTATTGCGAAATAATATCCACTTTTATGGTCCCCACGGTATTAACGTTAATTCATGAACCTACAACATTTGACTTAAGATAACCAACAAGACTTATAATGCACAACTTACTTGAACATGCTCAGGTGTAGATAAAGCGTAAATCACACCATCGGCTATATCTTCACTGTTTAAGGCAGGCCTGTTCTCATAGAAAGCTTTCCTTTCATGAGTTAGATCCTTGGCAAAAGTAGTTCTTCTAGTAGCAACTAAACCTGGACTAACACTCTACACAAATCAAACAAATAAAGCACATTCCACAAAACCACTTACCGAAATTTTAATTTTAAGCCCCAGATGGTTCAACTCCTGTCTCAACGTCTCCGTCAACGCAGTAACTGCAAATTTAGACGCCGGATAAACGTTCATTCTCGGCACATTTATGACTTGGTGCCCCAAAGTGCTATTAATGTGAATAATATGTCCATGTATCTTATTTTCTTTCATGATCTTCACGGCTTCTCTTGTAGCGATGCTCAGACCGATAACGTTTAAGTCAAAAACTGATTTCCAGTCTTCGGTTTTACCGTCTGTTAAAGTCGATTGGGTGGCTAGTCCAGCGTTGTTGATGAGAATGTGGACGGGTCCTAGATTTTTGCTCGTCCATTCGAAGACCTTCAGAATGTCTTCTTCTTGAGAAAATTCGGCTTTGATTGGGTGAAGTTTTCCTCTTTTTCCTTATAGTGTTTTGGATTTTGCTTGGAGGGTTTCGATGTTGCGTGCTGTTCCTACTACCTGAAATACTGTGTGAGGTTAAGTGGATAAGGGTGGATAAGTTTACGATGACGCCTTCTTCGACAAGAGCGTCTGCAATGGCTTCACCGATGCCCGCACTAGCACCAGACACTATGGCTACTTTGCCCTTCCATCTATCCATGGAAAGAACCATCGTGGATCGATGTGCGCGTTACGAAAGTCTGGGAACAACTGAACCCACTCGTTATTGATAAACAAATAAAAGTGATTACTGTGTGACTAAAGAGTAGGTGTTGATTGCAGTCTCAAGGTTATCACTTTATGACTAGCAATATTTTGCCAGTAATTAAAACATGGTTTAAGTATTGCACAGCTTATCTGTTGAAATATGATATCCTGAGCATATTGTCACTACGCAAAAAAATGCATTTTGAAATTATTATTATTATTATCAATGAACAATTACATTTGTATTTTCAAGTATTTATCGCTAAGTTAATTTTAAACTGTAAAATACGTTATTATGAAGCGGTATTATGTACCAAAAATGTGGAAAACATAGGGATAGAAGAAAAATAATAAATGTGATTTATTATTAGAATGAAGTATACAGAAACAGTAACAAAAACGTAATATTTCAAATTCCATTAATCTGCGGCAATAGTAAGTTCATGAACCTAAAAAATAAATTCCTTAAAAAGAAGTAATTTATATTTTTGACTTACTTGGACATGTTCTGGGGTAGATAAAGCGTAAGTCACAGCATTAGCCACATCTTCCGCTTTCAAATAGGGCAGAGTTTTATAAAACTCTCTTCTTTGTAGAGTTAGGTTATCATTTAAAGTAGTTAACCCACTTTCCACTAAACCAGGACTGACACTCTAAACCTCAAAAATTATATCAGTATACACAAATAATAAACTACTCTCAACACTCACAGTAATTTTAATCTTCAACCCCAAATGATTCAACTCTTGCCTCAAAGTTTCAGTCAAAGCAGTAGTCGCAAATTTCGAAGCCGCATACACATTCATATCGGGAATAGGCAACACTTTGTGTCCCAAAAGAGCATTAATGTGTACAATATGACCATTGATCTGATTAGCCTTCATAATTTTCACTGCTTCCCTCGTTGCGATGCATAGTCCAATGACAGCCAAATCAAAAGTTTTTTTCCAGTCTTCGGTTTTACCTTCTGTTAAGGTTCCATATATTACGATCCCAGCGTTGTTGATGAGGATGTGCACAGGCCCCAGATTTTGGGTAGTCCATTCGAAAACTTTCAAAATTTCTTCTTCTTTGGATAGGTCGGCTTTAACGGCATGGAGTTTGCCTTTCTTTCCTGAGAGTTGTTTAGCACGCTCTTGTATGAGTTCGACGCGTCGTGCTACCCCTACTACCTAGAAAAATGTGTTAATTGGGGGTGGTTTCAGTGAATGAAATACTTACGATTAAACCCTGTTCTACAAGGGCGTCTGCAATGCCCGCTCCTATTCCAGAACTGGCGCCTGTCACTATGGCTACTTTGCCAACCCATCGCTCCATGGATAAAACCATCGTGTTAACGTTGTTAGTATAGGTTACACAATCGTGTCAAGGCTCGGAATGACATAGATAATTCTACGGGTTTCAGTTTTGTTTGATTAAAAGATTAAATTGTTATTGCTAGTAATGGTACAGTTATTACAACTAATGTTGTAGTTAATTTGAGATTTTTGAGTAACTTATACATTTTGTACGTAACGTCAAAAATTTTCTTCAATTTAAAAAAAAAAAATGTGGTACTGACATCGTTAATACTTACAAAAAAAATTTTTAAATGACATTCATTGTTTATAAACTACATACGTCCTTGAACTAGTGATTACACGCTAATTCTGTGCATAAAATATATCTCATAGATAAGATACATGGGTTATATATGTTATTTTGTGCGATAAAGATCCTTATAAATGACATAGCCCTTTTCTCTAGGGTCGTCGGTGATGAATAGAGAGCGGAAAATATGCAGCAAAATTTTGAGAAATATGATCATATGATATGCACCAAATTTATGCAAATATGCAGTAACTTTCTTAATATATGCAGAGATATGCAGTTGCATATGCCCCAAAAATTAAAAAAAAAGCTTAATAAGCGAACAAAATTTATTTATAAAATTCAAAAACAGGTTTCCCGAGCTTACATTTTATTACAAAAAATACATAAATCACATTGCAAAGTGTTTAATTACATCTCACTAACACATAAATCACGTTTTTAAAGATAATATTCTTGTACTAAAAAATAAATATAAACAGATCAAATTAAAAAATAGTAGTAATCCACTATTTAATTACTATTTTGGTAACAAATTATTTTTTAGATATTTTTCGGAATATTGTAACAAAAAGTTTTTCCGGTGATTCTAAAGTAAATGTATTTGTAAATAGAAAAACTGCGTACTACGTCCACAGCTGTAAAAATACTTACCGGTTTAGGGCAGGCGCGACAAAGTACAGTTCGTTCTTGAAGAATAAGTTCAGGAAAAGGTTTAATCCATAAATTAATTAGAGTTATCTTCGACAAATTGATACACTTGTATCCCTTTAAATGGTTTCAATATAAACTCACGATGAAAAATAATAACTGTATAACGTCCCTTCGATCACCACTAATAAACGTACCATTAATACACTTAACTAACGAACAAAAATATTGGGAATGAAGGGTATTTCCAAAAGTAATTAGGGCGCGAATTTACCTGGAAGGATGGTTTAACACCCAGTGGTGTCTCCAAACTACCATAAAACCCAAACCTTTTCTAGTTATTTGAAGCTCAGGACAATATTTGTAATATGATTCATAAAATTTCGTCTTTCTAGATAAATGCCGATAGAATGACAATATTTTTTTTTAATTACCACAAAAATTGATAAAAATGCAAAATATGCACCCGTTCCGTGAAATATGCAGCAGAAGGCAAATATATGCAAATATGCAATTTTTTTATAGCTGTATTCATTTTTAATTAGCATGATTCGTTCACATATTAAACATCAAGACTTATATGCAAAAAATAACGGATATGCAAATTTCATAAAATCCGCTCTCTAGTGATGAAATTTTCAGTTTTAAGGAGATACAATAAAAAATGATACACTGATAAAGTTGTATTTACATAAATTATGAAATACAATAAAACAAGAAAATAATTCAAGCTCGTTCACCCACAGGTTTAATAGTAAGTTCATGAATCTAAAAAAAATGACAAAAACTATAAACTTACAAACTTTCTTTATTTTACCTGAACATGCTCTGGAGTAGATAAGGCATAAATAACCCCATCAGCGATATCCTCACCCTTCAAAATAGGCATGGTTTGTAACAAACGTGCCCTTTCTGGTCTAGTCTTATCCAAAGTTGTCAGTTCACTCTCAACCAAACCAGGACTAAGACTCTACAGCAAATAAATAAATAAACAAAAAGAACAATGAAAAAACTCACAGTAATTTTAATTTTGAGCCCCAGATTCGTGAACTCAAACCTCAAGGTTTCAGTGAGGGCCGTAACAGCGTGTTTGGAAGCTGGATACACGTTAGTATTTGGCGAATTGAATACTTTGTGGCCCATGACGCTATTGATGTGGAAAATGTGCCCATTGATGTTATTTTCTCGCATAATTCTTACGGCTTCTCTTGTAGCAATGCACAAACCCAAAATATTGAGGTCAAGAACTGATTTCCACTCTTCGGTTTTACCGTCTACGAGAGTACTGTTGAGGGATCTTCCAGCATTGTTGATGAGGACGTGAATGGGTCCTAGATTTTTGCTGGTCCATTCAAAAACTTTCAGAATGTCTTCTTCTTTGGTAAAGTCGGCTTTGAAGGCACAGAGTTTGCCCTTTTTTCCTGAAAGTTGTTTCGCGTGTTCTTCGATTTGTTCGGACCGACGGGCAGTACCCACAACCTGAAAATGGGGATTGTGAAGATTTTCTAGGAGAGGTGTACTTACTATTAGTCCATGTTCGACAAGAGCTTCTGCTATGGAAGCACCTATTCCAGCACTGGCACCAGTTACTATGGCTATTTTGCCTGCCCATCTGTCCATTGAGAGTACCATGATGATTGTGTCGCTCAAAACGTGTAGTGCAGAAAACTGTGTTTTGCAGAGATGGCATGACAATATTTATAGATTACTTATAATTAAATTCAAAATAGAAATACTTAGTCAGGTGTATTAATGATGATGGGACAATTTTATTTATAGTTTAAATACATACCTATTTAGATAAAATTTTTAGCACAGTGTAATCGTGTTATCACAGACAGCATTTTTGTGCTTGTAATTATGATTAAATGTATTTTGTAATAGAAAATCTCTATTATCAGATAAGTTGATAAACTGCTAAAATTATGTCTTGGGGTTTAATGAGACAGCAGTTTTTAAAAATAGCATTTAAAATGCTTATATCAAAACGCGAAAATTCTTGCAACTCGTATTACAACAATTTACAGTAGCCAGTACCCTAACGGGATTCTTTTTTTGAAACATTTTATATTCTCAGATTATGACAAGAAATGTTTGAATAATATCGAAAGGTTGTCCGGATTCAAATTTTTATTATTATTCAATTCAAATGAAGTGGCCTCTAACGACTTGTATAGTTTTAATGGAGTTATATATTTACGATAACGACAGTAATTTAGAAACCAGTACATCTAATAAATCTGTTAGATATCCTTAAACTACATATTTAAGTTACAGCTACCATATCTCTAAATTACCAACCATTTTTGATAACATTAAAGATAACAACAAAGTATTTATTCATCATTATCAACTAAAATAAAAAACAACACCGAACCACAAACCGCAGAAAATGGTTATCTCTATGGATAGATGGTCAGGCAAAGTTGCCATCATCACCGGCGCTAGTTCTGGAATTGGTGCTGCCACAGCAGAAGCTCTTGTGGAAAGCGGTTTAACTGTAAATTTTGCTTAATTTTTTCTTATAATAATAACTTATCATGAGTTTTTGCTAGGTCGTAGGTTTAGCTCGTCGTTCACAGCTCGTAGACGAACAAGCGAAGAAGCTCTCCAACAAAAAAGGAAAACTCCACGCTTTCAAATGTGATGTTTGTAAAGAAGAAGATATTTTAAGAGCCTTCGACTGGATAACCCAAAATTTGGGACCGGTTCACATTCTCATCAACAATGCCGGGAATGGATCAGGGGACAAATACCTAACTGAAGGAACAACAGAAGATTGGAAGACAATTTTCGACGTGAATGTTTTGGGACTCTGCATTGCCACAAGAGAAGCAGTGAAAATCATGAAAGAAAACAAAATCAATGGACACATTGTACATATTAACAGCATTGCAGGTCACAAAGTGATAAATGTCAACGCCATGAGTGTGTACCCTGCATCGAAATTTGCTGTAACAGCTTTGACGGAAACACTACGACAAGAACTGAACCATCTTGGGCTCAAAATCAAGGTTACTGTAAGGTTTATTCACACTTGCTGAATGTTTTGCCAGTTTCACTTATTTTGTAGAGTATTAGTCCTGGTTTTGTCGAAACTGAGATGACAGTCCTTAATAAGAATATGACACCAGAACGGGAAGAGTTATTTAGAGCTATACCTTTTTTGAAGAGTGAAGACATTGCTGATGGCGTTGTTTATGTGTTATCAACACCAGAGCACGTTCAGGCATGTTAGTTGTGAGCAATTTTTGAATTTTTTACTACATTTGTCGTTGTAGGTTCATGAACTCACCATCAAACCAGTCGGCGAATTATATTAAAATTTTAGTTTGTGTTTGCTGTATAACAAATTCTTGTTAAATGTATGTAGGTTGCAATAAAGTGAAACAAAAAAGACACTATCCATCCAAGGCTGCAAAATTTATATATTTTTTTGTGGAATGACAATTTTTGATAAGAATATCATAGCTAAACTTGACAGAAGTTTTTGAATTTTGTGTTAAATTCGCCATTGTAAATTCACAAACTCATCATTAATTCAGAGGGTGAACAAATTCAAAATGTTGGTGTTTGTTTCAGTGTAAAAAGTTCGTATAATATATATTAAGCATTATAGACGCTTTAAAACAATATTTTCCTACAATTTTTAATCCCTTTAAATTTAGTTATAATTATCAGTTAAGGTTATATCCTTGTGTAACTAAAGAAGGTAACAACTGTGTAAGCAGATCCTAAATGATACTGTATCAGTGGTAGATAGAATACGCTGGAAGGGAACGTTCAAAATTTCATTGTGGCGTCTGTTAAACCATGTGAAGTTTGCTCATTCGTCCCAACAATTACAACTGCTCTTAGAATTGAACATTATAGTATATTGGTCACTAAGCCTAAGGGTTGCAGCACAAAAAAAAACTCTTACTTCTTATCATGCCGATGCCTGCCTTGTCGATATTCGCAGCGCCCTGTAAATTTAAAAATTCGCGGCGTGCTAACACGCCAAACATTTAAAACTCGTATTTCACAACAAATATATATACATGAAGGTCCTTGGGAGGCCTGCGCCACCGCAGCCTTTGCCTCTGTTTGGCCTTAAGGCGTGCCCCGAAGGGCGAACCCTCCATCAAGAAACTTTTCACTACCCCCTCGAGTCCTATACCAAATGCGGGTCGATATCGGGGTTCGGCATACTCCGATGGAGCTTGCCGCCCACCCCGAGGTACCAGGCTTTGTTGGTTCAAGCTGGCACCGCGAACAGATAGGTACTGGTAAGGCCTCTCTATTGCCCCGTTATCTTGCTTGTTATGGATCGTCGAGGCCACCATCCAGGCCGGTCGGACGTCCGTTGCTAGCTACCCAGTTCATAGCTTCGGAGCTGGGGTTGCCTGACTGGATTGAGTATGAAACTTTTGAAGTACCTAAGTGAAAAAATCAAGTCAACTCGGAGGTAGCCGCCACACTCCCCAACTGCTGAACTGATTCACCCTAGACAACTTAGTACCCGCAGAGTCCTTTACTCGAAAGTATCGCCTGGAACGCAAGCGTTCCGTTACGGGTCGGACTTTTTCACGTTTTCAAGTACCAGATTCCGGTTGGAGCAGTTTCCCTGAGGGGAATATGCAATGTTCTGCAAAGGCCCCCTGAGCTCGACGGGTACTATTGAACCTGGCTAGTGCTGCTTTCGAAACTCAGTAAGCTTCGCGTCCGTAACCTGCCGAGATAGCTGACTTAGTTGACCGAATATCCAAGGTGCCGCATCTAAGTCTGGACCTAGGGAATTAACATGGCAAATTGATTTTTATTTTATAATATCTCCCCAGATCATTTTAAAGCTATTATTGAGTGATACCTTTGTGGAGGTCGAAGAGGGCTATGGGCCAGTATTTTTTTCAAATCGTTGTATCGCGCTCATTCACTGTAAAAAGGTTTTAAAAATCGTATTTTGAAGTTCGTGCCTGATCCGATTTGTCGCGAAATGTTCCGTCGCACTGTCGAAGTTTGGCGATCCCGTCTTTGGATTAAGCATGCAAAATCCAAATGTCAAAGTGAAATTAGAAATTATTCTCAGAAATTGTAGGACAAATCAATACTTTTACAGATTCGTACAATATTTCATTACTTCATTCATCAACAATTGTTAAGTTTTGTTATTTGTTGCTATCTATATGGTATATTAAAATGTTCTCGTTAAAAGCGCCAGCTGCTTTGATGGTAAATCTTATCATCACACAATAAGAATAGCGAACCCTCTTTTTTCATCTAATCGCAGTAGAACATGGCATTTTAATGAGATTTTAGTAATAAAGACTGAACCAGCACACGCATCATAACCTAATAAAATATTTTGTGCAGTTTGTGCATTTATTCCGTTTTAATTGAACTACAATAATCGTTATCTATACTTATATAATAAAGCTGAAGCTTTTGTTTATTTGAACACGCATATCTCAGAAACTACTGGTTCAAATTCAAAAAATCTTTTTGTGTTGGATAGTCCATGTATCATATCTACATATAGGCTATATAACATCACGCTACAATAATGAGGAGCGAAGTAGCAATGAAAAATTCGGAAAAACGGGAAAATTATTCCTCCTTTGACAGCTTCCGTTGCTTACGCTGCTTAAACGGTTAAAGTTACGTGAAAATCATGTATGACGAAATTGTCCCCCCCTAATATTGGATAAAATGATTCAATTTGAGTCGTTCAGTGATTACTGAGGCAGCGCGGGCTCCCAGGACATGTCACAATACTGCCGATGGGGTTTTGAGGAAGACCAGCTGCTGAAAGTCTTTTTGGATACGACCTGGGTGTAGTTCGAGATGGCTCGTTTGACTATAGAAAAATAACTTCCGTTTGACGGGGTCGCGCACTATGACGAATGAATGGATCAATTTGTGCATTTATTCCGTTTAATTTGTCCTAACAAAATCATCACATTGGATAGAATAATTCAGTTTGAGTTGTTCGTTTATTTCTGGGAATCATTTCTAATTTCAGTTTGACACGCGATCGCCGAACTTCGAAAGTGCGACGGAACATTTCGCGAGAAATCGGATTGGGCGCAAATTTCAAAATACGATTTTTAAAACCTTTTTGCGGTGAATGAACGCGATGCAACGATTTGAAAAAAATATTTTCCGATAGCCCTCTTCGACCTCCACAAAGTCATCACTCAATAATAGCTTTAAAGTGATCTAGGGAGATATTATAAAATAAAATCCCATTTGCTATGTTAATTGCCTATGTCCAGACTTGGATGTGGCAGCCTGTATAAGCTTTCACCTCCAGTTTGAACCGTTACCCCCAGCTTTCCCTGAAAACTACTAACGCTCTTTCGCCTTCCATATGGGTAAGGCTACTGACAACCTTCCGAGCCTAGAGCCCATGCAGTTCGAAAGGCCGGACTAAGATTCGTTGTGGGCCCGGTAATTAGTCGTGGGAGCTCGAGCTGCTCCACACTCGGCCCGTGCCTGGTCAAGAGGCTCTTCCTGGGCTCGTGGGTACGAAGGCGGGGCTGACGGTGAAGTTAGCCCAGGGTGTTTCCTTTTCGCCGTTAGTCACACTCCTGGCGGGTCTGGATGCGAACATCCCCGCCCGCGCATGCCGTTGGCTTCCTCAGTTCCTTAGGTGCCCCAGAGCCTGTCACCAGCCTGGACCGATTGGCAAGGTACCCGGTACCATATTTTCAACTCGGTTAAGCGAGAGTGAAGGCTATGCTGGGTCTTCGTCTGACCTCCCGTTAGTTTTAAACAGCCTATACTACGCGAAGATGTAAGTTGACATTAAGCAAAAGAGACTGTGTGTTCGCTTCTTTGCTTCATAAATTATGTCGTTCTGGTAACTGTACCATAGGATCATACTGCCCTTCTCACGTCCTCCTTACGGAGGTAAGGCTTACCAGCCCCAGTTTCCTAGTGCCGAAGAAGCCAAACCAAATATATATACAGTGAATCTTTTCTAAAAGTAGCCATAGGAATTCCCATTATAAATTTTTTCCCCATGTTAACTTACGTTTGAGTAAAGATTCAGAGTTGAAATTGTTACTGGATGTAATTCATCCTTTCTTTTCTAAAAACTGAAATGAAGGTATTTTAATGATTAAATTAAAATTATCCTGTCAAAAATGACAAGACAATATGACGCATAGAATGATATATGATGAGTCAAAACCCTCTATGAAGTACTCCAAAATTTTTTTATGAAAATAATTTGTATTTTTTAAAATACAAGTTAACAATGTACTTCAAAGAGTGGTAGTGGAAATTAAAGTAGAACCCTAAGGCCATTTTCACCGCAAAAATCATCTCCGGTCAACAAAACTTAATAAGAGCTCTAAAATTTTTCATGGAATTCCCTATGGACACTTTTAAAAAAGATCCACTCTATATATTTTTTCAAGAGATAATAGATGTGGTGAACAAAAGAATGGATTTTGTCGACATAATATCTTGACGAGTTGTAATTTCTAACCAAGAGTCCTTGAAGAGACAATCAGTAGAACCTGTAATATAGATCGATGTTTAAAGGTACATATAACAATAAAAGACATCATGTAGTAAAGGAAAACACAAAAATACTAAATACCAAATTAACATTGACATCATAAGATACAAAAAAGATATCTTGGTGATAATTTGCTTATGGTGCTGGGGCTTTACGACTCATTGTTAAAAAGTTTGAGGTATTAACATTTTATCTATTTTTTAATGCATGAAATCCTTGAGTTTTGTTATTTGTTACTATGCGATGTATTTTGCACCTATTTTTAATTATTATTTAACACCTTACTGCAAATTGTGCAATAATTTTACCATATCTCCCAATGATCAACAAACTTTGATAACATTTAACATGATAACAAACATTCAATCGTTCTCAACTCATATAAAAGCAGCATCTACTCCGCTATTACACAGAAGTACAGATCACAGAAAATGGTTATATCTATGGACAGATGGTCTGGCAAAGTTGCCATCATCACCGGCGCTAGTTCTGGAATTGGTGCTGCCACAGCAGAAGCCCTTGTGGAAAGCGGTTTAATTGTAGTTTTTCTTACATTTTCCTTATTATGTTGTTCTGTTATATTTTTTTGCTAGGTTGTAGGTTTAGCTCGTCGTTCAGAGCTTGTAGAAGAACACGCAAAAAAGCTCTCCGGCAAGAAAGGAAAACTCCATGCTTTCAAATGTGACCTTAGAAATGAGGAAGATATTCTAAAAGCTTTCGACTGGACTACCAAAAATCTAGGACCGGTTCATATTCTTATCAACAATGCTGGGGTTGGCTCTGCGGGCAGATACCTGAGTGACGGAAAAACAGAAGATTGGAAGACAATTTTCGATGTGAACGTTTTGGCACTGTGCATTGCCACAAGAGAAGCCGTGAAAATCATGAAAGAGAACAAAATCAACGGACATATTGTTCACATTAATAGTCTGGCGGGTCACAAAGTGGTCAGTTTTCCTGGCCTAAGTGTTTATCCTGGGTCGAAATTTGCCGTAACAGCTCTTACGGAAACATTACGACAAGAATTTAATCATCTTGGGCTCAAAATCAAGGTGACTGTAAGTTTTACTCATGGTGTTGCTGAATTTTTTGCTAGTTTTACGTGCTTTGTAGAGTGTTAGCCCTGGTTTTGTTGAAACTGAGATGACAGTTTTTAATAAGAATATCACACCAGAGCGCGCTGCATTGCTTAAAACTGTACCCTTTGTGAAGGCTGAAGATATTGCCGATGGAATCGTTTATGCGCTATCGACGCCAGAGCACGTTCAGGTAAATCAGTTGCAAGAGGTATTTGAATTTTTTACTACATTTATAATTCTAGGTTCACGAACTTACGATCAAACCACTGGGAGAACGAGATTAAAATTTTAGTTTTTGTTTGCTGTACTTACAATCAATTCTTGTAAAATCTATGTGAAAATGTGATCGACAATAAAAATAATGTGAAATAGAAATGACACTTTTACGAGTATATATGGAAGTAGTAGGAACGTAATTTTGCATTTGGGTTAAACTTTGTAAGCTATCTGTCGCAGTTACATGTTCGTTGGCATACGCCAGGGATATTTTATGCAGTTTATTGTCTCCTTGGACGTTGGTTATCATTATTAAACTAGGTCATGCATGTTTTAAAATACTCGGGTAATTGGAGTGCAACCACTTTTTGTGTTTTATCGCAATTAGCTTATCAGTACAATGCATATTCAGTTCGGCGCATATGAACATATTTTTGTAGTTTTTGATAAATGTGGATATAAAAACACAGTTATGGAAATCTGCAGGTCAAGTTGAAATTATTATAGCTTTCTCTAACCACAGAGTCGTTGGTCATGGATTTATGAATTTATGACAGTCAGTTCATATGTACAGATTATGGTGAAACAATGATAATGAAAGTCATATGATACATGATCAAAGAAATCGTTACCATATACTGCAGCTTCTGGCGTGCCACAAAGATTCACTCTAAGTACCTTCCAACTTTGCTGAGTATTCGGTTGTAACAAATTATTTTGGGCGTAGTCGACTGTTCCAGTCTGGTATTTGTTTATGTTCCATATTCGAAACGTGTTTTACACATTATTGTCTCATCAGACTTATGTTATCAGCCTTGGTTATCTTAACAAATTAACACGACCTATCCTAATAAGCTCAGAGGTCAGGGGCTCCTTTATGTGTCTTATCGGAATCATTTTGGAGGATATTAAAATTTTATTATAACAGTCCAAGACTTATGGGTGTTGTTAATAGGTCTGCACTTGTAATTTCATCGCCGTTAACCGATTTCGCCATAGGTGACGTTAAGAATTTATTTCACAATTACAGCTTTGTTGTCACATGGTAAAAATTTGTGATCACTTTTGATTGCGGATGTTATGGGGTCCCGATTTGAAAAATTAAATTTCGCGCTGAAAAAACAACGCCGCGGAACCGCTTTTGAAACATAAAAGATAAATCGTTCAGCATCGTAGACAACCATGCATTTGTGGAGAAATGTCACGCTCGATGTGGTAGTGGTAAGGGATTTGAATGCAGGGCATAGCAGACAGTTTTCAAAAGGGCCTCTTGTTGTTTTGTGCTGTTAGTGTAAATGTTCTTTGCCGTTTTATTTTATTCTCGTGTTTTCGGGGGCGCTCACCACCTGAGATCCGTGTCTCCGGATTGAGAGCAACCCCGGGGCTTTCTCCCCTGGAGAGGAAGTTGGCGACTGAAGGTACCACCCCCCGGGGCGTAAAGATCGCTGCATAAGCCTAGGTCGGCCAGACGTGTTTTCGATATTAGCGGCACTAGTCGGCCCAAGGCTTGGCACCCAAGTACGCCGCCACCACACGTTATCGGCTTGATTCCGGACAGTCCCGTCCCACCGGAATTTCGTCGCAGTATATATGTAATATGGGGTTTACTTTCTGTCCACGACAATGTAATCTGTGAAGACATATTTGATTTAATCAATAACTAGAATTAATGCAGGGCCGGATTAACAGGGGAGGCAGAGGAGGCACTTGCCATAGGCGCCAACTTGAAACAGGCGCCAAATGTGGCTAAATTCAATTTTAAATTATTGAAAATATTTGAAACATGCATTTTTGTCTAGATTTCGGAATCGGGTAGTAAACGCCTTCGCTAAAATGTAGGCGATATCTTTATGCTTTAAACCGCCCTGAGGGTAAAAGCCTGGCGCCTTGGCCGTCAAGACCGGAAGTTGGACTGTCAGACACCGAGACCCAATATATATTAGGCACTAATAAATAAACACTTCATTTGTCGGGATCTTTGTTTGGTAATGTATACTTTTTATTTTAGGGGAGAAACACATGTTCTGTCCCCGAATTTTCGCAAAATAAGTTTAGTCACAGTTTAGTCTTGTCTTTGCAAGCATACGAAACAAACAAAAACCAGATTGTCGTTCATTTCTGCTTTCTTTTAATAACATTGTATTATAACGTGAATTCTTTCAGTGTCAGTGATTTAACAAAGGTAAGAAAAATAAAATTCAAAATATAAAATTACATCCGCCCACTGAATGTGTATAAGAAATTAAAAAAATATGTCTGAAATTAACAGATGTCCGGACTTGGAATGAAAAGAAAAGAATCTGGGTGGGATAACTATAAAAGAAAAATTGCAAAACAAGCAGAAATAAAAAAACAAGAGGGTTCCTTGAAGAAATTTTTACTTCCACCATCGGACAAAGTGATTCACGATGAACCTTCGACTTCTCCCACATTTTCGGAGGTATCCGTATCACCTTCAGCTATAGCAGCAGAAGAACCACTGGAGGAAGTAGCTGCAGAAACGCAATTAGAAATTACGGAAATTTCTGATGATCCGTCGTTATGGCCATCAGAGGTTACGGATAACATAAGATTAATACTTGTAAAAAAAGGACCTGTTCAAGTTAAACAAAGGGACTGTTTATTTCCGTTAACAAATGGTAGGCGTTTTAGTGAAAATTATTATGAACGAGTGCTGTGCAATAACCAAAAAATTGAAAGATCGTGGCTTTTGTACTCTTTAAAAAAAGACGCAGTGTTTTGTTTTCCCTGCAAACTTTTTAATAGTAGCAGTGACAACAATTGGTGTAGTGACGGTTTCTGCCAATGGTAAAATCTTGGGCGTGCCATAGAAAGACATGAGATCAGTAAAAATCATACAACAGCATTTAAACAATGGAAAGAATTGGCGCTTCGCTTGAAAACACAAAAAACTATAGACAGTGAACATGAAAAATTGATTGACGCCGAAAAACGGCACTGGGAAAATGTTTTGGAAAGATTAATTATTATTGTAAGATATTTAGCTGGTCAGTCATTAGCTTTTAGAGGAAATTCAGACAATTTATATAATAACAACAACGGTAATTTTTTGCAATTAATTGAAGCCATTTCAAAGTTTGACGAAGTACTATCTGAACATCTATTAAGAATAAAAAATGACTAATGTAGAAATCATTATCTAAGCAAAAATATCCAAAATGAATTATTACATTTAATATCCGATGCAGTGTTAAAAATCATTGTCCAAAATATTTTGAAAGCAAAATACTTCTCCATTATTTTAGACTGTACTCCAGATAAAAGTCATACTGAACAAATGACTTTAATTATTCGTTTTGTAACTTTCGAAAATAATTTTTATAAAATTAACGAACATTTTTTGTGTTTTCTCCCAGTTCACGATACCAGTGGAGTAGGACTTACTGAAGCAGTTTTAACAAAATTAAAAGAGCTTGGTTTGTCCATTAATGATATTCGTGGGCAAGGTTATGACAATGGTGCGAATATGCGGGGCAAAAATGTTGGAGTTCAGCAGCAAATAAAAAATTTAAATCCGAGGGCCTTTTACGTTCCTTGTGCCAATCATTCACTTAACTTGGTTGTTAATGATGCAGCTTCTTCGACAGTAGAAGGAATTTCTTTTTTTAATCTTATTCAAGAAATTTATGTTTATTTATCTGCATCAACTTCTCGCTGGAATGTACTTTTGAAACATGTTTCAAATTTAACTTTAAAACCTTTATCAGAAACACGTTGGTCAAGCAGAATTGATGCTATCAAGCCGTTTAAGTTTAACTTGGGTGACATATACGATTCATTGTTGAAATTATCCGCAGAAGACAATAAAGATCTAAAATCTCGTGTCACTGCAGAATCTTTAGCCCGAAAAATCATTTCATTTAAATTTATTTGCTCGGTAGAAATTTGGTACAACATATTAAGTAAAATACATGTTGTTAGTAATTTATTACAAAAACCAAATTTAAATATTTTAGAATGTTTGAGACTCCTACAGGATATTAAGAGTAATTTAGTTCAATGGAGATCTGATAGTGAGTTTTTATTAGTGTTAAAGGCCGCTGCAGAAAATTCTGCAGCTTTAAACCTGGACATTCAACCAGTGTTTAAAAATCATTTACCTTTACGCAGTCGTAAAATAAAACCAAATTTTAATTATGAGGCTAAAGATGAAAATATTATAGATCCCCAAAAAAAATTCGAAATTGAATTTTATTATGTAATTTTAGATGTTGCAATAAATGCGGTTTCAGAAAGGTTTCAGCTTCTTCAGGAACACTGTGAGCTCTTTAGCTTTTTATATAATTTTAAAAATTTAAAAGAGATACCACCAAATGAGTTGTTAAAAAATTGTATGGACCTTCAACTGGCATTGACAGATGAAGAAAATAAAGACGTTGATGGTAACGATTTGTATAGGGAGTTACAAGATTTGTTGTTACCACCCAGTGTATTTGCACAAAAACGAAATATTATCATTGTACCCGAACATTGCAATTGTCCTAAAACTTTTACTGACCATCCCAGTTTCAGTCGCTTCAGCAGAGCGAAGTTTTTCTAAATTAAAAATAATAAAAAATTACCTTCGGTCAACAATGACACAAGATAGGCTTAACGACCTCGCTATTATATCTATTGAAAAAGACATTACCAAAGAAATCATTCAACCCGTAAAATTAATATAAATTAATATTTTATAATTATCTATGTAGGTATTTTTTTTATTTGTTAGTTGTAAAAATAAAACCTGTTTTAAATGTTTCATTTGTTTTATAACACCTACAAAAAACCCTTTAGGCACATCTACATAGGCGCTTTTGAAAATGTTGCCTCCGGCGCCAAAAATACTAGGACCGGCCCTGAATTAATGCATAATGCATTACGTAAATTCTTTGCTGTTTAAAATTCTTGATAGAGTTTTGTTTGTTTCCTTCCTAGTAACTTTGGTACTTATCCAGATATCGTTCTAAGTTTGACAAATATAGGTTTTGGATTTTATTTGAAATAAGACAAGATTTTGCGACGAAAGCGGAAGATATGTTTTCAAAGCCAAGCTGACGATTTTTTGACCAAATAAATGTTAAATATCGTGTGTTCGTTAATTATTTAGATCAAACAATGCTGTGCGATTTTAAACGTATATCTGCTAGGTTTCGGATACTTATCAAATTATGCAATTATACACATGTGTAATGCTGGTTGCATACTTACTCAAATCAAATTACAAACGAAGGTTAACTCGTCCTTGTGAAAAAATAGAAAAACTAGTGAAAGGAAATAACTTCTGCAGATTTGTGAATAAGTTTACTTAAAAGGCGAAAACAAAGTTAGAGAAACTGTTGGAAATGGCATCCATTCCCTGTATACTTTTTTCTTTTCATGTTATCAAACACATTTTGTAGTGGAGCAAGAGTAATGTGTGATTTAAAGTTTTAGAAATAGTGTTAATGTTAAATCCAGCAAGTTATCATCATTGAAATGGTCAAGAAACCATCTGCAGTAGACAATACGTGTATTAAAATAACCTGGCAAAAGCTCGCGATAGGCATAAAGTTTGTACGGAAACAGGAGGAGCTTTTTTTACACAATTTTATGGCATGTAACCACGAAAATCCCAACTTTTTGCGACAGATACCTCAATGAATTTGATGGATTATTTTCGATGCGTTCTTCTACGACTTCATTGGTACACAATGTTGCTCGTCCAGTACCTTTATTGTGGTACCTGTTTCACGAAATACTGGCACATCATGAATGTTTTATGTTCCACACAGAAAATCATTTTACACTTTTCTGACGTTTCAAACACTAGTGTGGCTGAATGTATCAAAGACAATCAGACTTTCTATACCGCTGCTCTAATTATTATTTCTTCCAATGAATTTAATTAAACGGCACCGATTAAGAAATTATTTAAAAAATTGTACTTGATGCACTCTCGAAAGACAAAATGATGATATTGGCTACCCCAATACCAATGTTTTTATATGTTGACTTCACCGCTTAACAACAATTTACATTCGTTGGTACATAAATTATTTTTGGTCTTTATTTTTTTTTTTATTACAATTATATGATTCATTCTTAATTTGTGTCTAATTTGCCTCACTGAAATAGTTTTATTCTGAATAAACATATAACACTATATTTTTTACTGTTTGATATTCCATTTTGCATAAACTTGTTAATAGTATGACTAAAAATATTCAATTGTTCGATGAATTGTGCTAGGTATCCTTGTCTGGTACATGGGAAGTCATCCGTGTCAGCTGCGTTTTGACCTTCTCAAGATTTTCAATACTATTTTGGTGGTTTCACTGCACTTTTAGTTTTATTCTTTGGATGATTAGTGGTACTTAAGATTAACACCGTGGTGAGTAATTTATATTTGGTTTAATATATTTATTTCTGAGATAATTATTGTATGCCATCGCTGCTCCCTACAAAAACTCTTGTTCTTGTTCATTAGCCACGATTCTCTTGGGTATGAATACGAATTAGAATATTATAATATTATAAATACCTATGGATTTAAATTTGGCTTAACTGCCTGACACCCCCACCTAAAATCTCTATTCATAATTTTCAACTGTCTTTCGAAGCTTTGGAAACTTTCGTAAGAATGTACTAGTTTTAGAAGATTTTAATTTACCTGAATTTATTTATAATTATTTAAGAAATTATATAATTTAACCTTTTACTTTTAGAGCGTAGCTACGGAAGTATTGTAATCGAGTCGATCGGGCGATTGGCTAGTTTCATATTTTCATATGACACTCATGACCCCCAGAGTACAAAAAATAGGTCTCCCGTTTCTGTCTATCTGTCTGCCGTCTGTCCGGCTTTTTATTAGACAGATAATTTCCGAAACTAATGGACCGATTATTTTCAAATTTTGCCAATATATTAAAAACATCGTGTAGATGGTAAAACGGTAACCAAAATTTTTGTAATCATCTCCACCAACAACACGATGATATCCCCTCAAAATTTTTCATAGTAAGTAGTATTTAAATTGTATAAAATAACATACTCCTGTACTGGTTCCTTATGAATCCATCTTTCCTCAAAGCATTCAAATTTTCGCAAAAAAATCGAAATTCTATGGCAAGCTTTTATACCAGTATATGAGTAGTTCGTCCAAGATTATTAGTTATTCAGAGGCGAAAATTGAGGGTTGCTGCTATTATCTAAGTATTATATTTTTTATTGATCAAATCTCTAGAAAGGTACAAGGCAGTGTTTTATTATTAGTATTGCACTGCATGTATTGGAATTGATATACGTGTCCTTTCTGAAATAATGTTGACCGGAAAATTGTTAAATAATGTTTGTTACGAAATAAACCCATACGCCCCCCCCCCCCCGTACGACGCCCATGGGTTCCCGAGCTTTCTTTTGCGGTGATAATGACGCATCGTGGATGACGTCACCCAGGCAGCGCTCGCATAAAGACAAGTCTGGAGCCGGTTACCGGAAGTCTCGAAGCGGTGTCCAGGGAAGTCTCGAAGCGGAGTCGCGATGGATGTTCGTGAAAGATCTCGATCAGAGAAGTATGGGTTTAAATAGAGGCGACCGTCGGGAATGGATTATTCAGCCAGTAGAGACAGTCAAGAGCGTCCAGTGAAATTCGCCGGAATAATTTCTGACGTATTTGTTGCAATAGTTCGTCGTCTAAATACCAGTTATTAAGAAATAAATCGTTGAGTTACCTACGCCCGATTTATTATTCGTACGTCAAACGTAACACTGGTGTCAGAAGTGGGATTTGAAGATTAATAACCGGTTTTACGACGACGTCTAGGGAGATCGAACAAGAATTTGGAAGAATTTATGCCGGTCGAGACGAGAACTCAAACTGCAGTGATGTTGGAAGAACAACTAAAACAGATGGCGGCGTTGCTTGCGGAAATGAAAGAAAAAATTATGGCAAGAATGGGAAAAATGGACGCAAGGATGGAAACAATGGACGAAAGAATAAAAAAGTCGAGAAATCAGTGCAGGAACGTATGGAAGAACGAATTAAAATTGTAGAAGATCGCATGAAAATTAGAGAAGATAGAATAGAAGACAAAATGAAGAAATGTGGAAAGATAATGAAAAATGCAGCTACCACTGGTTCATGTAAAGTGACGTCGGCTTCCACAACAATTCAACCACCCACCTATGATGATCAGACACCGTGGTCATCGTATAAGATACAGTTCGAGGCAGCAGTGACGGCGAATCATTGGGAAGAAGAACAGAAAACTGTAGCATTGGTGATAGTTCTGCGAAGTCCAGCGCTAGAGACTTCAAACGTTATCTGACGAAGATATAAGCAAATATAGTACCTTAACTACTGCTCTAGAACTGCGATTTGGAGATAAACATCTAAAGCGAGTTTTTGCCTCCCGACTACAGACAAGAACACAGAAAGTTGGAGAATCTTTACAAGAATTTGCAGCAGATGTCAAGAAAATGGTACGTCTAGCATACCCCGAAGCACCACCGACTACTCAGGAGAGGCTTGCGACAGAAACCTTCGTAGATGGCATTCGCGACGTTGAAGTTAAGAAGGTCTTACAACCATCAACGTATCAGACATCATCTGAAGCCTTGATTCGTGCGCTGGAAGTGGAGGCGGTGTACGGCTCCTCAAGAAAGTGCTACAAAGTCAGCGTACCAGAATGAGAGAAAGAAGAAAACAACAAGAAGGAGAATCTGCTGGAAAAAGTGCTGCCTCAAATAGATGACCTTATTCGAAGACTGAAGAATGATGTATCTCGTAAGCAAAGCATGGAATGCTATAGGGATGGGTGCCAGGGACGTCTCAAACGTGATTGTCGTGCTCGATTACCAGTTCCAAGAAGAAGCACACAACGGACATCTCACCCAGATGTAAATGGAGCCAGTACTGTGGGGAATGGGTTCACTGGTGAGAATAAGGCCGCCAGCGAAGTAAAAATAAGAAGTTTCACCAGAGGTAGTGGTTCAACGGTACCGGGGAAGATTTATGAAAATCCAGCAGCAATCACCATCGATACTGGCGCTGAGGTATCAATTGTACGTAAAGGACTCATGAGAGCTGAAGATGTAGAACCTATACCCGAAACGATAAGATTGAGAAATGTAACTGGAGAGTCGACGCCGATCATGGGCGAAAGCAGAGGTAGAAATTTGTGTTGGTCAGCTGAAAATAAGACATCGGGCTTTCGTGGCTAACATGGAACATTATTCATTTTGGGAATGGATTTGATTAGCCGCCATGGATTGATAATTGATCCGGTGGAGAAAGTTCTACGTCTTGGAAATGAAGAGTTCGAGCTGAATCAACGTTATATTGAAGCGAAGTCTGCAAGATTGGTTGCTTATCAGAACTGCAAACACTACGACTAGGTTGAGCAGCCCAAAGGACGGTTCAACCGCAGGAAGTAGGCAGTCGTAGAAGATGACGAATGGACTACCGCTCGGTGTAGAAAGGACCAGGAGGAAGACAAGGATATTGGGCCGCTCCTCAGATGGAAAGAAGATGGGATGGAACGACCAGGCTGGTCGGAAATATCAGGCGAATCACCTTCTTGCAAGGCGTTATGGGCTCAATGCGAATCGAGAACGGATTGCATAAGCGAGCCTGGGAAAGTCCGGATGAAAGGCATGTCACTATGCAGGTGGTGGTCCCGGCCACCAGAATCAAGGAAGTACTTTGGGAGATGCACAATGGGAATTCTGGTGCTCATTTTGGGATCAAAAAAACGCTTTCCAAAATCAGGGATAAATTCTACTGGATCCGTTGCCGACAAGCCGTCGAGAGCTGGTGCAAGAAGTGTAGGACTTGTGCGGCGGTTAAAAGACCTAAGACTGAGGCGAGAGGCCCGATGCAACCACAGAACGTGGGCTTGCCTTTTGGAAGAACTGTAGGAGAAGTAGCGGGTCCCCTCTCAGTGCCCAAAGAAAGGAACAAGGACACTAAGAAGGTCGAAAGTCACGACGATGGCTTACAGGAGAAGCTGCCGAGGGTTTACGACATGCTGCACCACCAGAATAGAGCAGCGACTGGTAGAATGAAGACTCGTTACGACTTTTGGAACAACTCAGTAGGGTTCCAGGCGGGATATTTGGCATGGGTTTATAACCCCCGAAGAAGGAATGGTTGTTGCCGGAAGTTGTCATCAGGCTGGGAAGGTCCCTATATTATCGTGACGAGGATCAACGATGCCGTCTACAGGGTTCGACGAGGGCCGAAGAGGAACAGGAAACTTGTTCACTTAGGCCGCCTCATGAAATACGACAGCAGCGGCGTTGACGTTTCTGATCGGGACGATCAGAACTAAGGAGGGGGCAATGTTACGAAATAAATCCATACGCCCCCCCGGTACGACGCCCATGGGTTCTCGACCTTTCTTTTACGGTGATAATAACGCATCGTGGATGACGTCACCCAGGCGGCGCTCGCATAAAGACAAGTCTGGAGCCGGTTATCGAAAGTCTAGAAGCGGCGTCCAGGGAAGTCTCGAAGCGGAGTCGCGGCAGTAGGGACATTCAAGAGCGTCCAGTGAAATTCGCCGGCATAATTTCTGTACATATTCGTTGCAATAGTTCGTCGTGTAAATACCAGTTATTAAGAAATAAATCGTTGAGTTACCCATGCCCGATTAATTATTCGCCCGTCAAACGTAACAATAGGAAAGCTCGTCAATATATCCAAGCATGTCTTGACCTTTATCAATCCATTAATATTTTTAGAGAAATTTTTAATCCATTCCCTATTATGGGTTGACGATAAGGACCCTCCAAAGTCCCAAGCCAAATATAAACAAGTTTGTTTTCGTAATATTATGCATTAGGGGAATGGGTGATTCAAGTATATATATATTAATGACAGAAAAAGAAGCGCTACAAGAATCTCTAAAACAATATATGTATATAGAGTGTCATTAAAAGATAATGGGATTTCTTAGAGTGTAGACAAAAAAAATGTAGGATGTCAAAACAAATTAATAGGACGTCATTTACTTTGTTATACGGTAACCGGTATTATCATCTACATTTCGCAAAATACTTATTTCTTTTTAATTTTTCAAAGAAGTGGGATTTGTTGTGCTGTACTTCAAGGGCGAGGGAAGTCCTGTTGAAATGACCTTAGCTGTTGCTTTTAACCAGTACCATTATATTATTATTATCATTAGTAATAATTGTCATTTACGTGTCTAATTAGTGCTTTTAATTTTGATTGTCAAATTATAGTCACGAACGAGAAGGCTTTTTATACATAAATGATCTATTTCAATAATTGTGAAACAGTTTGAATACATATAATATTTCACAATTAGACTTTGAAGATTGTTTTTGCAGTTGTTCATAATTGTGTGGTTTTTATTTTCAGTTTAAAACTTCTCCTTCTCTATTCACGACCACCTGAGTAATGTTATATTTTTACAGTTTCTTTTTCTTGTTCTTCAAATTTCACCCGATCTACGAAACGTGGTTTTTGCACATTACTCTCTTTTTAATCTTCTTGAAATTTCAGTTTATTTTATTCTCATTAATTTTCAATCATGTTATAATGAATTTTCCAAATTTCAACTTTAATTTAACCTTTCACTTTTTTATCTACTTATTTGGTTCTTTTCTTTGATTTTACATTATGATACTATTCTACACTACCATTATTCTTCTCTTTTAACACCAGTTAGATTTCTGCTATTTGAAAGAAAATGTCTAAATATTAAATCTTTAGGATAAAATTTATTTCGACAGAAAAATAGAAACATTCGCAGAATCTTGTGCTTGTCGTTATTTGCGCAATTTATATCTTTTAAATCAGCAGTAACAATTTTCAGTTGATATTTACTTTTATCAAACCTATCAGAATAAATTGTATACAATCAGATTTTATGACAAACGTATACTTGAAATTTTACGTAACAGCAATTATATCATATCTCTAAGTTATCAACAACAACATCTGTGTTTTTTTAAATGCTGAATCACTAAAAACTCACATAAATTGGCGTCTACTCTATTATTATTACAGAATTACGAATTATATACAATGGTTGTGTCTATGGATAGATGGTCAGGCAAAGTTGTCATTGTCACTGGTGCTAGTTCTGGAATTGGTGCTGCCACTGCAGAAGCTCTTGTCGAAAGTGGTTTAATTGTAAATTTATTTTTGCTTTTTGTTTTAATACTGATTTAATCCACGCTTATTTTTAGGTTGTGGGTTTAGCTCGTCGATCAGAGCTTGTAGAAGAACATGCTAAAAAGATCTCTGACAAGAAAGGAAAACTTCATGCTTTTAAATGCGACATTAGAAAAGAGGAAGACATTCTAAAAGCCTTTGACTGGACCACCAAAAATCTCGGACCGGTTCACATTCTTATCAACAATGCTGACATTGGCTCTGGAGGCAAACACCTATTGGAGGGAAAAACAGAAGACTGGAAGGCAATTTTCGACGTGAATGTTTTGGGACTTTGCATTGCCACAAGAGAAGCAGTGAAAATTATGAAAGAGAATAATATCAATGGGCACATTGTTCATATTAACAGCATTGCAGGTCACAAACTGATAAATATTCCTGGCTTGAATGTTTACCCCGGGTCGAAATACGCTGTGACAGCCCTCACGGAAACACTACGACAAGAACTTAACCATCTTGGGCTCAAGATCAAGGTTACTGTAAGATTTATTTATAGTATTGTTGAATGTTGTCTTAGTTTTGTGTAGCTTGTAGAGTGTTAGTCCTGGTTTTGTTGAAACTGAAATGACTACTTTTAATAAAAATAACACACCAGAACGGCTGGCGATACTTAACAGTTCGCCCTCTCTGAAGGCTGAAGATATTGCTGATGCTATTGTTTACGCACTGTTAACACCAGAACACGTTCAGGTAAATTAGTTAGAAGAGTTTGTTGAATGTTTTACTAAATCTGTCGTTGCAGGTCCATGAACTCACTATCAAACCAGTTGGTGAAAGTGTCTAAAATTTTGACCTTGTAACTTAAAATTCAACTAACCTAAGAGTGCAAAAGAAACACATTTCTTTAAAAATCATTTTATTTTTTGGATTTTTTATTGAATAAATACAAATACATAATTTTCTTCAGTTGCTATTTGTTCAAAACATTTCTCCAATTGGCCTAATCGTAAGTTCCTCAATCTATAAAAACAACTTATCGAATAAAAAAAAATAAGGCATTTAAAATATTACTTGGACATGTTCTGGTGTTGATAAAACATAAACTACACCATCAGCAATATCTTCACCTTTCAAGACAGCTCTACTTTCCAAATAGAGTTTTCTTTCAGGGGTAATATTTTCATTCAGCGTAGTCAGCTCACTTTCAACCAAACCAGGACTAATACTCTAATTAGAAAACAAAATTACATTTTCGCACAAATTACACAAACTTACCTACAGTCACTTTGATTTTAAGCCCTTGATGCTTTAATTCGTGTCTTAATGTTTCACTTAATGCCGTTATAGCATGTTTCGATGCAGGGTAGACATTCACATTCGGAATATCATATACCCTGTGACCAAAAATGCTATTGATGTGTATAATATGCCCATTTATTTTGTTCTCTTTCATAAATTTGACCGCCTCTCTTGTCATAGTACATAGAGCCAAAACATTTAAATCAAGAACTGATTTCCACTCCTCGGTTTTTCCTTCCGTTAGATTATTACCAGCGCCTTTTCCCGCATTGTTGATGAGAACGTGGACAATTCCTAGATTGTTTTTGGTCCATTCGAAAACTTTAAGAACATCGTCTTCTTTAGTCACATCGGCTTTAAAGGAATAAAGTTTTCCTTTTTTCGTTGAGAGTTGTTTTGCCCGCTTTTCGATACGTTCAGAACGACGGGCAACCCCAACGACCTGGAAAAAAAGTATTAATCAGAAGATGTACTCAAAAGAATTGGTTTTTACGGTTAAGCCTTCTTCGACAAGAGCGTCTGCAATAGCAGCACCAATTCCAGAACTGGCACCTGTTATTATAGCAATTTTACCCATCCATTTGTCCATTGAGAAAACCATCTTGGAAAAATGTCTGGTGTCTCCTAAGTGATACTAAAATAATCTACTAACGTTTAAACAAATCATACACCACCAGCTTTAGTAAAAGGTATGTATGAACTAAGTTTGCTGGCAAATTTGCAAGGTTACCTAGGAAAATATTTGTAATTTGTTAAGTAACTGCACTAATTTATCGTTGACTAACAAGTTTTACGCCTCATTAAAATATTTTATCTTGTTTTTCTAAAAGTTATTATTATTTCTGTAACTAAAATACGACTTGATTAAATGTTGATAAACATGAGGTGGTAAAATCAAATATGAACAAATCGCTCATTGTTGGTGACTAGTTTATTACTTCCAAGAAAATATTTCTGCAACAGTATAAGACGGGTCCAAAGTTATTTAAACATGATTTCGCACATAGGCACGTGAAAGATTATTTTTATTTTCAAAATCATAAGGATGAGCACCGAGAAAGTAACAAACACACGATCAATGGCATCCATGGATTTTTGAAACTTTGTTTTTGATCATTACATTTTCAACCCAAACTTTCAAATTAAAAAAAATCTTCAAATTCCACGGTTGTTTTTTATAGTGTTTATTATTGTTGTCTCGGTTGTGCACTTTTAATATTGTGTATTTTTTTATTAATATATATGTATAGCAACCTTTTTAAAAATTATAGGTTTAAAAACTGTATGTGGGCCATAAAGAAGAGATTTTTCGGCCGATCTGAAGATGATGCCAAAAAAGTTCTCCTCGGCCGAGGTACATATTACATTTATTAGGAGACCAGACAAAAAAATAATTAGTTATGTAGGTGGTTTTGAGGTTAGAAAATATGTTTTCGTTGTTGGAGGAAAATTCCTGCAAATTTGATAAACACCAAACTGCTACTTTAGATAAAAATTGGTACCGTCATATTTCATAACGATATTCAGTAAAGGTACTTCAAATAACGGCGCTTTTGGCTTTTTCATTAAAAAAAAATGTTGGCCAAAAACACAAGGCCAAGGACGCAAAAGAAGGTTTTAGACTTTTGAGTACAAAAAACTGACAAGTCAGTCCAAAATTTTTATTTTTGTTACAAATAGCTAAAACAGTTTTTTGGGACGAATTGCAAATGATCCCAAAAAACGTTTTAGGTACGTGTCACAGACAACAATGTGACTGAAGCAAATATTCTCGAAAAGACATAGTGGGTTTTTTAAGGTGTAAGCCAGCACGAAGAAGATGTCAGTCCTCAACTTATTAACTTATTATGCTGTCATGGAGGGAGAAGATCAACAGTTTCTTAAGAAGATCTCGACACATCGACGAAGTCTCTTGTCGTCCCCGAATCCGGCTGTAACTATATTGCTTGCGTTTGATGTAATGCCCGTTTTTTACATTTACAGCCGTCGGAGAGCATGAAAAATGCGAACACCCTGAGATACTTGCCACTGACATTGAACAGCATTCCTGCTTCAGTAGAACTAACTGGAAGAGATATCAGCATACGAGTTAAGACAAGGGAGGAGTCTTAGGACGAGGGCCAGGGATCTCAGTTTGTCGGAAAGGCAGGTTAGACATATGGCTAATTATCACTGGTCTACAAAATTCAATTTTTTCTCTCTAACTTTGACATAATTGTAATGTTTTCGTTTAATTTGTCTCTGTGTTTGTAACAAAGGGCATAAACCTTACAACTTAGCTCAATTAAAAATAAAAATGCATATTTGATGTTAAAAACAAAAAAGCAGGTAAAACAATTTAATTTTTGTATCTTTAACGGCAAAAAGTGATGTATTAACAAAAGAACAACCATAATTAAGAAAAAAACAACGATTGTAGATTAAAAAAAGAAAAAAACAAAAGAAACAGCTAAGACCGACGTTTTTTCGGTTGCCTCCTATGGATTTCATTGGAGATCTCTCGCTTGATGGTCCCGCAGTATTTTTCGAGCATTTAGGGGTTCCATCGATCTTGGTAACCTTTTTGTATCCACAAAATGCCCAGATGGAAACGTTCTCTATGTCCGTCACTCACGTCGTCATAATTTTTGGGGAAAAAATCAAGATGCGAATACATAAAATGCACTTTTAAGAATATGTTAATTTTAAATTTTTTATATGATGATAACATGTTTTCTACTTACTAAACGTAGTTTTCTTATTGTTTCCCAAGAAGTTTGTAGCAATTTGATCACAAAAAAATACACCTTATAGAAAGTTTCCTATTACTTAATAGTACGATTTTTGTATTTTTCAAAGGATAATATTGAAGATTACTTTTAAATGAGAGCCAAGTTTGGGTTTAGCCGTTTATAATATCATTTAAAATTGTTAATTAAATAATAATTGGCTGCTATAATAAAAGTTAGAGCTTAGCTGTTGACCAGTGTTACCGAGTGGCGTTCAACTTATTGAAAATCAAGGCGATATCTATGGCCTAAATAATAAAATATTAGTTATCATTTGATACCATATATTAAGATCTTTAACAAATTTAATTAACATGTGCATTAGGTGTAGCGTTTTTCCAAATTCTTTGAAAGTTGCAAAAGTTGTTCCTCTTCATAAGAAGGGTAACAAAAATAATCCAGAAAATTTTAGACCTATTTCCATTCTATCAATTTTTGCAAAAATTTTCGAATTACTTAGTAAATTAATTACAAAAAAGGCAACTGACATTACATCTAGAAGAACATAGTCTTTTTAACAATTCACAATTCGGTTTTAGATCTAAACGATCCACTATTTTAGCAATTAATGCCTTAGTTGATAAAATAAATGAGAGTTTTGAAGCTAAAGAATTTACGTGTGCTGAATTTTTAGACTTCACGAAAGCTTTCGACTGTGTTTCCCACAGCATCTTGATCGAAAAAATGAAACAATATGGTTTAGGTGCAAAAAGTGTTGAATTGATAACTTTATACTTAACAAATAAGTCACAGGTAGTTACCATTGAAAATAAAATATCAGTTAAAAGGAAAGTCACTGTAGGAGAACCGCAGGGTTCAATATTAGGACTGACTTTATTGCTTTGTTACATAAATGACTTGCCGCAATGTTCAAATATAAGTTCATTTGTTTTGTTTGCAGATGACACAACAATTAGTGCTTCTAGCAGAAACTTGCAGGAATTAAAGTTGCATTCTTCTACTACTCCATCCAATGTAAACACTTGGTGCACAGCTAATCAATTAATTCTAAATCATGATAAGTAAATGTAAACGTTTAACTTTTAGTTTAAGACCACACCATGAAGATGACACGTAAAGTACATCGGAAAATTTCTTGACAGTATATATTGACACAAAACTTTGGTAGGAATCCCATATTGACTTTTTGGCAGCAAAACTCTCAAAAAACATTTTCCTACTCAGGAGTATGTATGACAGTCTCAGAAAAAAATCTTATTACAGCGTACTACGGACTTGTTCACACGCATATAACATAGGCGTTGTTGGTTTGGGGCTACTGTTACCACAGTTCTGTAATCTTCAAATTGCAGCGGAGAGCTTTACGTATAATTTTTGGTATTCCCTATAGCAGATTGTAGGATTTTTTTTCAGAAACTAGGGGTACTTACATTACCAAGTACATATACAAGGTGATTGCGAAATACATGCAAAAAAAAATGGGGAATAGCCCACAATACGATTATATCACTGTGTAAAATTCACAATCCTAAGTGATAGCAGTGTCTAGAAAAAATTACTTGAAATTAAATATAAATTGTTATACGCGCCGCTGGTAATGTTTCGTGACCTACATAATTACTACAATGAATAGGACAGAGCGACTCGGATTAAGAACCAAAAAAGTGACTTTATCAGTCGGTGAAATCGATGTATGGTGTAGTTTTCCAATGCAGAGTGTGTCGATATGGTAATTGGTGTGCGCGAACATTTGCGTCAGTGGTACACCATCTCCGAAATCATGGTACCTTCAACCTCTAAATGCAAGGTTTGGAGGCCGCTGATTGTCCATGTTGTGTAATTTTCTGCAAATGGTTGTTATCGCAGTGTCGTGAACGCCCTAACTTTTTAAAATGCATTCTGTTTACGAATGAAGCAGGTTTCAAACGCAATGTTTTGTTCAACAGCGACAACACTCAATTTTTGTCCGATGAAACTCCACGTGCTCGTCAACAACTACGAGTTCAAGAGACGGTTTTTGATAAGTGTGTATCGATTAGATGAAACAGTTAGTTTGTGGAAAACAACAGTGCCCAGAAATTTCTGGCACTGTTCGATAATTATCGAAGAGGTAGTAGCATTTTAAGTTGCTCCTATTTTTGTTCCAATAAACAATGTAAAATCGTTGTGGCAAGGAACAAACATCCCTCAGAACAAAAAGTCGATCATCATGAAGCATCACCAAAAAAACTTTCGCATTGATCTTAACGATGAATGAATCCATGAATGAATGATAAGCAGCAAAAAGTCGGTTTTACTTTTAATTGAAACTGAAAGTGTTTACGTCGTTTATATTCGAACGTTTTTCCAACACTGTTTACAAGGTGGCTTAGTGCCTTCGTATCGAGGGTGGTACATGGGGGTTTAGCCCCATTCGATTTTTAATTTATTTTTTCGATATTTCAATACTACTAGGGTGGGGGAATATATTGCATATATTTTTAAGTGACCCTGTATGTTACCGAGTCTGTTATACATAAAAAACAATTAGACAGATTTTTCAGTGCCGAAAACAAAACGCGAGGAAATAATGACATTGTTGCTTGATATCATAGAATAAGTAAAACAAGAACTGGATCAAATTATTTCTGTGTGAAATTTTTTAATCATTTGCCAGCTGATATAATACCCAAATTAGATGCACTATCGTTTAAAAAGTTTATTTCAAATTTTCTAAAACTCCATCCGTTTTATAATGTTTCCGAATATCTTGAATTTAATATTGACAGTACTGAGGTGTAATAATTGGTAGTCTTTTCACTGTTGCGTGATTTTGCATCATTTTTGTACCTATATTGTGTAAACTGTTTTGACGTGTGTAAGTACTTTATACATATAACATGAATAAAGATTATTATTATAAATAAGGTACCCGCTATGGTACCTCCGAATTCACTCGGGAATATATCAAGAATAATAGGCTAGTTTGGGATCCTAATTCGATGACGAGCCTTTATTCTCATCGTCCACCGTTCCTGAGTCTCCAGAAATTGACAGACGGCTTTTCCCTATAAATTCACGTCCAGTAATTATGCCCACAATTCCTGTTGCACCAACACTTACCGGTATATAGTTACATGAATCTTTCATGTGTCAAATCCTGGGTCTTATCTAGGAGATAAGATTGAAGCATTTCCCTTAGAGGAATGGGGTGAATTCCCTTAATGCAGTCCGTCATATCTGTTCATGGAGAAATCTTCCGATCTATGTCACCACACTTCGACGTCTACAAGAATCGAGGAACCCACATCAGGTAGCCGGTTTCTCCCAAGTGCTGCCAGCCCAATTGTGAGAAGCTAAGAAGCTCTTGAAACAGGTTATATTCCCATAGCCGTCCTGTACAACATCATACTAACTACCGGTTATCACCCAAAGGGGTTCTGTCAGGACGGACTGCACCCTGTCGAACTATCTAACATTGGAGACCATCATCAACGAACGTACTATGGCCAGATTTAACACATTCATACTGAGCATGGATCTAAAAAAAGGGTTTGATTCGGTCTCCCAACACGCCATTATAAGTGAGCTCACTAAGAGGAGCCTTACCTTCTCTTTTTGCTAATTATATAAAGGCCACATTAACGTCGTCATCCACTACGTCCACGGTAAGTCCGGAAACGGCCGATTTGGTGTCCATAAAAAAAGATGCTCATGAGGGTGATCCAGCCTTATCTTCTTCAATATCGTCTTAGACGACCTCATCAACGAGCTTTCCTCTACGGATCTTAACTGTCTGATAAATTCCGGAACCCGCTGTCCAGTTTTGGCATTCGCGGACGATGTGGTTCTCCTGACTAAGTCCGACAAAAACCTCCAAGCGTTGGTCTTTTTTAAGTATAGGGGAATAGCCGTCAATCTTGCTAGGTCTAGACAAGGTCACCAATCAGTATATAAAAAAATGCTTCATATGCATTTACATATCCCCAATGGATTAAGCCATACCGTCATTTGTGACAACGGGTTGGGCATCTCAGAAATGTCTTTGAAGATTCCGACTCTTCTGGGACGCTTCAAGAAGTTGGAGGGGTGCTTGACGCATGATCAGTTGCCTACTGCATGCTTACTTCACATGGTATTTGTAGGTTCAGATCACGCCTTAATAAAATGATCTCCCGTTTTCCAGGCGGTTTGCATAGAGAGTTGATGGATGACGATGATGTGTTTACAAAGGGGCTCACGTGTGATGGCCGGGATTCTTCTTCCCTGTTCTGGATTAATCCGCGTCCCCAAGGCTGGAATGCTGTTGACTGGGTTAGGGTCATCCGTCGGGTACGTTTTGTACTTAAATAGTGTATATGCTGTTTAAATGTAAAATTGGCTTCATACACTACTCCCAAATCTGTGATAGTCGTACATCTTGTTATACTCATGCCATTGAGTGCATAATCAAAACATACATTATTTTTACAAATTACTATACGTCACAATCTTACATTTGTCAGAGTTTAACGCGAAATGATTAATTCCACACGAATCAAAACAATTATTAGCATCATCTTGCAACAGCAACAATCAAGAGGATTGGAAAAACTGCAAAACAATTTTACATCGTCCGCAAACATAAGGATGTGCCAATGTTCAATTACACTGACGGCATCATTAACATTTAATATGAATAAAAGTGGCCCTAGTGTGGAGCCTTGAGGAATATCTGACGTTGCAACATAGGATGTGGAGGTGTAGCCTTTGTGATATATAAAGTTGGTGCGAAAAGACAAATAAGAAATGAAAAGGTTTAATGTACAATTTGACAAGCCCAACGTAGACAATTTATTGAGGAGGATTTGATCGTCTACCTTATTAATGTTTTGCTGAAGTCGGTGTGTATAACGTGAAGTTGACCTATGTTAACCAGTGTTTCAGCGATATGTTGCGACAAGGAATGGGCGTCAACACGTCGACTTTAATTGTCCACCTCTACATGTCGACAAAGTGTCGATTATGTCGACAATGTAGACAACGTATCGACAATGCGTGTCGTTGCATGTTAAAAATTTGTGGTTATGAATGTTTGCTACTCTCCCGCAAAAGCTCGAAGGTCCTGAAGATACTTTAACTGATTTGGAGTGTTGTCGTCACGGACTTGTACTTTGGACATTTTCTGGAGATACAATTGCTGATTTCCAGAATGTTATTAGCTACAATAACGTCTGGAACACTTGGACTTTTGGGTACATTCACCAATATCTTCTTGCTGATGAACTTCAACTCGTTTTCTTTAAGTCGTTGATCACAGTTAAATTGGACTCACAATTGTTACACAGAATGACAATGCGTTTCTGTGTCTAGACATAAGTGATATATCATCTTTTTTAAGCCAGCACGTCGATAGTGTATCGTAGATTTGATCTAAACAAAACATATATAAATAACCACAAAATATTGCATAATGACAACTTGCGCAACGAGTGAGATGTTGCCGATATAAAGGTAAAGTGTGTGGAGTGAGAAACCCTTTCTGCAAACTGAAGTAGCATTTGCAGGTTACTGACTCATCCACATCTCAAGTCATGTGTAATAACAACTGATAACAATTTGTTTAAACTGTAAAAAAATTGCGAAATCGAATGCAGCATCAAAATCTTAAAACAAAAAAGAAGGATAATTTAGTCTATTTTAAGTTCCCAAATAGCTGAAGTAATGTGGAGACTATAATGTAAAAGTAAATAAAGCTACACTAGTTTCATCATAAGTTGTAATACAACGCAATACTAAAAGTTGATATTCAAGATACCAAAAATAAACAAACACTCGAGACTGTGACGAATTTTTATCTTCGTATTTATTTTGTTTGTGGTGAGTCGGCGATATAGTTGTGATTTATTAGTCTGTAAATTTACGATAAGCAATGTTTTGGACCGAATCACTATGGATGTATCTTCTTGGTATAATCGTGGCCTTCACCGCCATCTGCATAACTAAACTGAAACGGAAATTCGCCTACTGGAAAATCAGAAACGTACCATATTTGGAACCATCATTTCCTTTCGGAAACCTACAAAACCCTTTCAAAGTCAGAGAAACCGTAGGAATATCAGTTAAACGTCTCTACGATGAACTAAAAAGCAAGAAATTACCCCACGGTGGTGTTTTTTTTTTGTCAAGACCCATCTACCTTCTGGCGGATTTGGAATCCATCAAAAACGTGTTGACAAAGGATTTTCAATACTTTTTCAACCGTGGTGTGTATTACAACGAAAAGGACGACCCTATAAGCGCCCATCTTTTTGCCATTGGTGGCCAAAGATGGCGAAATTTGAGAATGAAACTCACTCCAACTTTCACATCAGGAAAAATGAAGCTGATGTTCCAGACGCTTTTAGACTGCCAAAAGAATCTTCACGAAAAGATTGCCTTGCTATGTGAGAATAAGCAACCCATAGATATCAAAGAGCTTCTTGGTTGTTACACCACTGATGTTATTGGGTCTTGTGCATTTGGTTTGGAATGTAACACATTCAAAGACGATGACTCGCCGTTCCGGAAGTATGGCAAAAAGGTTTTTGGTTCCAATATTTCAAGAAGGCTTCAAATTTCTTTTGCTGTAAATTTTCCTAAGGCTGCTAGAGCCTTCAAAATTCGTGCCATTCCTAAAGACATTTCAGATTTCTTCAGCAAAGTTGTCAAAGATAATGTAGAATATAGGGAAAAAAATAATTTTAGGAGGAACGACTTTATGCAGCTGTTGATTGATTTGAAGAATAATAAATTAGTGACTATTGAAGAAGTTACAGCTCAAAGTTTTGTGTTCTTTTTGGCAGGTTTTGAAACCTCTTCTACTGCCATGGCTTTCGCTCTTTATGAACTAGCAAAGAACCAAGACATCCAACAGAAAGTAAGGGATGAAATCAGCACAGTCTTGGCTAAACATGATGGAAAAGTTACTTACGATGCTATCAAAGACATGACATATATGAACCAGGTTCTTGACGGTACAATATACATTTTGGTACAGGGGAATCCAGTATTTTAATCTTCTTTTTAGAAACTTTACGAAAATACCCTCCAGTGCCTATTCTAAGTAGAGAATGTGTTAGGGATTACAGAATTCCCGGAGAAGACATGGTTATTGAAAAAGGAACCAGAATACTAGTACCAGTACTAGGCATCCATTACGATGAAGAATATTATCCCAATCCTGAAAAATTCGATCCTGAGCGTTTTGATGAAGAAAATTCGAAAAATCGACAACAATATTCTTACATTCCTTTTGGAGAAGGCCCTAGAATTTGTATAGGTGAGTCTCGTATTTTTTCGTTGTAGAAAATTCTACACAGAATTGTTGCAGGTTTGAGATTCGGTATCATGCAGTCAAAAGTAGAACTTACTTCGTTATTGCAAAAATACAAATTTACGTTGAATGATAAAACTAAACAACCCATGAAGTTTGCAAAAAATTCTTTTATATTAGCTGTTGAAGGCGATGTTTGGTTGGATGCAGAAAAATTATAGACATTAAAAGAAAACAATTTTGTTCATACATTTATAGTGAGATTTAACAATATATTTGTTACTTCATTGTAAAATCTATACTTAGTAGTGTACAATAAAATGTGGTGCATGTCTCGGTGTTCATCTTTAAAAGTAAGCGAAACGGTCGTTATTGTTTTCTACATAAAAGTGGAAAAGTTTTCAGTTAAACAGATAAAGGAAATTTTCAAATTATTTTATTGGGCTAAAAAGTGAGTGATTCTAGTGTATTAAGTTAACATCACGTGGCGTTGTAGCTAAGTATAATATTGGATGGTTTTTTAATCATATCTTCTCTGCGTTTAGCAATATTTCTTCCTCTGGAGTTAATACAAAAGCATAAGCAGAAAACTTTGGACGCCGTCCAGTTTTTTCGTTTAAAGTAAACTTGTACTTCATCAGCAACGAAGTAAGACCTACTTTTGTTTGCATGACTCCAAATCGTAAACCTGCATATTTCAAATTAGTTTTTAAATAACTAAATAAAATAATATTACCTATACAAATTCTAGGACCTTCTCCAAAAGGTATATGTGCATAGTGGGGCCTGGACTTTGAGTTTTCCTCGTTAAACCTTTCAGGGTCGAATTTATCAGGATCAGGATAATATTCTTCGTCGTAATGTATGCCCAAAACGGGAATAAAAATTCGGATACCCTTTTTTATAATAACGTTTTGATCGGGTACCTTGTAATCTTGGGTGCACTCTCTACTGAGCACAGCTCCGGGAGGGTACTTCCGAAGGGTTTCTGAAAATTATATTTTCAAATATTATACCTACTACTATCTGAAAATTTTTACCATTAATTACTTGGTCCATGTATTTCATTTCTTGAAGGGCTTCATAAGTGACTTTTCCGTTATGTTTAGCTACAACACTGTTAATTTCGTCCCTTAATTTGTCTTGAATGTCTGGGTTTTTGGCAAGTTCAAACATTGCCCAAGACGTTGCACTTGAAGATGTCTCAAAACCGGCCAAAAAGAAAACAAAACTTTGCGCTGTAATTTCGTCGAGTGTCAAACCTGTGCCATTTTGTGTCCCCTTCCCTTTCATTTCAATCAATAACTGCATGAAATCTTTTCTCGAATAGTGATTGCGTTCTCTATATTCCACGTTATCTTTCACAACATTGGTAAAGAAATCCGACACACTTTTAGACACAGCTCTTACTTTTAACGCCTTCGCCACTTTCGGGTAATTCATTGATAATCCAAAAACGAAATTCTCCCACTTTGACATATTAAAGAACTTCAAACCATACTCCCGAAAAGACGCAGGACCGTCTTTAAAACTGTTACATTCTATACCGAAAGCACAGGAGCCAATAACATCCATGGTATAGCAACTAAGAAGCTTTTTCACATCTAAAGGTTCGTTACGTTCATATAACTCTTCAATTTTCTCGTGAAGATTTTTCTCGCAATCTAGAAGAGTCTGGAACATCATCTTCATTTTTCCAGAAGTGAAAGTCGGAGTAAGTTTGGTTCGCAAATTTTTCCATTTTTCGCCACTGACAGTAAAGAGATGGGCACTTATAGGATCGTCCTTTTCATTGTAGTACACTCCACGGTCGTTGAAATATTTAAAATCTTTTGTAAATACGTTCTTCACATATTCCAGGTCGATCACCAGGTATGCGGGTCTAGCAAAAAGGAAAAAGCCACCATGACGAGATTTTTGTCGTTTCAGTTCGTCGTATATGTGTTTTACTACAAGAGAAAAGTGTTCTTTGCTTGCTGATGGAGGTGCTAGGTTTCCCATAGGAATGCTAGGTTTCAGGTAAGGGACATTTAAATTCTTCCAGTAGGTGAAGCTCCATTTGTAGTAGGTGATGAAAATGGTAATTAAGGCCAGCAAAAGGCCGGTAAGGTCGATTAAGGCACAATCGCTCAGAAACATCTTTGAAATTTTTTAGTGATAGTAACTACCGAAGATTTAAAATTCTGCTAACTCACCTCTCAAAGTGCTAGTCACTGAGTGAGAACTGATTTAGCAATTTTTTGCATTAACTTATAGGAGCTTTATATCAACATAGGGTGATAAAAATGATGACAAATGGTTCAAGGTGCACTGTACAGTGTATACTAAGATAAGATAAACAAAATATTACGTTGAAATTTGAATGTTTCATCGCGAATTGATTTGTGTGAAATGTTACAAGTGAGTTGAGAGGTTATTTACGTAAATTTATTTTTCATATCGTTAGTTACTGTTTTAGGAGGGTTCGTATTCTGTAGGGTGGAAAATGCTAATGTTGCTCTCTTTACTCAAAGTAAATGATCAAAGTTCGTGTACAAGTGTTATTAGGTGATGTCGAAAAATATCATTTCTTGCAATGAACCAGGCTATCGCAAAGGCTTTGTTTTGTTTATGATTTTGGGTGTTATTTTTACATCTCTTGACAAAGGTTAGTTCTGTTAGTTCCGTTAGATTACTACATACAAAGTTTTTGATGTCACCGATCATTACTTTATTACTGTGCACAAAGTTGCAATTTTATGGATTCCATTAAAGGACCGTTTAATTACTTCCCGAGCGTAAGATAGAAAAGTATTGAAAACGAATCCATCGAGGGACTGGCTACTTTCATTTTTTCTATACGTTTCTTGATACCCTAGAGTACGAACAAACAGGTCTCCCGTTTCCGTTTCACCGTCGTCTGTCTATCTGTCTGTTGTCTGTGTCGATTTTTATTTGATAGATAATTTCGGATACTACTAGACCGATTGTTGGCAAATTTTATACATAGTTATATGTGATTGTTGCATTGAATGTATGAGGGCCCTGTTGGTTTATAAATTTTCTAAAATCACCTGTCGATCGCTCTGAATTTATGGCTGTTTTGAAAAACATGGGTTTAATCGTCTATCGAGACATTCCCTCCCAAATAATTATTTTTGACTGTATTCTCATATTTCGAAAATTTACAAAGTCATCGAAATAAATCCAGGCCTCGTCGTTATCAAATGTAAAATATAAAAGCTCATCGTCCATATTTTGCTCAAACCATCGACAGTACATCAAGCTTTTAAGGCAGTCAACTCTTTGACTTAGAAATCTTAACAAAACGGACGGATTCTTCTATTGTTGCTTTTACATCTTGAGCAAGGTCTGGGGTTGTGACTGAACCACTTCGACCCGACCTTTTTTTGGAATAGATTCAGTGACTTTAAAATTAGGCGTAATAACTTGATGACATTGATACAAATTTTGATAATAATTAGCATCCATCCAATAACAGTATTTAATTTTACATTCTTTGACACAGTGCTGGGCTGTGAATACTCATTTACCTACCATTTTCTTCTTTCACATCGTTTCGAAAATAAGATTCTAATAAGAACGGTTTTACTTCAACAGTGGTACTTTTTGACTTTCTTGAAGGATGTAACGGATGTTCAATTGAAAAATCACTCAAAGTAGGCGTTGGAATGTCATTTGACAGAAACGGCATATCTGTTCATATAACATATAACCTACCACAGATTATGTTTCTGCCAAATGGATGTAGTAAGAATAGACATGCCGTTCGTGTCAAATGAAACTCCGACGCCTACTTTGAGTGATTTTTCAACACTCATTACATAAGTATATATGTATTAACTTTCAATTTCGAAAAATTGTATGAATTAAAGAATTGTTGAATCATTTTGGTTTAATTTGATATATATAGGGTTATTCACGAGAAGCTCTACGTCTAAAAAAAATCGAGAAGAACCAGAAATACAAATTCACCACCTTTGATATTTCATACCATTTTAGGAAAATGTCACACATAATTACCAGTTTTCTGTAACAACTTTGACGTAATGTCAAATGAACTCCCTTGTTAAAACTGACGTTTCGGCAGAGTTGATACAGAGTGTATTCAAATGGTTTTGATATATGGAGTCTTGTTTTTGCTTTTAATATAATATTTGACGTTTGTTTCGAAATTATCAAAGCCAGACTGCTAACTGTGTTTTACTTTAATAAATACCGATAGTAAATATCAATGACTGCTTTGCAATTATATTGGTGATTGCATTTGAAGTTCTTTAGGAGTGCAGCTTCTCGTGAATCACCCTGTATTTCAGAAATCACTGAGAAAATTCGTTAATCTGTGACCTAAGTGTAACATTATTATATTATTATAATTAATATTTACTGAAGAACAGATTAGATTTAAAAATAAGAATTGAGAAGTAAATTTTAGAGAACTGTGTTCTAACAAATAACACAAAGAAATAAGCCACAAGGGTTTTCTGGAGTCTCAACCTTGTCTAGTGATCAGCACAACCCAAGCTTTGTTTCTTTATACAACCCTCTTCAAATGGTAAATGGTTTACATACTATACGAAATTTTTAAATTCCATTATTATTGTCAAATTTTATTAAGTAGGAATATCGTGGACAAAACTTTAACCAAAATTTCTCTACGAATCATCACCGACAATGTGATGACGTCACTTCGCGACGAAATTCCAGTGGAACGGACGTCCGGTGACCGTCCGGAATTTCGCCGATCACGCGTGGGGGCGGCGTACCTCGGTGCCAAGCCTTGGGCCGACTAGTATCGCTGAAATAGAAACACGTCTGGCCGACCTAGGCTTATGCGGAACCTTCACGCCACCGGGGGTGGCACTTTAGGTAGGAAGCGATGGTCGCTCGGTCGCCAACTCCCTCTCCGAAGGCACCGGAGTTGCTCTAACGCCCGATCTCCAGGTGGTGAGCGCCTGCGAAAACAGGAGAATAAAATAAAACGGATAGAATTAAGAATAATCGGGTATTATTGCCTCCCACCAGCTGCACGGCTAAAATAATAAATCTGACGGCTAAAATTTTAAACTTTAAATAAAATTACAAATCGAACTTCACAAAAAGAAAAAAAAATGAAACGTCCGGCACGGTACGGTTTTTCGCTCGGGGGCGGCGACTCAAAACTGGTACGCAGACAGGCAGAAAACCCAAACGGTACTTACGGTGGTCGGATTCTACAGGGCTCTGCACGTTTCACAAAACTCAGAAATTTGGGGAAACAGCCACAACACTTCTTTTTTCTCCGATGATGGAAAAGTTACTTACGATGCTATCAAAGAGATGACATATATGAACCAGGTTCTTGACGGTACAATATACATTTTGGTACATAGGAATCCAGAATTTTAACCTTTTTTTTAGAAACTTTACGAAAATACCCTCCAGTGCCTATTCTAAGTAGAGAATGTGTTAAGGATTACAGAATCCCCGGAGAAGACATGGTTATTGAAAAAGGAACCAGAATACTAGTACCAGTTCTAGGCATCCATTGCGATGAAGAATATTATCCCAATCCTGAAAAATTCGATCCTGAGCGTTTTGATGAAGAAAATTCGAAAAATCGACAACAATATTCTTACATTCCTTTTGGAGAAGGCCCTAGAATTTGTATAGGTGAGTCTCGTATTTTTTCGTTGTAGAAAATTCTACATAGAATTATTGTTGCAGGTTTGAGATTCGGTATCATGCAGTCAAAAGTAGGACTTACTTCGTTATTGCAAAAATACGAATTTACGTTGAATGATAAAACTAAACAACCCATGAAGTTTGCAAAAAATTCTTTTATATTAGCTGTTGAAGGCGATGTTTGGTTGGATGCAGAAAGATTATAGACATTAAAAGAAAACAATTTTGTTCATACATTTATAGTGAGATTTAACAATATATTTGTTACTTCATTGTAAAATCTATATTTAAGTAGTAGTGTGCAATAAAATGTGGCGCTTGTCTCTGTTTTCATTTAGAAGGAAATATTTGATTATTAGTAGAAATATCGACATTCCGCAATGTTATAGCGAGGTAGAGCGTTGTTCAAATTCTTCTTAAATTCCTGAAGAGTTCATCTTTGAAAGTAAGCGAAACGGTCGTTATTGTTTTCCACATACAAGTGGAAAAGTTGTCAGTTAAACAGATAAAGGAAATTTTCAAATTATTTTATTGAGCTAAAAAGTGTTTCCAGTGTATTAAGTTAACATCACGTGGTATTGTAGTTAAGTATTATATAGTGTGGTTGTTTTAATTATATCTTCTCTGCGTTTAGCAATATTTCTTCCTCTGGAGTTAATACAAAAGCATAAGCCGAAAACTTTGGACGCCGTCCAGTTTTTTCGTTTAAAGTAAACTTGTACTTCATCAGCAACGAAGTAAGACCTACTTTTGTTTGCATGACTCCAAATCGTAAACCTGCATATTTCAAATTAGTTTTTAAATAACTAAATAAAATAATATTACCTATACAAATTCTAGGACCTTCTCCAAAAGGTATATGTGCATAGTGGGGCCTGGACTTTGAGTTTTCCTCGTTAAACCTTTCAGGGTCGAATTTATCAGGATCAGGATAATATTCTTCGTCGTAATGTATGCCCAAAACGGGAATAAAAATTCGGGTACCCTTTTTTATAATAACGTCTTGATCGGGTACCTTGTAATCTTGGGTGCACTCTCTACCTAGCACACCTCCGGGAGGGTACTTCCGAAGGGTTTCTGAAAATTATATTTTCAAATATTATACCTACTACTATCTGAAAATTTTTACCATTAATTACTTGGTCCATGTATTTCATTTCTCGAAGGGCTTCATAAGTGACTTTTCCGTTATGTTTAGCTACAACACTGTTAATTTCGTCCCTTAATTTGTCTTGAATGTCTGGGTTTTTGGCAAGTTCAAACATTGCCCAAGACGTTGCACTTGAAGATGTCTCAAAACCGGCCAAAAAGAAAACAAAACTTTGCGCTGTAATTTCGTCGAGTGTCAAACCTGTGCCATTTTGTGTCCCCTTCCTTTTCATTTCAATCAATAACTGCATGAAATCTTTTCTCGAATAGTGATTGCTTTCTCTATATTCCACGTTATCTTTCACAACTTTGCTAAAGAAATCCGACACACTTTTAGACACAGCTCTTACTTTTAACGCCTTCGCCACTTTCGGGTAACTCATTGATAATCCAAAAACGAAATTCTCCCACTTTGACATGTTAAAGAACTTCAAACCATACTCCCGAAAAGACGCAGGACCGTCTTTAAAACTGTTACATTCTATACCGAAAGCACAGGAGCCAATAACATCCATGGTATAGCAGCTAAGAAGCTTTTTCACATCTAAAGGTTCGTTACGTTCATATAACTCTTCAATTTTCTCGTGAAGATTTTTCTCGCAATCTAGAAGAGTCTGGAACATCATCTTCATTTTTCCGGAAGTGAAAGTCGGAGTAAGTTTAGTTCGCAAATTTTTCCATTTTTCGCCACTGACATTAAAGAGATGGGCACTTATTGGATCGTCCTTTTCATTGTAGTACATTCCACGGTCGTTGAAATATTTAAAATCTTTTGTAAATACGTTCTTCACATATTCCAGATCGATGACCAGGTATGCGGGTCTAGCAAAAAGGAAAAAGCCACCATGACGAGCTTTTTGTCGTTTCAGTTCGTCGTATATGTGTTTTACTACAAGTGAAAAGTGTTCTTTGCTTGCTGATTGAGGTGCTAGGTTTCCCATAGGAATGCTAGGTTTCAGGTAAGGGACATTTAAATTCTTCCAGTAGGTGAAGCTCCATTTGTAGTAGGTGATGAAAATGGTAATTAAGGCCAGCAAAAGGCCGGTAAGGTCGATTAAGGCACAATCGCTCAGAAACATCTATGAAATTTTTTAATGATGGTAACTACAGAAGATTTAAAATTCTCCGAACTCACCTCTCAAAGTGCTAGTCACTGAGTGAGAACTGATTTAGCAATTTTTTGCATTAACTTATAGGAGCTTTATATCAACATAGGGCGATAAAAATGATAACAAATGGTTCAAGGTGCACTGTACAGTGTATACTGAGATAAGATAAACAAAATATTACGTTGAAATTTGAATGTTTCATCGCGAATTCATTTGTGTAAAATATTACAAGTGAGTTCAGAGGTTATTTATATAAATGTAGTTATTTTTCATATATTTAGTTGCTGTTTTAGGAGGGTTCGTGTTCTGTAGAATGGAAATTGCTAATGTTGCTCTTTTTACCCAAAATAAATGATCACAGTTCGTGTACAAGTGTTATTAGGTGGTATCGAAAAATATCATTTCTTGCAATGAGCCAGGTTATCGCAAAGGCTTTGTTTTGTTTATGATTTTGGGTGTTATTTTTACATCTCTTGACAAAGGTTAGTTCTGTTAGTTTCGTTAGATTATTCCATACAAAGTTTTTGGATGTCACTGATCATTACTTTATTACTTTGTACAAAGTTGCAATTTTATGGATTCCATTAAAGGGGCGTTTAATTACTTCCCGAGCGTAAGATAGAAAAGTATTGAAAAGGAGTCCATCGAGGGGTTGGCTACTTTCATTTTTTCTATACGTTTCTTGATACTTATTTAAGAGTACGAAAAAATAGGTCTCCCGTTTCCGCGTCACTGTCGTCTGTCTATCTATATAAATTTTATACATAGTTACATGCGATTATTGCATTGAATGTATGAGTATCCGGTTGGTTGATGAATTTTCTAAAACCACCTGTCGATCGCTCTGAATTTATGGCTGTTTTGAAAAACATGGGTTTAATCGTCTATCGAGACATTCCCTCCCAAGTAATTATTTTTAACTGTACTCTCATATTTCGAGAATTTACATAGCCATCGAAATAAATCCACGCCTCGTCGTTATCAAATGTAAAATATAAAAGCTCATCGTCCATATTTTGCTCAAACCATCGACAGTACGTCAACCTTTTAAGGCAGTCAACACTTTGACTTCGAAATCTTAACAAAGTGGACGGGTATTCTTCTTGGGTTGTGACTGAACCACTTCGACCTGACCTTTTTTTGGAAGAGATTCAGTGACTTTAAAATTAGGCGTAAGAACTTATGACATTGATAGAAGGATGTAACGGATGTTCAATTGAAAAATCACTCAGAGTAGGTGTTGGAATATCATTTGACAGAAACGGCATGCATATAACCTACCACAGGTTATGTTTCTGCCAAATGGATGTAGTAAGAATAGACATGCCGTTCGTGTCGAATGAAACTCCGACGCCTAATTTGAGTGATTTTTCAATTCAACACTCATTACATAAGTACATATGTATTAACTTTCAATTTCGCAAAATTGTATGAATTAAAGAATTGTTGAATCATTTTTGTTTAATTTGATATATATAGGGTTATTCACGAGAAGCTCTACGTCTAAAAAAAATCGAGAAGAACCAGAAATACCAATTCATCACCTTTGATATTTCATACCATTTTAAGAAAATGTAAAACATAATTACCTGTTTTGTGTAACAACTTTGATGTAATGTCAAATGAACTCCCTTGTTAAAACTGACGTTTCGGCAGAGTTGATGCAGAGTGTATTCAAATGATTTTGATATATGGAGTCCCGTTTTTGCTTTTAAAATAATATTTGACGTTTGTTTCCAAATTATTAAAACCAGACTGCTAACTGTGTTTTACTTTAATAAATACTGATAATAAATATCAATGACTGCTTTGCAATTATATTGGTGATTGCATTTGAAATTCTTTAGGAGTGCAGCTTCTCGTGAATCACCCTGCATTTCAGAAATCACTGAGAAAATTCGTTTATCTGTGACCTAAGTGTAACATTATTATATTATTATAATTCATATTTACTGAAGAGCAGATTAGATTTAAAAATAAGAATTGAGAAGTAAATTTTAGAGAACCGTGTTCTAACAAATAACACAAAGAAAGAAGCCACAAGGGTTTTCTGGAGTCTCAATCTTGTCTAGTGATCAGCACAACCCAAGCTTTGTTTCTTTATACAACCCTCTTCAAATGGTAAATGGTTTACATACTATACGAAGTTTTTAAATTCCATTATTATTGTCAAATTTTATTAAGTAGGAATATCGTGGACAAAACTTTAACCAAAATTTCTCTATGAATCATCACCGACAATGTGATAACGTCACTTCGCAACGAAATTCCAGTGGAACGGACGTCCGGTGACCGTCCGGAATTTCGCCGATCACGCGTGGGGGCGGCGTACCTCGGTGCCAAGCCTTGGGCCGACTAGTATCGCTGAAATAGAAACACGTCTGGCCGACCTAGGCTTATGCGGAACCTTCACGCCATCGGGGGTGGCTCTTTAGGTAGGAAGCGATGGTCGCTCGGTCGCCAACTCCCTCTCCGAAGGCACCGGAGTTGCTCTAACGCCGGATCTCCAGGTGGTGAGCGCCTGCAAAAACAGGAGAATAAAATAAAACGGATAGAATTAAGAATAATCGGGTATTATTGCCTCCCACCAGCTGCACGGCTAAAATAATAAATCTGACGGCTAAAATTTTAAACTTTAAATAAAATTACAAATCGAACTTCACAAAAAGAAAAAAAATGAAACGTCCGGCACGGTACGGTTTTTCGCTCTGGGGCGGCGACTCAAAACTGGTACGCAGACAGGCAGAAAACACAAACGGTACTTACGGTGGTCGAATTCTACAGGGCTCTGCACGTTTCACAAAACTCAGAAATTTGGGGAAACAGCCACAGCACTTCTTTTTTTCTCCGAAGCTTCAAGACAGAATCCTCTTTTCCGCCGCATCGTCGCGGATTAGCCCCCAATTCTTTGTAATTAATAAATCCCAGTTGAGTTTTTACTCTTCGCTCCATATTTTGTCCAAAATAAAAAAAAAATAGGGTAGGGTAAGAATTTTCAATAATACGGGAGGTGCGCTAAGCTACTACTTATTACCTTATTAGCAATGTTGGTTAGAGCGTTGTGCTAATAACGCGGCAGTTGTGAGTACTATTTCTTCATGGCCCACTTTTTTTTACATTGTGACTGGTATTATCTACTACCCATTTTTCTTCAGGAGTGAGGGTCTAATAACATGAGACCATTTTTTATAGAGATGTCACGAAAATATTCGTCAGATCCTCCTTCTTTTCAAAATAAAGAATATGTTAGAGACTACCGAAGCCCCTGAGAGATATGGTTTATAAACAAGGAAACAGAGTCCTAATTTCAAACTCGGAATTCATTGGGACGAAAAATATCGTTCTTATAGTGAAAAAATCGATCATTTGCGTTTTACTGAATAAAGACCCGGAATTTGTATAAACTAGTATAATATTTTCCAATTTCTTTTTGCAGGTTTGAGATTTGGTAGTTTACGTTGCAAAACCAAAAAACTACGAAGTCTCCAAAAATTCTTTTATATTATCTCTTGGCGACGATGTTTGGTTGGACGCAGAAAAACTGCAGTTATTAAAAGAAATAGTCTGAGCTTTATTATCAACACATTTACTACTTCAGTATAATATCCTTCTGATTTCACAGTGTTATAGAAAATTTTAAAATGGTGCAGAATTACCAGCTACTTCATTCAAATCTTTCTCAAATTCCTGAAGAATTCGCTTAAGAGAGTAAGCCAAAAGTTACTCACTGCTTTTGGAAAAATTATCAGTTCAACCAAAAAATGTTCTATTTCATACAGGCATCTATTTCTTTGCATTTTGTCAATTTGGTGCAAATTTTAAAGGGATTCTTTCAGAATTTTCGGAAGTTATTTGTTCAACACGACAGAGCCGCATAAAAGAAACATACAAACGGAAAAAGGAAATTTTTAAATCAATTTATTCAGCAAAAATCATTCTATTCTTAGTTACTCCTATGTTTTTACTGCATTTAACCATATTTCTTCATTTGGAGTCAAAACAAAAGAGTCAACCGCAAACTTCGGACACCGTTTAGTCTTATTATTTAAGGCAAACTTGTATTTCATCAGCAACGAAGCAAGACCTACTTTTGATTGCATGAGCCCAAACCGTAAACCTGCATTTTTAAATTAGTTTTTGAGAAATTAAATTTACCAATAGTACCTATACAAATTCTGGGACCTTCTCCAAATGGTATATGTGCGTAGTGGGGTCTAGACCTTGAGTTCCTTTCACTAAACCTTTCAGGATCGAATTTGTCAGGATCAGGATAATATTCTTCATCGTAATGTATGCCTAAAACGGGAACCAAAACCCGGGTACCTTTTTTTATTATAATGTCTTGGTCGGGCACCTTGTAATCTTGGATGCAAGTTCTGCTGAGCACACCGCCGGGAGGGTACTTGCGAAGGGTTTCTGAAATTGGTATTGTCGGGTATCTTTCTAACTAAATGAGAATTATTACCATCAACAACTTGGCCCATGTACTTCATTTCTTGAATGCCGTCATAAGTGAGCTTTCCACCATACCTAGCAACAACAGCGTTGATTTCATCTCTGAGTTTCTGCTGAATGTCTGGATTTTTGGCAAGTTCGTACATTGCCCAAGCCATTGTGCTTGAAGAAGTTTCAAAACCAGCCAAAAAGAAAACAAAACTCTGTGCTGTAATTTCTTCAAGAGTCAAACCTTTCATTTCAATCAATAATTGCATGAAATCTTTTCTGGAATAATTATTGCGTGCCCGATATTCCATGTTATTTTTCACAACTTTGCTAAAGAAATCTGACACACTTTTAGATACAGCTCTTATTCTTAGCGATCTAGCCAATTTTGGGAAAGTTATAGATAACCCAAAGACAAAGCTTTCCCATTTTGACATTTTAAAGAATTTTAGACCATATTCTCGAAAAGACGCAGGACCGTCTTTAAAACTATTACACTCAATACCGAAAGCACAAGACCCAATAACGTCCATAGTGTAACAACCAAGAAGTCTCTTCATATCTAAAGGCTGTTTGTGTCTATGCAATTCTTCAATTTTCTCGTGAAGATTTTGTTCGCAATCTAGAAGAGTTTGAAACATCATTTTCATTTTTCCAGAAGTGAAAGTCGGAGTAAGTTTAGCTCTCACATTTTTCCACTTTTCTCCATTAAGACTGAAGAGGTGGGCACTGATGGGATCATCCTTTTCATTATAATAAAATCCACGATCATTGAAATATTGAAAGTCTTTTGTTAGTATGTTCTTCACATATTCCAAGTCGATCACCATATAGACGGGGCTAGAAAAAATGTATACACCACCATGGCGAGCTTTTTTGCGTTTGAGTTCATGGTATATGTGTTTCAGCACTACTGCGAATTGTTCTCTTTTCTTTAATGGGGCAATTATGTTTCCTAGAGGAATCCTGGGTTTCACGAATGGGACGTTTAGTTTTTTCCAGTAGTTGAAGCTCCATTTGTAGTAGGTGATGAAGATGGTAAAGAAGGCCAGGAAAAAGCCAACGAGGTCGGTTAAGAGTGAATTGCCCAGAAACATCTATGGAGTTTTTTGAGAAGCAGTGACATTTAAAAATTCTGTTGACTCACCTTTAAAAATGATACTCACTCAATGAGATGTGATTTATCGGTTTGTTGGAATGACTAGTCCTTCGTTAATATCCACATGTAGTGATCAAAACTGTCATAAACATAGATAAAAGTGGAGCACATTGAGATAAGATAAGAAGTAAAATAATAAATGGAAATTTATTCGTCGATGATTCTTTGTTCATTAGTTGGTTATCTCCGTATGATTTTTATTTATAAAAGAATCACTACAATCGAAATAATGAACAACAACTATAATACAATTATAAATAAAAAAATAAATAACAACTTTCACGAAATCTAGAATATACATATACTACTATATTTATATAGTTTCTGTATTTAACCATATTTTTTCGTCTGGAGCTAAAACGAAGGAATCCGGTGCAAATTTTGGCCGGCGTCCAGTTTTGTCGTTCAAGGTGAACTTGTACTTCGTCAGTAACGAAGCGAGACCTACTTTTGACTGCATGAGCCCAAATCGTAAACCTGCATATTTTAAATGAGTTTATAAATACTTAAATAAATACACTAATATGCCTATACAAATTCTAGGACCTTCCCCAAAAGGTATATGTGCGTACTGGTGTCTGGACCTCGAGTTTTCTTCATTAAATCTTTCAGGGTCGAATTTTTCCGGATCAGGATAATATTCTTCGTCGTAATGTATGCCCAAAACAGGGATAAAAACCCGGGTACCTTTCTTTAAAACAATATCTTGATCGGGTACCTTGTAGTCTTGGGTGCAATCTCTGCTGAGTATAGCTCCAGGGGGATACTTCCGAAGAGTTTCTGAAAACGGTATTTTTTATTATCTTAATTACCAACTAATTGACAATGTTTACCGTCAAGTACTTGGCTCATGTATTTCATTTCTTGAATGCCTTCGTAAGTGAGTTTTCCGTCATGCCTAGCTAGAACTTTGTTAATTTCGTCTCTTAGTTTGTCTTGAATGTCTTGGTTTTTGGCAAGTTCGTACATTGCCCAAGACGTTGTACTTGAAGACGTCTCAAACCCGGCCAAAAAGAAAACAAAACTTTGTGCTATAATTTCTTCAAGAGTCAAAGTTGTGCCATCATGTGTTCCTTCACCTTTCATTTCAATCAGTAACTGCATGAAATCTTTTCTGGAATAATTATTGATTTTCCTGTATTCCACGTTATCTTTCACAACGGTGCTAAAAAAATCCGACACAGTTTTAGACACAGCTCTTATATTAAACGCTCTCGCCAGTTTAGGGTAAGTCGTAGATAACCCAAAAACGAAATTCTCCCACATTGACATATTAAAGACCTTCAAACCATACTCTCGAAACGACGTCGAATCGTCTTTAAAACTATTGCATTCTATACCGAAAGCACACGATCCAATAACGTCCATAGTGTAACAACCAAGAAGTTTCTTCACATCTAGAGGTTGCTTGCGTTCATGCAACTCTTCGATTTTCTCGTGCAGATTCTTCCGGCAGTCTAGAAGAGTCTGGAACATCATCTTCATTTTCCCGGAAGTGAAAGTCGGAGTAAGTTTAGTTCTCAAATGTTTCCATTTGTCGCCACTAACATTAAAAAGATGGGCACTGATGGGATCGGCCTTCTCGTTATAGTACACTCCACGGTCGTTGAAATATTTAAAATCTTTTGTTAGCACGTTCTTCACATATTCCAAGTCGATCACGACGTATACGGGTCTAGAAAAGACGTATATGCCACCATGACGGGCTTTTTGTCCTTTCAGTTCGTCATATATGTGCTTCAAGACGACTCCAAAATTTTCTCTTTGCTTTGATGGAGCTATTATGTTTCCCATTGGAATCGTGGGTTTCACGTAAGGGACGTTTAGTTGTTTCCAGTAGGTAAAACTCCATTTGAAGTAGGTGATGAAAATGGTAATTAAGACCAGGAGAAGGGCAAGAAGGTCGGTTAAGAAGTAGTCGGTCAAAAACATCTTGGATTTGGAAAATATTGTTAATTTACGACAGAAAGTTATAGGCACTGAATGAGAGCTGATCTGCGGTGTGGGGTTATATTTACTACAGTGATAAAAATTATTACAAATATTGATAAAGATGAAGTACGCTGAGATAAGATAAGCAAAAAACCGGACTGAAATTTGGAAGAGCGTAACTGTTAGTTTAAGAAATATTTTTTTGAATCAGCAACAACAAGTAAACCAAAGACAGTAATTTTGAACAAAAAATTAATAATTTGGAATTTTTCTTGTCTGGGTATGATTTTAATTTATGAAACATAATAAACAAAGCATTAAATAATAAATTTTGAGGTTATGTATCAAAACGCCTTCCTCTCTGCTACTTTTTTTGTTGTGCTACCGGTTTCAGGGTTATTGCCCCTTCATCAGGCGGCCTGCAAACGTCACCGTGTGTTAGTTAGAAAAGCTGTTGGTGATACAAATGTTGGTGTTTATGATGTTTTTATATTAACCTAATTTTGACATTTAACAATTAAATTGCATAAACACGTATTAAGATAAAACTGCCCTATATTGTTATTTGTCTTTTACCTGTCAAATTATTAAAACTGTAAAGATGCATTAAAACTTGACTCGCAAATCGTGTTCTCGTGTTCATGAAACACTCGTGTTATTGTGTACTATGCTATTATCTATTATGTAAGCGCTTTTTTATTTAGTCATGTGACGTCTGGCCTCGTTGTTGTGTTTGACGTTTCTTGTGGTGGCTCAAGTGTCGACTGCGGTATTTGTGACGTTTGTCTATTTCTACCGGTGAGGAGTGGGAGGTACGAAAAGTGAAATGTAAAGACGCCTTATTTTAGCGGCAAATATAAAAACGAACTAAAAAAAGATGATTATTTGGTTGTCAAAAATTTATCATTTTAACAAAAATTTTAGAGTGTGGAACTCGCTGTACGCACATTGTAAAATAGTTGTTTAGTTTTGGCAACAGTTATATGCATTGTTTCTATTTTATTTGTTTAAATAACACGATAATATTACATTTAATTAATTAACTTATAGATAGATATCATCTGATGCTTTTTAATAAGAAGCTGTTATCAACACTCAAATATTTTTTTGCTTTAAAATGTCTACTGCATAAGTTGATGTTTTTATTTGCTCCTGACTTGTAAACATCAATTTACCAAGTCACTGTATTCTACATAAAAATGTCATTTAACTGGCTAAGTATATGTAATATTAAAGTAAATGTAAAGAAGCATGTTCCGCGTATAATTCAAATGAGTTTTTCTTTCAAAATTTTGTGATGACGTCATCAACATGTTGCAAGGATACGTATATGAATTTGGATAGGTGCAACAGTTTTGTATTCCCAAATTTTCGGGCACATGAAGTGAGCCTTTCCTGATTCAATTAACAAAATAAATTGATTCAATCGCTTTTTTTAATATAATCTCTATAATCAATTCTAAAAAATATAGTACAATGATAAATAATGACTCATCATATTTTGCGCATTTTAGATAGGATTTTTTCGTCATTAATTTTTTGGGGTTAAACAGATATATTTTATTTAAAGATTCAATATGCTTACTATAACTTTGAAACGTCTGCAAGATTTTAAAGTATTCTATTTTGTGGTTCCTATTTAATCAGTGACACATTTATTAATTTTCACCTATATAAGCATTTCCAAAAATTTGAACCCAGTAGTAAATCACAAGGAGAGACGTATCATATTTTGCGCATTTTCGATAGGATTTATGCGGCAAAATTTTTTGGGGAGGGGGATAAACACATATATTTTCACTAAAAATTTAAAATGTTTGGAAGGTTTCAAAGCATTCGGTTTTCCAAATTCAAAATTAAATTGCAAAATATAGTTATACGATTTTGTTTTTTTTTAAATCTGAATGTTTTGGGTAAAAATTCAATATTCGCACACGCATGGAGAAATGTGTTATTTTAGACAATTTAAAACCCATTTGCTATATGTATAATTTTGAGGTGACGTCATCATATTGTTGGTGGGTATGATTAGCCAAAGTTTGGTTTGCGTTTTACCATCTGCATGGTATTCATAAATCCATAATGCACATAAATTTTGACAACAATCGGTCCCGTATTTTTGGCGATTATCTGTCTAACAAAAATCGACACAGGCGCCGGACAGACAGACACAGAGAAAGACGGAAACTTGAGAAACATTTTTTTCGTACACTAGGGATCATGATTCATCGAGAAAATATGAAAGTAGCCAGTCGCTCAATGGACACGATTACATACTTTTTTAGCTTACGTTGATAATAAATACCATAATTAAGAAACATTAATAATAATTAGTAATGTTTGATATCAAGTAGGCGCCGAGAAGGCCATAGATTTTCTAAATCAGTTGGTACTTCGTATGCATCACTGCGTCCTACTAACTTAAGTGGGCTCATGGTACAAGAATCTCTTTTTGTATGTATCAAGAGTGGGCTGTTATTTTTAAAACGTATGCGCATGCGGGGTGTACATACCACACATCTATCTGCCAATCACAAATTAAATGAGTAATTGTAATATCTAATCTAAATAAGTGAACAAGTTGAAAATTAGTGTTATCAGTGACATGATTTTTTGTTCCAAGGAAAACCTAGATATGAAATTTAAAGAATTGCATGTTACTTTGTATTTACTTTATTTCTACAATTTCTGTACTTGAAGTTGTAGGTTCTACATTTCGTACTTCGTGAACATACTTAATTTCGCTGGAACGTAAAAGTTAGCTTAGTTTTGGTCAAAAGCAATGCCCATGTCTTTTATACGCAGAGGGCGATTTAGACTACCTAGTATCTTGAAGGATAGACGGTTTTGAAACCAATTGGTTATACGATTAATGTCGACTTGAAAGATCTCAGTTACAGTTTCCTGTTGAGATGATTTCTCTATTCAGCTTCAAATTATCGTCAAACAACAATTTTTCTGAAGATATCAAATTAACTGTATCATTTATAAAAATTATTACTTTTAATAACGGTCCTATGTTAGACCCCTGTAAGACTCCGGATAAATGGAGATGAGTAGTCATTACGATCTCTTACCAGTATTTCTCGATCAAATAAATACGAGTAAAATAATATTGTAAATGTAAGACATACGGATTAACTGAAGAATAAATGCATTTATATAAAATTGCCTAAAAATTTTTGCCAAGTTAAATAACAAAGAAATTGTCAATCAGTCTCTCTTAATTCTTTGATTAAATCGTACTCTTGCTTCTAAACAACGAAACACTTTTCTACTTGCAGCCCTTCTGCTGGGGTGTCTAGCTCTGTATAAATTGGCTGACGCTGCTGTATTTTGGGTTGCTTAATCACGATTATTCTTAAACGGACGCTATTCGTAGATCACCTATATAATGATGAAAGTGTTTCAGATCAAAAGCATAAAAAATCATTTTATTGCACAAAAAATTTAATACAGGTTAAAATATCAGCTTGTCGATTAATGTTATTATTCTACTACCTTCAAATTATATTTTTTCTGCATTTAACCATATTTCTTCCTCTGGAGTTATAACAAAAGAGTCGATCATAAACTCCGGACGCCGTTGAGTCTTTTCGTTTAAGGTAAACTTGTACTTCATTAGTAACGAAGCAAGGCCTACTTTTGATTGCATGAGTCCAAATCGCAAACCTGCACATTTTAAATTAGTTTTTGTAGAACTAAATGAACTACTTACTGTACCTATACAAATTCTGGGACCTTCTCCAAAAGGTAGATGTGCGTACTGGGGTCTGGACCTAGAGTTTTCCTCATTAAACCTTTCTGGATCGAATTTTTCAGGGTCCGGATAATATTCTTCGTCGTAGTGTATGCCCAAAACAGGAATATAAACTCGGGTACCTTTTTTAATGACAAGATCTTGATCGGGTACCTTGTAGTCTTGGGTGCATACTCTGGTGAGTGCACCCCCGGGAGGATACTTTCGAAGGGTTTCTGAAATTGGTACATTCTAGTATCTTTCTAATTAACTAAAATAGTTTACCATCAACAACTTGGCCTAAATATTTCATTTCTTGAATGCCTTCGTACGTGAGTTTTCCGCCATGCTTAGCCATAACTGTGTTGACTTCATCACGAACTTTCTGTTGAATATCTGGATGTTTAGCGAGTTCGTACATTGCCCAAGACATTGTGCTTGAAGATGTTTCAAATCCAGCCAAAAAGAAAACAAAGCTTTGTGCTGTGATTTCTTCAAGAGTCAAACCTTTCATTTCAATCAGTAATTGCATGAAGTCTTTTCTTGAATAATTATTGAGTTCCCTATATTCGACGTTATCTTTCACAACTTTGCTATAGAAATCCGACACACTTTTAGCCACAAGCCGTACTCTTAACGCTCTCATCAGTTTCGGGTAAGTCAAAGATAAGTAAAAAATCAAATTTTCCCACTTTGACATATTAAAGAATTTCAAACCGTATTCTCGAAAAGACGCAGGTCCATCTTTAAAACTATTACATTCTATACCGAAAGCGCAGGACCCAATAACGTCCATAGTGTAACAACCAAGAAGTCTCTTCATATCTAAAGGCTGTTTATGAGTGTGCAATTCTTCAATTTTCTCCTGCAGGTTTTTTTCGCAGTCTACAAGAGTTTGGAACATCATTTTCATTTTTCCAGAAGTGAAAGTCGGGGTAATTTTAACTCTTACATTTTTCCATTTTTCTCCGTCAAGAGTGAAAAGATGAGCACTAATGGGATCGTCTTTTTCGTTGTAGTAAAATCCACGATCCACAAAATATTTAGAGTCTTTTGTTAGTACGTTCTTCACGTATTCCAAGTCGATCAAGAAGTAGACGGGGCTAGCAAAAACATATATTCCACCATGCCGTGCTTTTTGGCGTTTCAGAACGTCGTATATGTGTTTCATTACGACTGCAAATTGGACTCTTTCTTTTAATGGAGCCACAAGATTTCCCAGAGGAATTGTGGGTTCCACGTATGGCACGTTTAGTTTTTTCCAGTAGGTGAAACTCCATTTGTAATAGGTAATGATGACCGCAACAAAGGCCAGGAAAAGCCCAACAACATCGGTTAAGAGGCAATTGCTCAGGAACATCTATGGAATTATGTATTTTATTTGTAATGTGTTAAAAATTATATTATGCCAACTCACCTCTGAAAATGCTAGTCACTTAATGACAGATGATCTTGCAATTTCTTGCATAGTCTACCCAAAGGTTTATATTTACATACATTGATAAAAATTATATCAAATTTGGGTAAAGGTGAAGTACACTAAGATAAGATAACAAAGCAGAATACTATATTGAAATTTGAAAGATCGTAGCACCGCGTTTGAATTTTTTTTGTTAACAGGTCTTTTAATTAATCCTTCTTCTTAATGTTTCCTCATGAATTAGTTTGTGGGCTGCAAATTCACATTTTTGACACTATAGGAAGTAATTTGGCACTTAAATATGCAAAATATTTACGAAAGAAGATTGCTTTAATGGTTTACATTGCCGTTGTACATTTCTTTTGTGCAAATTTGTATGGAAATCTTAATCAATGTTACAATGTTATAAGATATGACAAAAAATGTTTAATTTTGGGTCAGCTTTCGCAAGGTGGTGTATTAATATATAGCCATAAAACACTTAATAAATTTCGATATCTTAGACGTATCATTTATAACTGACCTTGTATCGTCTAGTGATATAGTTGTGTCTAAATGCTGGTTGGATAATTTTTTTTCTACATTGCTGTAATAAATATAATGCCTAATTTGTGTAACAGTCAACTCATCGTCGGTGACGGCGGCCGGGTGGCGTTCGCTAAAGAAACACTGGAAGCAGAAGTCGCGATGGGTACTCGAGAAAGACCTCGACCACGGAACATCTAGAAGGAAAGTATGGGTTTAAATAGAGGCCACTTTCGGGAACGATTACTCGAGTCGAGTCCAGTGAATGTTGAGAGAAGCTAGTAAAGTTGCGCCGGAATTATTTTGTACATAATTGTCGTGTAAATTCGAGTCACTAAGAAATAAATTGCTGAGTTTGACTCACGCCGATTTTTAAAAATCGATAACCGTAACAGTACTTTTGGAAGTTCTTGAATCTTTCTTCCTTAGAAAAGATGTTATTTTCATTGGTGATTTTAATTTAACCCACTTCATAATGTTGTATCTCTGCCTCCTTCAAATGTTTTACAAAATTTTCAGAATTTTTGTCGATCACGTAATTTTAAACAATTTAATAATATCCTCAATGTTAACAATAGGTTGTTAGATCTCATCTTATGTAATACAGAAATTAATATTGAAGGGGAGCGGAATAATCTTCCTTTGGTGCCTGAGAATCATCATCACTCTGCACTTTACATCGTTTGAACGTAAATATCCGTCAAAACATCGACAGTTCAATGCTGATTGGTCTGAAATTGGACTAGTTGAAGATGTTAATACTGCATTAGTCATATTTTATAACATTCTTCACAAAATTCTGGACTCGTCTGTTCCTAGATATTCTCCGAAAACATCAAACTTTCCTCTTTGGTTTTCTCGCAACATTATTTCTAATCTAAGATTGAAGTAATCACATAGAAAAGTGGAAGAAATAGGGCATTCAATTTTATTTTGAGGAATTTAGGAGACTTCGTGTGTTATGCAAACAAAGGATTAACGCTACTTATTCATTCATCTTACTTGGAGAAGATTGAACATGAACTGCAGAGATTTGTGGAAATACATTCAATCAAAAAAAGTACATCTATGTAGAATTCCCGGAAAAACAACCTATGAAGGGAAAAATTTTGCTAATCCAAAACAGATTTTTGACATTTTTGCTGATCATTTTGCTAATATTTTCGTTGACAAAACTAATATTGTTACTAGTACCGATGTCAGATATGATAAAATTAGCTTCAACACGTTACGGAAGATTTGCTTGTCTCATTAATATCAAAATTAAGCAACAAATCCACTGCTAGAGATGATTTTTTTCCCAGCTTCCTTGTAAAAGATACCAGACATATAATTGCTAAGCAACTGTCAATCATAATCAATTTTGCTATCGATACAGCAACATTTCCGGATGCCTGAAAACGAGCACGAGTAACTCCAGTGTATAAATAAATAATAGTTTAAAAAACTAAAAAAACACGCTTTTATTGCTAATCGAACTAAAAACTAGAAAATAATTTTTAATGACAGAGTTTAATATTACAGTAGTAGAAGATCAAACAATCAATCATAATAAATCACCTCAAATTAAAATTATAATAAAATTTAAGTTATTAACAGAATAATTCAATTCAGAGTAAAAAGCGTGGGGTGCATTTTACTGCGGTTCATAACTATTCTCTCATAGATAGTTGCCAATAGAATGATTGTAATATTTAAAATATCAAGCACCCCACGCTTTTTACTCTGAATTGAATTATTCTGTTAATAACTTAAATTTTATTATAATTTTAATTTGAGGTGATTTATTATGATTGATTGTTTGATCTTCTACTACTGTAATATTAAACTCTGTCATTAAAAATTATTTTCTAGTTTTTAGTTCGATTAGCAATGAAAGCGTGTTTTTTTAGTTTTTTAAACTATTATTTATTTTTCATTTTTTAGTCTGCGACAAATTCATAAATTGGGGAATTAATTACTTATTTAGATTTTTCTAGAAAGAACCACTCAGTGGTCTCCGTTATGATCGATCAACGGGAATTAGTTCGAAATCAATCGCCCTCACGGACCAACGGGACACAATTCATCATTGTGGTTAGTTTTACCCCCCAAATGGTTAATTTTCCTCCATGTTTGTATTTCTGAATCAAAATTTGTTATCTTTATTTAAGTTGGTGAGAATTCATGATTAGATATGTTTTAATTATAATTAATTCCTTCTTTACCGACTGTAAAACCAAAGCTATGCAGAAATTGTCCTTGAAACAGAAATAATCGGTATAGATCGGTATAATCGACACGGAGAGAGATAACCGTGGTATATACTGACACAATTAAGATGCGATCAGCCATTTTTGCACACGTTTAGTTAATTAAAAGTCCGTTCTTGTTTTTTTCATTTAATATCCGTTATTTGTATTTTAATCAAGACTATAATTACAACGAAGAGTAAACCAGATACTATAGGCATGCGCAGATCGCGCGCTAGCTTTATCTCTTTTACTCCACTACACAGGATCCATAAAAGAATTTATAAATCCTGGCGGTCCTAATAAGGATAATGGGAAACTGTTATCAAATTATTGCATTGTCATCGATCCTTGAGACGTGTGCAAAGTTTCAAGATGATCAGACTTTTAGAAACCGATGAAAATTAAGCTCAAAGATTCCGTTACATCCATAAAAGAATTTATAAATCCTGGCGCTCCTAATAAGGATAATGGGAAACTGTTATCAAATTATTGCATTGTCATCGATCCTTGAGACGTGTGCAAAGTTTCAAGATGATCAGACTTTTAGAAACCGATGAAAATTAAGCTCAAAGATTCCGTTACATACAACCCAAGCTAATAAAAGCGTGATAAAAAGGTAAAATCAAGTTTGCAATCACCCACCAATTCCTATTTTGTCAAAATTTTTGAGCTTGTAATATGCGAAAATATATATAACAACATTAGTAACGTTAAAGAATAGCTCTCACCCAATCAGCATGGTTTTCTACCCAGAAGATTCACAGTTGCCAACTTGGTGGTCAAAACCCAGTTTATTAGTGACAATTAACAGCTAATAATCTTTCGCATTGACCTTTAACGATGAATGAGTATATGAATGAACGAATGATAACCAGCCTAAAGACGGTTTTACTTTTAATTGAAACTGAAGGTGTTTACATCGTTTTTATTCGAACGTTTTTCCGCCTAAAAGTGCATGCGAGTTTTGCTCCATTTGATTTTTATTTTTTTTCTAAATTTCCACATTACTACAGTACGGTATGCCGTGGTTACAATTATTGCACGTTTTTCCACCTACTGTGTTGAAAGTCGATCTGTGGCATCACATCGAGGGTGATGCTGAGAGTTTTTCCCCATTCGACTTTTAATTTTTTTTCCAAATTTCCACATTACTACGGTATGTAACAATTATTGCATATATTTCGAAATCACCCAGTATATATTATACCACGACATGAACAAAATTTCAATACCAAGTCAACAATTCTCATTCGTTGTTCGTTGGGTCAATTTAAATATTGACCGTACGCAAATATTATACGTACAGATTTCTTTTGTGTGGGAGTGAAGTAAACTTCTAGCAAAAATCTTAAACATGTTATACTGACATTTTCGACAATTACCTACTTCATAACGCTGCAAAAGGGAGATGACAGACTTTCGTACTGTGAGTTCCGAAATGAGCAGAAAATGTAAAACAAAAACACGTCGATCTTTAGGAAACCATTATAGTGCTCAAAAACATTTATTCTGGTGTGTTAACGTAAAATTTTTGAGGACTACTTATATTATTTTACAGTTTTTAACTATATTCTTTCGGCATTTAACCATATTTCTTTCTCTTGAGTTAAAACAAAAGAGTCAATCGTAAACTTTGGACGCCCCTTCGTCTTTTCATTTAAAGCAAATTTATGCTTCATCAGCAACGAGGCGAGACCTACTTTTGATTGCATGAGTCCAAATCGCAAACCTGTATTTTTAAATGAAGTAATTTTGTTAAACTAAATGAACTAACATACCTATGCAAATTCTTGGACCTTCTCCAAATGGTATGTATGCGTACTGGGGTCTCGATCTTATGTTTTCTTCATTGAATCTTTCAGGATCGAATTTTTCAGGATCCGGATAATATTCTTCGTCGTAGTGTATGCCCAGGACGGGAATAAAAACTCGGGTACCTTGTTTAATAATAATGTCGTGGTCAGGTACCTTGTAGTCTTGGGTACATCTTCTATTGAGTGCAGCTCCGGGAGGGTACTTCCGAAGGGTTTCTGAAATTGAAACATTTGGATACTTACCTTTCTAACTAAGTGTCAATTTTTACCATCAACTACTTGGCTCAAATATTTCATTTCTTGAATGCCTTCATAAGTGAGTTTTCCACCACACCTAGCTACAACTGTATTAATTTCATCTCTGACTTTTTGTTGAATGTGTGGATTTTTAGCCAATTCATACATTGCCCAAGACATTGTACTTGAGGATGTTTCAAAAGCAGCCAAAAAGAAAACGAAACTTTGTGCAGTAATTTCTTCAAGAGTCACATCTTTCATTTCAATCAATAATTGCACAACTTTGTAATAAAAATCAGATACACTTTTAGCCACAGCTTTTACTCTTAACGTTCTCGCCAGTTTCGGGTAAGTTATACATAAGAAAAAGACTAAATTTTCCCATTTTGACATATTGCAGACCTTCAAACCATGTTCTCGAAAAGACGCAGGACCCAATAACGTCCAAGAAGCAACCAAGAAGTATTTTCATATCTAACGGCTGATTGTGTGTAAGCAAGTTTTCTATTGTCTCATGAAGATTTTTTTCACAATCAAGAAGAGTTTGAAACATCATCTTGATTTTTCCAGAAGTGAAAGTCGGAGTAAGTTTAACTCTCACATTTTTCCATTTTTCTCCATCAAGAGTAAACAGATGAGCACTGATTGGATCATCTTTTTCATTGTAATACATTCCACGATCCATAAAATATTTAAAGTCTTTTCTTAGTACGTTCTTCACATATTCTAAGTCGATTATCATGTAGACGGGACTAGAAAAAATATATATGCCACCATGTCGAGCTTTCTTGCGTTTCAGTTCGTCGTATATGTGCTTTAGCACGACTGCGAATTGTACTCTTTCCTTTAATGGAGCAACAATATTTCCCAGAGGAATCGTGGGTTTCACATATGGGACGTCTAGATTTTTCCAGTAGGTGAAACTCCATTTGTAGTAGACGATGAAGGTGATAATTAAGGCCAGGAAAACTCCAGCAAGGGTCGTTAAAAGGCAATCGCTTAGAATCATCTCTAGATTTGTTGCGTTTTAAAATTCTGTTAACTCACGTTTGGAAATGCTAGTCACTGAATGATAGCTGAGGTAGCACTTTTTTGCATGGAGTAATCAAAGTTTTATATTTACATAATAATATGATGACAAAAATTGTGTAACAAATAAGGTTCAAGGTGCGGTGGCCTGAGATAAGATAACAAACAAAACACTAAACTGACGTTTAGAAGTCTGGAACAGCTCTGTTTAAGTTTGTTCTTTCCTCGGTGTTTTAAAAATATAGCATATAATAAAAAGTCCGGCAGAATTATTAGAAATTCCATTTGTCACAAACTCGTAACGTTCATCAGCTTCTTGCCGCCTTTGCATCAGTCAGTCTTGAGTCGTGTGGTCATCTCGTAGAGCAACCGCATGTTCGAGAACCTAGTGTAATTATCCGAATTCGTTAGACCTGTTGACAGTAAACATTGTCCATATTTGGTGATGGAATGCTCTTTGGCGATTATTCTCGGAAGGAAGTATGACCACGGGAGACCACGGGAAGTAATCAATCATTGTGATGGTAATGTTAATTGAAGTTCACTTTGAAATTGGGGCTTTTGGTCCCCATGATAAAGAAGGGTAACTTATTATGGAAGGGACACCTTGTGCAATAATAGAGCTAATTTAAGGATGGATTTTCCGGTCCGCAACAGTGGTCGGAATCTGAGGTGTCACCAATTTCAAATCATTCTAATAATATTATGGCACAATATGATTACCTACAAAAATTACGTTAATGCGAAGTCTTCAAAAAGGTACCAAAGCTGATTATTCATTTTAAATAAATAAATGGTTTATTTTCTACAGGTGTAAATACTCAATTACAGAAAAATATACTTGCGAATTAATCAGTACAAGTACCAGGTAAAGAATATAGAAAATATTATAAAACATAATAGAAGAAATTAAGATTGGAAGAATGCTTCAACGTGCCACTTAATTCGAAAATAGCTATCGAAATGGGTATCACAAATGCAGGCAATTTTATTAAAGTTATTACATATACTGATCATGGTTCGCTGTAAAAAGGATGACTTTGACGAATGTGAGTTGTTCTGGGCACTAAAAAATGTGGTTGCTCATAAGTTTCCATAAAAATGAAATGCTGCATGATATCCGACGGGTTTTGAGCGAGGTAAATTTACATCTTTGAAACAGAAGCCTGTGTTCCAAACCTCGTAGAGGATACATTCCATCAACAACAAAACTTAGAAATTTCAAATACTTTCGTTGAACAGATTCTAGGTGCTTAACATGTACTTCGTACATTGGAGACCACATGCATGCCCAGTATTCAAGTCTGCTGCAAACTAATGCGAAGTACTAAGACACTTAAAGCCTAGATGCTTGTAAACTCTCTGCAGTTGCGATATACGAGTATAAAGCCGTAAGTCCTGAAAGCTTTGGCAATAACGTCCTTGGTATGGTTTACAAAGGATAGATGTTTGTTGAACAGTAGTCCTAAATCTTAAAAGCTGTCACCTCTACTGACCTCAGATGTTTCCATTGTACAATTATTAAAAGTAAAACATAAGTTTTATACAGTTTAGTTACAGTATTTACATCAGCTTTAGCAAATGTATTTCCGAGAAGATATAGTATCTTGTTAGCTTTTTTCACGATTTTTGTGATATGTTCAGATCACGTCAAAGTAGACACTACGATGACACCCATATCCGACAAAGAATCACACTTGGTAAGCTCGGTGCCGTTGATATAATAAGTTTGCTTCGGATTGTCGCTGCCTAAATAAAAGATATTACATTTGTCCGCATTAATTGGAAGTAACCATTTTAGTGACTAGTTATAAATAGTTGCGATATCCTTCGTTAAGACTTCATAATTGGAACAAATATTGTAGATTTTCAAATCGTCAGCATACATTGTCCAAGGAAAAATTAAGCAGTCTTTTATATCGGATACATACGTTAGAAACAACAAGGGTCCTAATACAGAGCCCTATGGTACACCACTCAGAACTGGAGTAGAAGAACTAAACATATCACCAAACTTAACCTTGAATATTCGGTCAGAAAGAAAAGATTCAGTCCACCTGAGAAGACTATCTTGGATTCCGTAATGTCGTAGTTTCAAAAGGAGTCGGGGTTTCGGCACCCGATCGAAAGCCTTCGAAAAATCAAAATACGCGATATCTACTGAGCCACCAGAATCGAGTTGTCTAGTCCAGTTGTCTAAACAACAGAGCAAATTGGTCGCTATGGACTTTCCATGTGTGCGACGTATAACATGGCGTGCTGTTAAAAACGCCACCAACTGATCGTAGATGATACATTCCATTAGTTTCACTACTACTGAAGTTAAACTTACAGGCCTATAGTTCGCCACATTAATCTAGTCCCCTTTTTTGAACACAGGGGTAATGGTGGCAGTCTTCTAATCGTTTGGCAATCGTCCTGACCGAAATGATTGCTTCATCAAGATGCAAAGCGGGCGAGCAAGAGAACTGGCACACTCTTAAAATTTTTGTACTAATACCATTAGGACCAGGAGATTTTGTATTATCTAATTCGTGCAATTTATCTTTTATTAAATCGTAGGAGAAGCATATGCCACTGAGACAATCGAAGTTTTAAGTGGTCAACAAATTCGGTCTGGTTCAATTGTGAACGACTGAGTAAAAGTTTCAACAATGTTGGCTGTAACGCAATCGTCCTCTACAATGTGCCCGATTGTATTTTTCACCTGCGGCTTTCTGACAGGCCCTGATAATTTATTGCGAATGTAGCTGTAGAACTTTTTGGGATTTGTCTGATCGGCAATATTTTTTTCATATTTATGTTTTATATCTTTGATGATTGACGAAAGGCGATTAGAAAACGCACGGTGAACGTTATAATCATCTTCCTTGCCTGTTCGTTTAAAGGTTCGTCAAAGTGAACGTTTCTTTTTTATTAATTTTAATATTTTGTTATCAATCCATGGTTTAGAAGAAGATGCTTTATAAGTTATGGTGTAAGAATACTTATCAGTTGCTAGTTTTAAATGATTTTGAAAACTTTCCCAATTTATATCAACCGATGGTTGGTTTAGAAGGTTCGCCCAGTCTACAGTACACTAATATTCATTAGCTTTTTTAACGTCAACAATCCTCTTTTGTAAGGTAACAGTTTTACTACAAAACAAAGTTGGAGATCTAGCTTTAAAGTTACATGATCATATTTGGCGAATGGGTTTAATGTTGTAGAACGTCTTACCATAAATCCGTGTTGGAAAGATGAAATCGATTGGTTAACTAAGGCGTAAATGCGTTTGTGGAAGAACTTAACAACATTACACAAAAGAGGAATTGGACGGTAATTAACCTTTTTAATGTCAGGGTTTTTTCCATGTGGAAGGGAACGTCAAGGACTTTATAACTAGATTGACAATGTGATATAAATGTTTAACTAGTACGAAGTGACAGTCTTTTAATTAAAGTTTCAAGGCATCCAAAAATCCATCTTTTGATATATCAGGCACATTGATAAATAAATTTGTGTTTGAGTTATTTGAGTTCGATCTTGAATCGGAAGGACTAGATGATGTAAATACACTGCTAAAATATTCATTAAAGCCGTTAACAATAGATTCTGGTGTTGACAAAATGCGATTATTATATTGTATGGTAGTAGGAATTCTAGTGCTTCCCTTTTTTTTTGGTCTACGAATTCCCATAGTTTTTTGGGATCTCTAGCAAGGTCACTTTGGACATTCTCAATATATGATGCATAAACTTTCGAACTAAGAGATTTGACATTGGAACGGTATCATTTAAATAGATCTAAATAATGTTGTAAATGATACATTTTGAATTTGGCGTCGTAAGATGACTTAATACGAATTGTTTTGATAATTTCTGAGGTGAACCTCTAGATAACGATAACAGTTGCGTCTAACGCGTACCTACTCGTGGGACAGATGTTTCAAATAAATTTTCCAAAGTTTCATAGAAACTAACACAAGCATCTTCAGTATTCGTATGAGCACAAAGAAAAGGCCAATCTACTGTACACATCGACTGCTACAGGAGTGGAAAAAAAACTATCTAGGTATCTAGAGTGGGATGATAATTATCTTCGTTAAACATGCTAAACTGTGATTTGTCTACAGAGCATTTAATGTTCGAGTATACAAGGTCAAGAATAGAATCATACGTGTTTGAACGATTATTGTATTGATCTAACTTGAAGAAATTGCTATGCTATAAGTATCAGTGGCTAAAGCATATTTGTTGGACGGGTTAAGAGTAAGTGAGGGGGTGTTGAAATCACCAATAATTATCTTCACTCCCGTACTATTAGATAAAAGGTCAAAAAATAGTTGAAAATCATTGTAAGGAATTAACGGTGGAATATACAAAACAAACACTAGCACCTTACAAATATTTTAGGTATTGCTACATGTACCGACTATATCAACAACAAATATTATAGAAGTAATGTCAGAAAGATCAATGTTAGACGATATAGATGAATTTTGAACGGCTAAAAGAACTCCTCCATCTTTAGACACTCGTAACAATTCAAACCGAAAAATTGTTTAAAATTAATTCACAGATATTAGGCAATGTCTTCTGATAACCACGTTTCACTTGAATTATAAGTTTCCTGAATCTTATTCCGTAATCGTAAAATACGCACATTTTGACATAAGCAAGAAATAGAAGAGAGATTGTAATTGGGCAAGTAGCGTAGTTTAAAATAACGACCTTGGTAGTTTCATTAAAAGTACGAACCTTTAATTTTTTTTCTCCGTTTTTGATACAGATTTCCAATTCCTATTTGAGTTGTTTATAATAGGCGATCTGACGTGGTGTTCGATCTCGAGCACCAGAAATATTTTTGTAGGAAGCGTGATTTCTCAAAAAAACTTTGGACTCTCGCAATAAATTTAACACATCTGATTCTTTATCAAACGTAACTCGTAAAGGTCTAGGCCGAGAGCTACCTTCAACAAAACGTCCGAGGCGCTGAACCTTTAGGTTGACTTCTTTAAAATTAGCATTAATTGTAGCAAGAATACTGTTAGTCGAATGTTTACCTACCTTAAGTTGGTTTTTGGATATTTGCTCTTTCTATGGGAGCTCACCTCCCGAATAAGAGTTTAATTCAGAGTTAGAGTCCAATTTTTAAATTCACTTTCCTTTTTTGACGATCTGTAAATTCTTGGATGACGTCTTTGAACTGAAAATTATGAACGGGTTTAATGGGAGACATAGATTTCAATTCATTAATTTGAGCTTTAAGGTCGTCTTTGATTTGATTCAGATTGGTCGTCAGCTGAGTTTGAATTGTGGGCAGCATATCCCTGATGTCTTTATATTGACCAATGTTGTCATTAAAAAAATTACAGACCATCTTTAGAGCCTTAGCTTTAGTGCTAATCCATGTAACCTTTAAACACAGAGCGAACGAATACCTCGCATCTGTACCACTCCAGTGCAGAGACGCAAAGAGTATTTTGAAGAGAAACCAGAGTTCCAGACCCACCTCTACGGAAATCTTCCGCAGAGTGAAAGATCTTCCTGCTTTAGAAAGAACTCAGAGCTGTCGTATTGAGAGAGTGGCTTGATATTATCTATGGGAAGCTTACTTGGGTCCACTACATTCCCGATTAATCCAGATTTGAAACATAAAAAAATATTCTAATCGGTGCATCTGTTTGGGAACTGCAGAGCCACAGACAGACACACAGAGAGACAAAGGGGTTAAAGTTATAACACCTATTTTTTTGTGTCGGGACTTAATAGAAGTGAATTGCGCAACATACTTCAGTTTGAGTCTATTTTCATTAAGTTAAATATTCAATGCGATTCTTGGCCTATCGGTGGTGTGGGACCTAGTGGAATTTCAACACGACTTTTGTTTGCGTACGTTTTCAGTATTTTTAAACTAATAATACATTTTTTCATTAATATATCTTTTTCTTATGACTTAGTTCGCGACATCTGAAAAGAAAGTTATTTAATTCTTATTTTTAAATCTGGGAACAGAGAATTCCAGACAAACTGTGGAGAAGTATGTATTCAATCAATTCTTGCCAAGCTTTTAGATAAATTTATATCTGACCAATTAAAAGTATCCTGTAAGCAAATTATTCATAATCGGCAACGCGGATTTTGTCAAGAACGATCGACGTCAATCAACTTACTATTATATCAAGACTATATGTAGTTGGATTAATTTATCAATTCCATCACTTTATAACAGCTCGCCGTATGAATGAAGCAAATAGCTGTTTTGCTAAAATATTTCGTCAGTCAGAGAACTATTCATGTTCCTACTAGTATCAAGATGTTGATGTTAAAACTTAGCTTAGAATTCATCCACATCTATCTTGCACAACTTCTGGCTATAATGAAGGTACTAGGCTTGATGGAAAACATGAGAAAACTAATATTAACGGATTCTAAATCACCTCTATAAAGTTTGCTCAACATAGGATAACATATAAATTCATCTATTGTCGTCCTCGTAATCGAAAACACGATGCAAAAAGGCAAAAGTCAACAAATTACTTCTTGCCTACTTCAAGCTACTTTAGAATCCGAGATATTGAAAGAGCCATTCCATTAAGGCGAACTGAAAACCATCACCCAAGCAAGCGTCAAGTGCGAAAGCCCCGACTTTAAAGGACATCTGGCCTCGGACTGGTGAGAAGAGTCCTCGTGGCTCCTGATACCGACGGAAATTGTCATGGTAACCAGCTTTCCCTACGTACATGTTTTACTTGGTTAGACATATGAACCTCTTTTTCAAGTACTACAGTATGTTTTGAACAAGGATAGAGATAGTAAATTTTGTTGTAAGTTGTACATAAAATTGTCACTAGATAGAAAAGATAAAATAATCCAACTCTATAATATATCTTGTCAATGCTTTGGAAGGAAGACAGGTTTATTCTATGTATGAGGATTTACCAAAGCATTCGACAGAGTAAATCATCATATTCTGGTACATCAAAATTTGTTCGGGTGTGCCACAAGGTTCGCATTGTGGTCCACTTTTATTCTTATGATTTATTCATTATATTTTCAGTGCCATTAAAATTTCAAAATTACTCTTTTTGCAGACGATTTAAACGTGGCTGAATTCAGTTATAACAATATAGGTAATGAAAATATAGTAACAAGACTTAAGCAGGGATCTTATTTGATTCAAAAGTTGTGCTCCTCATATGCAATAGATTATTAATAAACGTTTGTTTTCTATTATATTTTAGGAATATCGCCTAGATGGTAAAACGCTAACCAAAATTTGTCTAATCCTGCCCACCAACAATGTGATGACGACACCTCAAAATTGTGCAGAGTAAATGTTACTCAACAACATACTTTGGTGCTTGTGATTTCTGAATCCGTCTTGAGTCATTGCTCTATGCAACCAGATGTTTGAAAAAAAAAAAAAATCAGAACATATTACAACATTTTAAAGTAATATTAGAACGTTTAGCAACGGCTCGTTGACCCAGCGGCTAAAGCATAGTACTAATATCGCCTTTTTTTTACAATAACTGCGATTATCTACTTTTTTTGCTGAAAAACTGGATTTGTTTGATTGTTTGCCGAAGACGAGGTAAGTTCTGCTTATCAACGCGAGAAGTTTTATTAGTTACTACAAGTGATTTTGTGATAAAATGATAATTTTATAATATAAATAGCGGAATTTCAATCTGCACAAATACATGACAGTGTGCATCTACCAAGCTTACCGGTTGCATGCAGTCATTATGAGAATTGTCAACTGTTGACAAGTTATTTTTTATTATTGTTATTACATTTATGATAATAATTAAATTAAAAAAACGATAATAAGAACAAGCAATTTTGTATATCTTTATTAGGTACTTATTGCTAGAATTTTTGTACCTTTATCATTTATAATATTTTGTTTGTTACATACATTTCAACGAAAGCATGACTCAATTGTAGCGACGTTTTTCTGTTTATTTTTGTAACTAGTTCTCATAACCTAATTTATTCAAGTTCTTTTGTTGGTTTTATATTTAATGTGAACATGTAGTAAGGAGTCAAAATTTGAGAGAAGTTGTTGTGCTTCACAAACATATTAGTAAAGAAATTACTCGTGTTTCTATTAAGTCTTTTCTAATAATAACTTATTTACCATTACATTTCAAAACACGAAAATATTTTTTTTTAACAATTTGCATTTACATAATTTTTTGACTCATTCAACTTTGGTGCTTCCCACCACACTCCCGTCCTACTTTACTCCCTCCTACTTTTCCCCAGACCTGTACTTTAAATAATCTTAATCTTAACTCATATACCCACTTGCTGTCCCAGCTCTCATTCAATGATCAACCCTTCCGATGGTAAGTCAACAAAATTTCAAATCCCATTATAACTAAATAAAATATATTTGTAGATGTCTTTAGACAGTTCCCTACTCACAGCCCTTGCTGGCCTCACCCTAGCCTCACTAACCATTTTCGTTATTTACTATAAATGGAGCTTCGCTTACTGGAAGAAACTCAACGTCCCTTACCTGGAACCCAGGATTCCTATGGGCAACATGGCGAACACATTAACAGCCACCGAAAATTTCGGAATCGTGATAAAACACATATACGACCAACTAAAAAGCCAAAAAGTCCGCCTTGGTGGTCTATACATTTTTTCTACACCTGCCTACATAGTGATCGATTTGGAGTACGTGAAGAATGTACTATCAAAAGATTTTCAATATTTCGTCGACCGTGGTATTTATCACAACGAAGAGGTTGATCCCCTCAGTGCTCACCTTTTTAATCTTGATGGAGAAAAGTGGAGAAATACGAGGAATAAACTTAATTCGGCTTTCACTTCAGGAAAAATGAAGATGATGTTTGAAACGTTGCTACATTTTGAAAAAAATCTTCACGAAGAGATTGATAGCTTGTGTAAGAGTGGGAAACCTGTAGATGTGAAAAAACTTCTTTGTTGTTACATGATTGACGTTATTGGTTCTGCCTCGTTTGGTTTGGAGTGTAATAGTTTCGAAGCCGATCCAGCCCCTTTTCGAGAATATGGTTTAAGATTCTTTAATATGACAACTTGGGAGTGTTTCCTGTTTTGGATATCTGTGGCGTTTCCAAAACTGGCGAAGGCATTAGGACTAAGGGTTGTGCCTAAAATTGTGTCAGATTTCTTCAGCAATGTTGTCAAGGATAACGTCGAATATAGAGAGAGAAATAATTACGTCCGGAATGATTTCATGCAGTTGTTGATTAAAATGAAAAGTAATAACTTTACTCTTGAGCAAATTGCAGCACAAAGTTTTGGGTTGTTTTTGGGGGGTTTTGAAACAACTTCCAATAGTCTATCTTGGACAATGTACGAACTCGCCAAAAATCAGGATATTCAAAACAAAGTAAGAGAAGAAATTAACGCAGTCGTAGCTACATATGGCGGAAAAGTCACTTACGACGGCATACAAGACATGAAATACTTGGGTCAAATAATGGATGGTACTTAAATTTATTTATTTTTTAGTTGGCGAGATGTTAGAAAATTTATTTCAGAAACTCTTCGGAAGTATCCAGCCGGCGGCGTATATACCAGAATTTGTAATAAAGACTACAAGGTACCCGATCAAGATATTGTTATAAAGAAAGGTACTCGACTTTTGATTTCGGTTTTGGGGATACATCGCGACGAAGAATATTATCCTGATCCTGAAAAATTCGATCCTGAAAGATTCAACGAAGAAAACTCGAGGTCCAGACCGCGATACGCGCATTTGCCTTTTGGAGAAGGTCCCAGAACCTGCATAGGTATGGCACTCCCTACGAACTTTATAAAATAAAGTAATGTCAAATTACAGGTATACGATTTGGCCGTATGCAGTCAAAAGTGAGTCTGGCTTCTTTGCTGAAAAATTACAAGTTTACTTTGAACGAAAAAACTGAACCCCCGAAGTTTGCAGTAAATTCGTTTCTCTTGGTTCCAGCCGGAGACATTTGGTTAAATGTGGAAAGAATATAATTAAAAATAGACAAAATTTGTGTGTAGCTATAGCAGGAAGTGGTATTTTGGCGAGGCTTAACCGTGTTAAGAAATCATCCGGAAGTATGAAGACTTCTAGGGCGAGTTACACACAAACTTCTTGTACTTTGATGTTTTCACAATAAAATAATTTTGTAAAAGTGATTTATAATCAGTCTTTTGTTTCTGAATAAAGCACAAGTTTTTATTTTTTAATAGAATTCTGTTTTGCATTGATTCCCCAAATTTATTTATTGAACGGAGAATTTCATGTTATCTCGACGTTTAATGGCTCCTAGAATAAAAAAGTAGATTGTCCCGTTTTCGTCTCTTGTCTGTCTATTTGTCTGTACTAGATAGTTGAAGTAGAATGTTCTTGTTCATCCTTACCAAAACTTTGATGATCAATATTTTTCTCAGTAAGATCTTTTCTGCTATTTAACTTTAGGCAAACTTTTGCATCTGTCGACCGTCCGTTTGTCTGTCTGTTAGAAAAAGAAAAGAAGAGATACCACATGGACAGTGACCAAGAGAAAAAGGAACTTGAGGAAACAAACTAGATTACGATAACTCTCTAGAGGAGAGATCAGAAGAACAGCGGTCATGGACAAAATAAAAGAAATACATACTTACGTAAAGACCTAAAAAGGAAATTATGGAAGATATTTTAAAGATTAGCGCAAAGAGCAGAAAAAAAGAACGAAATTAAAAACGAAATGAAAGACATTAGAAAAATATACAAACAAAACAAGGAAAAAATGCAACAATTAAAAGAAGAAATCAAAATGATAAAAGACAAGGAGGTAGAAGAAATACTAGGTCGGGGAGGAAATCTGGTAATAAGGGGAATAAGCTTGGATTCGGAGGACGGAAAAATATTAAAACAGAGGATTCATAACATAGTGGAAATTTAGATATTAAACAACACATGCATAACAGGAATGAAGAAATGGGAAAACAAGCTTAAGATACTGCAAGAAAACCTAGAGTAAACAAAAGACGGAAGAGTCGGCGTTTGGTTTAAACGAAAAGAGTATACTTACAAAAAAGTAATAAGAGACAGCCAAAAGAAGAAAGAAGGGATCAACATCAAAGTACGATATCAGAAATTAGACATAAATTGAAGAACATTGATTAAGATGATCAGGAGAACAAACTGATGGAGGCCATGGCATGAATAAAGTTCCAAAAAGTAACAAACCATTTAAACGGTTGAAAATGTAATTGACAAAGTGAAAGAAAAAGGACACGAATCTGGAAAATGAGAAAATGTATTGAAAAAATTAAAACGTGGATTCTAAGGACGTTATTAGAAGAAGAAAATTTATAAAAGCTAGCCAATAAATTAAAAAAATATAAGGTGGAAGCCATAGGAATATAAAAAATCAGGTGGGGCGGATGAGGAAAAATAGAAAGGAAAAATTACACCATATGGTACTCAGGAACAGAAAATCAAGGACAAGAAGGCACAGCTTTCATAGTGAGCGGAAATCTAAGAGAAAAAGTGACCGATATTACTTAATATGATGTAGAAAAGTGTTTGTCCTGACTGGCAGACTAACTGATTCATCAACGCAGAGACTAAACTACTGAAGCTAGAAATATGAAATTTGGACAGTACGTTTCTTCTGTAATATAAGCACCCACTAAGGAAGGATTTTTAGAAATTTTACCCTTACATGGGTAAAATCGAGTATGAAACTTTGTATAGGAGTTGTGATTTTTAAGTTACACGGATTCACGGAGGGGGAAGAGCTAAAAAGGGGAGTGAAGGGTCTAAAAATAATGTGTCCTAACTGCAAAATCCACGCAAATTGAGCTGCGAGCAACAGCTGTTATAGTCTATTCATATAAAAATATTTATCCTGACTGACAGAATGATTCATCGACACAAAGCCTAAACTACTGAAGCTAAGAAGCATGAAATTTGGACAGTTTGGACAGTTGGTTCCTTTTTTCAATAGCAGACTCTCTGATTTCGCTTAAGGACTACACAATCTTCAGAACTGACCGAATTGGGAAAAGAGGAGATGGTGCCTGTACCTTAGATTCTGTTCTAGTTAATTTCCTTGTTGTGCCTCTTCCGGTAGACATTGGTGGTATAGACTCCTTATTTTTAAAACTGTCAAGTAGTTACATCAATTTTATTCTAGGGTGTATTTACAGACGATACTCAACACATTTTACGATGATAAATACTTAGTAGACAGCATTACTGCTATAACAACGAAGTAACTTCTCATATGACAAGATCTATATTTTCGGCGTTTTTAATTTACCAGATGTGAACTGGCCTGTCAATATTAATCGTACATACACGGCATCTTCCCAAATTTTTGTGGATTCAATAATTGATAGTCATTTGAATCAGCTGGTCATGCAACCGACGAGAATATAGATATAAGGCGAACCAACAACCTTCCTTGCTCGATTTAATTATAACATCCGATGATTCTTCGATCACTAATTTTGAGTATTTCAATCCGATCGGTAACTCAGTCACATTATTTTGTTGGCTAACTTACAAATTTATTGTTTACCTAGGTCAAGAACTATCAAGCTCCAAAGAAAACAAAATGAATTTGAGACACTGAACGATCGCCTTTCCCAAGTTAATTGACAATCTATCCTTTCGGATGGCTCAATCACAATAATTGTGATATCTTTAAAACGGTGTTGCCCGATACTACCTCACAATGCACCAGCACTACCTTTGCTAAAAGATCATTTTCAAAATCTTGGATTAACAGCAGAATCTTAGGTTTAGTCCGTAAAGCGAGCATTATGGCATACGTTTAAAAGAACGAAGTCTGAATCCGCTTGTAAAACGCACAGATACCTATTTTTCGAGCCATCTTTTGTCTGTCATTAGAGAAGTTAGACTCAAATATGAGTACTCCATTGTAGCAGATAAAGATCCTAAACGCCTGTAAAAATACATCCGAATGAACAGTAGTCAATAATTAGGAAGATGTGGCAGAGGTATTTGCGGAGGCATTCTCTTAGTTCTTTACGAAAGAACCACCTCTTCGATGTTCTAGTTTATTGGGCACTTTTAACCCTAACTATATTTCCGAGGTAGACTTTTCCAGAGACCTACCTAATATTGGACAAACTTAAAAAGTTAAAAATCTCGAAATCCCTGGGCCCAGATTTCGTTACGGCCAATGTTTTAAAGATCTTGTGACCTTATTGGTCAGGTTCTTTTCCCTCCGAATGGAAGACGGGAATTGAGTATATTTTACGTGTCACTAAGAGAGCTAACGCAATGCTTTATCTGTTAAGTAAAGTCTTTACCAAAGTTAGTCCATCCATGTTTGGAAAAGTTTTTAAAACATTCGTGAGACCGTTAGTGGAATTTGCTAACACTGTCTGGACTCCTGTTTTAAAACGACATATTGCATTAAGCACTTATTTTCTCTTAATGTTTCCAAATGTACTAGAGGACATCCCCTGAAATTACTTAAGGAAAACTTTCATAGCACGGTGAGACAAACATTTTTGTCAAACAGAGTTTTTCATGATTGGAATGCACTACCCCAAGAAGTGGTATTAGCGGAGTGTATTTTAATATGTAGATCCAAATATAATAGCTAGTACCTGCTATGATAAGACTGATTTTAGCAAATGATATGCGGGTGTACGGGGCTAGTCCTTGAGAAGATAAGACTGATTTTGGCAAATCAGATCCTTTCTAAGAAAAGAGAGGGCCGATGGGCGGGGCTTATTGTACTAAATAAAGAACAATATTGTCAACCCATCACTTGATGTTAGCGCGGGCATAACAGGCCACGCCCTCTGCCTGGTCGCTTCTTTAACAATAATATTAATATTACAAAGGTAAAGGTATGTCTGAAACACTCAAAAGATGCCTTTACAGTGGGATGTGACGATATTCCTTCTTCTCAATTTTAGTGTAATTTCTATATGTTTTATTTATTATAATGCTAAAACAATCAGTATTTGCCTCCTTGTGTAAAGGGGCTTATATATCCTATTCTCAAAACAAGAAAACCGAATGAGGTTACCAAATACAGATGTATTTCATTATAGTGTAATTTTGATAAACCCTTCGAGAATATTGCGTACTCGTATATTGATATTTGCGACCGTCCCAAACAGATCATTTCTCAGTATCAACATAAGTTTATGCGGAAAAGATCTATGGTTTCAAAGCTGCCCAATTTTTCTCAAGACGTTACAGAGACAACTAATAACAAAAGACAACGTGTTGTTATTTATATGGATTTCACAAAGGCTTTTGATTAACTGAGCCATTTATTTTAATTGAAAAACGAAATACCTTGGGTTTTACTAATTCGTTAATTAAACTATTTCGTTCTTATTTAGGTGTAACTCAGAGCTCAAATTTAGGCCCACTGTTATTTCTTCTCTTCATTAACGATCTCGCACATGTGTTGTTACGTAAGACGCTAATGTTCGCAGATCATTTGAATTTCAAATTATATTATCGAAATAACTACTGTTGAGGACTGCCGTTTACCTGCATATGTATATATCTTTTGTGTACTTGTTGCAACCAATCGTTTAGTGCTCCATATCTCAAAAAGTAATGCATGTGGTCTCTTATTTTCGGAGGTGGCATATGATATATATATATATATATATAAGATACAATTTCTATAATTAATAGTGAAAAAACAATTTTCTTACAGCCCTTTACACCTAACGAGGTAATAACATTAATATTGAAAACCACAAGAAAAACTACTCCTGGAATTGATAATATTGACGGCCGGGCACTTAAAGCAGTGGTAGTTGCTTTAGCTGAACCTCTATGTTATTTCATAAATGAATCCTTTGAGAAAGGAGTTTTTCCCAACAGCCTGAAACATTCCAAGTGTGTACCAATATTTAAAAAAGGGGGTTCAAAATTCAACAAATCAGATTATCGGTCAGTCTGCGTACAAAGTCAGATTGGTAAAGTTTCAGAGGCGGCTTTTTTAGAAAGATTGACAATATTTCTTGAAAAAAATAATCTATTATCAGATACTCAACATGGTTTCAGGAAAAATAAAGCTACACATACTGCTCTTTCGGTGATAGTGGATTTTATTCATGATGCACTTAATGGGAGGAATGAGGCTGTTGCACTTTTGTTTGATTTAAGTCATGCATTCGATACGGTTGACCATAACTTGCTGTTAAAGAAGGTTTGGGGAATAGGGATAAGAGGAGTTGCACATTAATGGATTAGGTCTTATTTGGAGAATCGCACCCAAAGTGTAAATATAGGGAACTGTATGTACATCCAGGAGCAGATCTATAAAAGTTGGGGTTCGTCAAGGGTCACTATTAGGACCTATTTTATTTATTATGTTCAGCAATGATTTATCTCTTGCATGTGGTAAATATGGTACAATAGTAAGCTACGCGGATGATACAAGTATACTTGTATCGAGTGGCATTGTCAAAAATTTAATTGATATCTGTAATGTTGAATCTAACCAACTTCATAACTATTGGAAAGTGAATGGACTGCATTTGAACAAAAAGAAAACCTGTTATATCCGTTTACTCCTTAAAAATGCTACAATTGATAACAGTCTGCTTCTACGTCTTGATAACTTGTCAATACGAGCGACTGAATGTGTAAAAATATTAGGTGTAATCTTTGATTCTAAATTGAAGTGGCATTCTCATATTGATGAGTTATTACAGAAAATCAGCAAAACTTGTTATTTATTCCGATGTTTGCGTAATTGTGTTTCTTCTCATGTGTTAAGATCTGTCTATTTTGTTCAATAGCGCCTTACCTACGGTATTTCTTTTTGGGGTAAATCTGCATCCGCAGAAAAAGTATTTAAATTGCAAAAACGGCTACTGAGAATTATGTTTTATCTACATCCACGATCCTCGTGTAAAGAGATTTTTGTATTACATAACATATTAACAGTTCCTTCATTGTATATTTTCGACTTGGTTACAAATATTAAGACAAAAGTTTGCCAGTTTCCAAGAGTTGGGCAAATACAAAGTAGTCACAATTTAAGAAATAGGTAATGAAGATTTACAAATGAATTTCTCAAGGTTGGAGATTGGTAAGCAAAATGTAAATTATATAGGTGTACTTTGCTACAATAAAGTCAGAAAAGTGATAAAGGATTGTGACTTAATGCGTATTAGTTTATTTAAGAAAAAGGTTCGTAGCCATTTAAGCAGTAGAGCGTATTATAGCATTGATGAATATTTGTGTTGTCAATTTTGAGTAGACCTATGTACTGTAGAAGTATTTGTGTCACAATAAACTTAAACTTAAATTGAAAGGTTCCATTATCGAGAGCTTAGAAAGTTTCAATGATCTTGGAATAGATTTTACAGCAAATTTAAATTTTTGCACAAAGTCAGACATTATCACTAAGCCCTTCAAAATGTATAGGTTTATATATCGCAACTGTAGAAACTTTCATGTCCAGCGTCCTCTAAAAATTTGAATATGGAACCCTTATCTGGTCTCCCATCTGTAAAATTCACTATCAATCATAATTTAGAGGCTGTGCAACGAAAATTTCTCAAATTTTGTGGCTTATATACGAAATTGTGTACATCCTACCAGCGGGTTTAAGCAATCAAGACAACTTACTTAAAAATAAAATTGACTATTCAGAACTTTTGAGCAAAATCAGTATTCCACTACTACGATTTTTCGTACGTCAACTCATGTTACTGGTTAGGTCTCCTATTATCTTCATGTGGACATTATACAACAAAATAACGAACAATGTGACATTTTCATTCATTCCAAAAGTATTATTTACTTGTAATTGCATACGTGATTAAATTTGATGTAGAATAGTATTTACCTTTACATTGTCTCTTCAACATTTTTAGAGATTTTGAAATGAGAAAGACCAAATAACGGTAAAAAATTGCTCAAAATATTTGTGTCAAATTTAACACTAAATTACATAATTATTTCAAGTAAAAAACATGTTTATACTATACCTATAACTCTAGCTTGATCCTTTCTCTACGTATCTCTCAGTGCAAAATACACTACAAAATTCTTTAACCAAAAACGAAAACATGTAACTGTATGATTTTATCTCCGTCGACGCTAAATGTTGGCAATTTAACAACAAAATTATAAAATATAAATCTTCCGTCTGATACATGCTCATTGTTGTTAATGTTTGAATAATTTAATGTTGGAATGACGTGGCGCCAATTTTAAACTTAAAATCAGTACATTATTGTGTCTACAGATAAGTACTTGAAAAATATAAACAAAACCATCACACTATCTTATAAACAAATAAAAAAATATTGCCTACAAACAAAAATATTTATATCTTTTTATTTAAGATAAATCAAAATATCTTATCACATTTACGAAAATACTGACTTCGCAAAGGCGTATTAAAACACTTTAAGATTATATTTTTTGAGCATTTAACCAAACTTCACCATCTGCAGCTAATATAAACGACTTTACTGAAAACTTCATCGGTTGCTTCGTTTTACTGTTCAGAGTGAAGTTGTAATTTCTCAAAAGGGACGTCAAACCGACTTTTGATTGCATAATACCAAAACGAAGACCTACAAATTGTGTATTAATTTTACATAAAAAAATTAATCAGTCTTACCAATACAAATTCTAGGACCTTCTCCAAACGGGATGTGAGCATACTGATGTCTGTTTTGTATATTTTCGTGACTGAAACGTTCAGGATCAAATTTTTCAGGATTCGGGTAATATTCTTCGTCGTAGTGTATTCCTAAAATTGGAATGAAAACTCGGACTCCTTTTCTGATAATAACATCCTGGTCAGGAACTTTGTAGTCTTTGATGCACTGTCTCGTAACGAAAGGTACTGGAGGATATTTTCTCAGAGTTTCTAAAATAGTAGGTAATCTTAGCATTGTGAAATTTTTATCTCTGTGTACTTACCGTCAAGTACCTGACTCATGTACTTCATGTCTTGGATAGCTTCATAAGTTACTTTTCCGTCATGTTTTGCCAAAACTGTATTAATCTCGTCCCTGACTTTCTTTTGAATGTCTTGATTTTTCGCAAGTTCGTAGAGAGCCCAAGTCATGGTGGTCGAAGACGTTTCAAACCCGGCCAAAAAGAAAATAAAACTCTGGGCCGCAACTTCGTCAATTGTGAGAGTGTTGCCATCATGTTGATAACCTTCTTCCTGTGCTAACTTATTATTTTTTAAGTCAATCAGTAGTTGCATAAAGTCTTTCCTGCTATAGTTATTTTTTTCCCTATATGCTACATTGTCTCTCACAACTTTAGTAAAGAAATCCGCTATATCTTTCGGAACTGTTCTCAAGTTCAAAAATTGTGCAAGCTTTGGAAAATTAATGGTAATGGTAAACTGCAGTCGTCTGAAAGTCGTCGAAGTGAAAACCTTTTTGCCGTATTTTCTGAACGGAGAGTCCTCTTCTTTGAACGTGTTGCACTCAAGGCCAAAAGCGCAGGATCCAATAATATCAGTGGTGTAGCACCCAAGCACATCTTTAATATCAATTGCTTGTCCACTTTTGTGCAAAGTTTCCATTTTCTCGTGAAGGTTTTCTTCACAGTCTAGTAGTGTCTGGAACATCATTTTCATCTTCCCGGACGTGAAAGTGGGGGTGAGTTTCACCCTTAAATTTCGCCATTTTTGGCCACCAATGGCGAACAAGTGCGCACTGAGAGGGTCAACTTTTTCGTTATAGTAAACCCCGCGGTCTACGAAGTGTTGAAAATCCTTAGTGAGTATATTCTTGACGTACTCTAAATCAACAGCTAAGTAAATGGGTCTAGTCAAACCAAAAATCCCTCCGTGGGGCACTTTTCGTCTTCTGAATTCTTCATACGCCTTTTTAATTACCACACCGATGGTGTCAGTGGGTTTGACCGGGCTTGGCAAGTTACCAAAAGGTATCGTTGGTTCTAGGTACGGTACGTTGTTCTTTTTCCAGTACGCAAAGCTCCATTTGTAATAAGTGATAACGATGGCTGTCAAGGCCAACAGCAGACCAAAAAGGTCTGTCAGTAGAGAGTCTGTGTAAAACATCTAATATTTTGTGGAATGAGAAAACAGTTAGATTAATTATTGTGTCGACTTACCTTCTGCTATGACACAACACACTGAAATCGGTGACTGGCAAATCTGTCGAGTTTTAGTGATAATGATGATAACAGAGATTTGTTTTGAAGCCTTGTTTACGCACAGATGTGTCATAAACTCATAACTTATACGAACTATTCATAGTGGTATTCGGTCATGTGGGACGTTCATCACTGTGGACGTACCTGCCGACCGGAATTGTAATTATCTGCACAGCACAGACAAGGCCAGGCCAAGGTCAAGAATCGGGCAAAGATTGATGTTTTAACATGTTTGATTGTGCAATGTTAGATAATGTTTACATAATACTCCTAATAAGTTTCAAAAGATTAATTTGGTGTCGAGTGGGTTATCGACCTAAGTAGGTACTTGTTCGAAAGTTAGGAATAAACAAAAAGATTCTCATGTTAGGGAGCGATATTAGTGGTAAATTGTTTGTCATAATAAAACTTAATTTAGTTATAGCTCATCAAAGTAGATTGTTTCATATTTAATGAATGTTGATAATTTTAAGGGAAATCTTAAGAAAAAGATTTCTAACGCTAAATCGAGTTTGAAGGCGCGCTTAACTAAAGATGGAAATACTTAAAACGCTCAGACTGTTGCTGGATACCTATGTAATTACAAACATTCGAAGAAGTGATTATTGATTGTGTAAAATGGATAGAAAAGAACATTTTGTTGTTTTCAGTAGCAAACTTCTTAATACATAAGTAATTCGTGTGCTTAATTATTATTTTCAAATAACGTCATTTCCGATCATCTGTTCCACTCTTAATTTCTCAGATATAATAGGTACGTAAGAAATGGAAATCTGATAGTCGCAATGTTTAATGGGTTATAGGTTTTCTGGTTTTCTAGTTTCTTTTTTATTTTCTCCATGGTCATCATTTCTAGAGTACGAAAAAATAGGTCTTCGGTTTCCGTCTGTCTGTCTGTCCACTGTCCGGGTGGATTTTTGTTAGACAGATAATTTCCGAAACTACCGGGTCGATTGTTCTCAAATATTATGTGCGTAGTATAAATGTAATGTATCGTTGCATTCATATTTTTAGAATTTCTTATACAAGGTGACTCAAAAAAATAGTGAATGAGTCAATTTATCTTATGGATTAAATCAGGAAATGCAATATCGAATGCTTGGAAATCTGCTAGACGTTTCAAAGTTATCGGTAGCATGGTAAATTTTTATTCAAAATATATCTGTTTATCCCCCCAAAAATTGGTTCGCAAAATTAAGACTTCTAATTTTTCTAGACAACTGGATTTGATGTAGTATACTTTATGGGCGAGAGAAGTTCCGTTTTCGACCATTTTGTTTATTTCGAATGGAAGGGGGATGTGTTTCTCCCCTAGCCTAAGTATGTCGGTTTTTAGAAAGTTGCAAAATAACAATCTAATTCACAAATATTATGCAATCGATTGTGCTGAAATTGTACGGCTTTTATTTAAAATTATCACTGAAGACAGTAAATCGTTAGATAGAATTCATCTGATCATACCTTCCAAAAATTTGATTAAGTCATCTCATCACTGATTTACGTTCATCTAACTTAAAGTTTATTTATAGTGACATGGTCCGTTATTTGTGAATTAATAATGTACTTATATTTTTAATAATAAATATGGAAGTCATAGTAAAAATTATGAAATTTGTGAAAACAAATCTCCATAAGAAATGTTTTGAGGTTTTAACGAAAGGTTAATACTGACCCTTTATTACAGTATGGTTTAAAATTTATTTACTTGTTGCTTCCTTCTAGAAAGATAGTGAAGCTAACTATCTAGAGTATGAGTAGATTGGTTTCGCGTTTCTGTCTGTCTGTCATGTGTAGATTTTTATTAGACACAATATCTGAATCTAATGGACCGATTGTTGTAAAATTTTGTATATTTGTTAGGAATGTCGTCTAGATGTTAAAACACTAACCAAAATTTGTCTAATCATCTCCACCAACAATTTGATGTCCACTCGTCATTTTGCATAGTTACGATTAACCAAATTTTATGAAATAATATAATCTTGTACTTGTGGTTTTTGAATCCGCCTTGGTTTTTATAACAGCTACTTAACAAAAATAATTTTGTGCAATATTTTTCTGGTGATTCAAGACGCCAATGCTTCGCTTCTGCATCAAATATTGTGCCCTGTTGTGTTTGAATGCTATGCATATCGAATGTTTGTGTATTATCTATACTTTTTATACTTGTAAGGTTATCATAAAATCCATAAAATTTTTCCAAATAAAATTTTCAAATTTTTCAAGAAAACTAGATTTGTTGGATTGTATGTATTTAAGAGGCAAGGTTAGTTCTGCCTAAACAACCTTAGACCATTTTTTTGAACTGTTTGTGCTGGACTTGTTTATATTTTCCAAAATTTCCAGAAAAACTGTACCTACTATTTTTTATTTTAATCCCTATTTTATTTGTAGGAAATTGAACTTGTTTAACTGACTGTGCTTCAGGGGCTAGGGAAGTTCTGTATAAATAGCAGTAGACCAATTTTTAGATTGGGTTTTTAAGTGGTGCAATTTTTTTAGTGATTTAATAGCTTTGAAAAATGAATTTTTACTTCCCGCGCATAAACTAACTAAATACTGTAATAGGTCTAGCAGACGAATGGCTACTTTTAAGTTTTCTCGTCATTTCATGGATTCTAGAATACAAAAAAATAGGTCTCCTTTCTGTCGTCTGTCTGCCGTCTGTATGTGTCGATTTCTATTAGACAATAATCTTCGAAACTACCACACTAATTACAATTGTTTTCAGATTTTATATTGTTACTATAGACGTTATATCTATGTATATTAGAGATATCATGTAGATGGTTAAACGCTAACTCAAATTTGGCTAATCATCCCCACAACCAATAGGATGACGTAATCTCCAAAATGTATATTTTTTTTTTAATTTCATACAATAAGATACATCTGCACTTGTGGTGTATGAATCCGTGTCAAATTTTCTCCCTAGACATTCAGAATTTTTGGAAAAAATTCAAAGCTGAGTAACAATACTTTGCAATATTGCTTTGCAACTACAAAACCGAATGCTCTGATATATTGTAAATATTTTAAGGTTATCGGAATCATGGTAAATCAAATTTATTCGTTTATCCCTTGCCAAAAAATTGATGACGTCATCTCAAAATTTTTCCGAATAAATCCTATCCAAAATGTGCAAAATATAATGAGTCTATACTTATGATTTATCATTGCATTGGAAGTTTTTAAATTGCTTATACAGGGTGACTAATAAAAATTAATGAAAGAGCTAATTTATTTTATTTATTTGATGGTGAGAATAATCAAACAAATTTTGATTAGCATTTTACCGTCTATACGATATTTCTAACATACATATAAAGCATCAGTCGACTAGCTTCTTAGAATATCAGACGGAAACGGGAAACCCATGTTTTCGTACTCTAGGAGTCATAAAAATTCGAAAACACATAAAAGTAGTCATTTTTACCCGTTTCCACAAGTAGCGAAGGAGTGGTAAACAATTCATTATCTTTGCGGAAATATTACCTTCAAAATGAACCTCAAATCATAATATATAGGAACAAGCAGTGTTGGCGACAGATACTTTTAAAATTATCTAGATGTGGATATAGATATATGAAAGATAAAATTATCTAGATACAGGTTCTTTTCAATTTTTTCGAAATGTTTCTAGATAATAGATACAAAAAAAGATAATTTTTAAAATTTTGGCCAATAAAACAACTGATAACAAGTTTTTATTTCTTTTTTAATTAATCTTTTAAAATTAATGTTTCAAATATGTTACCGCGTACACTATTTTTTCCTGCTGTAAGAATTTGATTTTCGCTGCTAAACACCCACTCCAAAGGTGCAGAAGAAAGCATTGTTGTGTTAAATTAAAAAAAATAAATATTTTACAGCATTATTCATTCACATTTAATTGCAAAAGTAATTTGTGCTAATTGAAAAAATTAATCGTTATGTAACCCGCAATTATTATTTTTTAGAAATAAATAAAAATACCTTTAAACAAATGCTTTGCAATAAAAAAATTACTCTTATTCAATAACACAAATACAACCAGAGGGTGGACTCGGTATAGGCAGGTAAAATGTGTTGCCCCTACAAGCTTTTATTGTAAAATGCAGTGAATAGAGAATTATGGTTTATTATATTTAAAATATCATCTTATCATTACTTAGTATTAATGGCCCTCAGATTTATTACCCTTCAGGATTATATTTAAAGATGGATAGTACCGAAAACTACAATATAGAAAATTTTGGTATTTAAAATATGAGAGTTTCGGTAAACAGACGATTACAGTGTATTTCAGAACTCCGTTCGACTAAGCCAAGACATTGACAAATTCCAGATTTTCTCGACTGTTGGTCGGTTGAGAGATGGTAATTCTCAAAAGTCACTGCCATGATGAAGCAAACGATTCGTTTTGTTTTATTTATTAATTGTAAATAATAAAGAAATATGTTACCCTTAAAAAAATGCTAGTTGAGTTCCTCTTGTACATGTAAATGCACTGCTTCAACATTTTTAATCTCACTGCTCTAACCGCTGAGTGAATCGCTATATCATTCAACCAAGCTGAAAGTGCATAATGGTTTTTTTGCTTCAATTCATTTACCCTGTACTAAAAGACAAGGATACCCTCACATTCAACGCTTACCTGCGAAAAGAAGGGAACAGCTTGTTCTTTAATAAAATAAGCGCGGTAGAAGCCTACTTACTGGGTGATAATTGTTGATTTACAGTCACTCCAGTTTATGACTTACGCGAACGGCATTCGGAAATACTTACACTATAAACGGCTTAGTATTAGTCATAGAACATTATTAGTGGACCTCTTATCTCTATTTTTGTGTATGGAAGCACTATCACCAACATAAAATGTCAAAATTACCACTACAATAGGTAAACTAACAAGTACGAAAAAAACGTAAAATAAAAAAGATGTATCTGTATCTGTGGCATATATGTTTTATCTAGATACAGATATTTTGTGCTTAAATTTGATTTTATTTATATATGTACAGATAATAGATAACCAAATATGTATCTAGACACTTTATCTAGATACAAATATCTGGATAATGCCCAACACTAGGAAAAAACAAAGATCTGACTCCCAGCAAGTACTATATCCCTTCCCTCAAGACTCGATATTTATATACAAT